CGCCATTCTCTGCAGTTTAAATTCCTATTCTTTTTTGTATCGTAAAACAGTAAATGACAAATAGGTTGTTAGTCGCAGGTGGAAGCGAATGGCAAAGCAAACAGAAACTAAATAAAGTAATTCTCGGTTCGTTACTGTTTAGTAAACACTTGCAACTCCCTGCGAGATAGGGTTAGGCATTTGGCCAAGATATTTTCAAATAACATTTCAGCTACTCTAAATTTTGCTTAAAAATAAAACTGAAGGAAACTTCACTATTTACATTCGAAACTGCCAATTTCGACAGCTGCCAAGCATTAAGGCCAATAACTCTGAAATTTCGCGGATTTCAATGTTGATGTTTGGGATGCTCATCTTTGTGGCAAATTATTTTTCAAATAGAATACCTCAGCGTTACCTACGTTATTTCCCTGCATAACCTTCCTCGTGCAGCGAGTAGAATCAAACCAGGCAGCTCAAAACATCACCCAATGGGATGAAATGATGCAAGAGAGTTGGCGATTAAGCAGCTGTGGAGAAAATTCTTATTGCAAGAGACAAACCAGTTCCAGATTGTATGCAACTGGTGTAAGGCAAACAAATAAGTTCGTGCGGTACTTTATGGCAAAATGGGTAGTCACAAAAAGATTCGTTGAAATAACCATCACTTCACTAAATCATCTGCAAACACTTCCCAGTGGGGCTCAGGACCGTTGTAAATCACACCCTTATGGAATATTTTCTCAAGAAGTGAGTGAAGGGCACCCACCTCTGCTTTAGCCACATTTTCATTTCCCAACCACATATTCAATTTCGCATGTGGTTGGCCAATTCTAGTGCCAGAGCCAAAAAAGATGACAAGCATCACTTGAAGAAATACTGTCAGAGGAATGCTGAATATGAGGTGGTACACTTATCCTAAAGGTCAGTAAAGCGTTGTGGCGTCTTGTGAAAATAGGACTTTCTTCCCGTTGATTCACCAGACCTAGCTTCTTCTCAGTAAGTTTTTTTCTCGCCTTCCAGTTCTGGCGCATCGAGCAGGTAGATCTCAGCTGCAATTTTGTGAATCTAATTCTCACACAGACATCTGGGGATGGAATGGCACGAAACCCTTAGAAGTGTGGTGTGCGAAGTGAGTGGACCACTTGGGGAAACCGACGAGTTATATATTCGTTCGCCCAATTAACGGTCGAAGACAAAGGACTTTCCTCATCAAAAATATCTTCCAAAGGGACATATTTATAATGGCAAATGAAGAAAAGAGCAGTTTAGGATTTACGCTCTGTCAGCTGCTGTTAATACATGTAATTAATAGTTTTTGTAATACATTTGCTCAGTAGCCCCCACAACGACTTCCCCCTCCGTGGTGTAGATATAAACTCCATCCTCATTACCCACATTAAACACTCCTGGAAATTGTACCTGACACGCTCATCTGCAGTTACCATGACAACAGTGCCACACAGTTCCCCATTTTAAAAGTAGGGCACTTCTCCCACTTTTTAAGGCCCTATCTGGGTTTTACGTCCTGCTGCCGGGTTTAGCTACCGTGTCCTCCCCCAAATGTCACGCAAAAAAGTAAATGATAGGCATCAGTCGCATAACAAGGCGCATCCCATCAGTTGAGTTTAGCTAAAATTCTCGGTATGAGGAATCCAATAAGGGAAGGTCCAAAAAATTTCGTCTACCATCGCAATTTCACCAGCATAATCAAATTTTTGCTAAGAGTAATTTGTGCCACTGATAACTACTAAGGCCCAAATGCTAAGCAAACGCTTCTCTTCTTGAATAAATTGAGACCCTTCACCTGAATGCTTCATGATTAAATATGTGCATAGTAATATTCTTCCCGTCTTTTGGCGCCACTGAATTCGCAGTACTGGTTGGATTTGACCTTATAATGGCACCGCTTAACCCTATATTAACTTTTCAACACTTTTAAGAGATGGAATTAGGTTTAATTTGGACATTTCATTTGTTACGTTCCCCCAACGCCTTCTTCTGTAAGTAGTTCTTGAGTGAGTCCCGTAGAAATGACTGCCCTTTAAACAACGAAAGTATATTTTTAAACGTTGAATGAGTCAGGCTCTCGATTCTTGACACTCGCAAAGTATGTCACCTTTCAAGGGATGCCACCCACACGCACACGAGGAAAGGGAAAAGGAACGACCATATTCCAATTGTTAAAAGTAAAGTAGGTTTTCCACTCCAACTGAACATCGAGCCATTATCGAATGGTGGAGGCAGTTTAAAAACATCAATCGATTTAACTTCAAAAATCGTATCAAATTCCTTACTTTGATGAACGAACACCCCTCGTTTTGTTGGTTCTATTCAACTTTTCTTTTTCTTCGTTTTTTGTGCTTCAAGCAACATAGGTTTAATGATATCAGGCTATCACCCCTTCCATCCATCTGTGCTTTCAACGCCTTGGATGTATTCCAGCTTTGACGACGGTCTTTGTGCAATTGAAGATTGAGGTCCTTAGGTGTTCTGTAGAGTCCAAGGGATGTTGAAAACGATATTGAAAGCGTAAAAGATCAGTTTTTGGAAGACCATATTCGATTTTGCACCACTTGTACAATACTGCTTCAACTACCTACCTTTCATTCAATGAATTTGCCAGACTGCCAGGTAACTCCAGACAGTTGAAAGCACCAGTCATTGTTGTATGTCTATAAAAATCACCATTGAGATAACATGAACTACACCCTGCGTCTTCATTCATTCTCCTATCCCAAAGCAAGCACACTGAATCGTAAAGAAATTACGACATAATAAACTGCTGGAGCATTCATTATAGAACTTGCGGTTCCACCCGTCCCCTAGGCTTCTTCCCAAGTGATTAAAATTGCATATCTGTTAGTGAGGTAGGATATTTGGTTATCTCCAAAAGTACCACATCTTGTCTGCGACACAATAAAAAGGATAGAATGTTTGCTACTAAACACAGACAAACCTGAACGCTTGGGATTCAAGAGTGTCTAGATTAGATTATGCTCGACACCCACGCGCATGGAAAGGCACCGCATCACATGCCGCTTTAACACTCGCTACTATCATCACACATGCGAAACCGAGATTACTTTTATCTGAGCTCGGTGTCACAAACATGTGACAAGGGTCTTTTACTACTTTTATGGCTGATTACACTATATCACGATTAAGGAAATAGAGGAATTTGAAGCAAAAAATAGGTGTAGGAGTTTTGTGGTGGAAAGATAGTCATAAGTTTTAGATTTTGAGAAAAGAGAAATGATGACAATAAGACGGTTAGATTTCTTTGATGGTCTATTTTCCTTGCAGACCCCAACAGGAAACGTGTTAGATGAACGTGGAAATCACCTCTCCATGCATTCACTAGACTACTGTGTCTGCTTATCTACATTTTAGATGAATTCTTTGTATTTTCGTTTCCTCATTCTCCACTTGTCTCCTAGGTTTCTTTACTACTAAAATCATGCTTCGGAGTTACCTGTAATGCTTTAACTGTTTCTCAGTTCTGGTTGTGCAAACAATTAAGGCTCCGACACTGTACTCTCACTGGGTGCCACGGCCACTGGACCAGGCCAGTAGGTACCTAGGTCCTCTGTACGTTGCCAATACATTTTCTGCTCTGATACCATGACTTCTTTCATCTGCAGGGAAGTATCCGGGCGCTATTTTGGTGGCAGCGGAAAGCGAACCCGATCCTAACTGGTAAATACTTTGATTTCTATTATTGTGTGTTACGCGTCAATGGGACGGGAGAAGGTCACATGCTGCGAATGGGAGAATTTGTGACAAGCCCTAACGGAGGGGTTAAAAAAGCTGTTAACCTTCGGTAACTACTCCAATTCCGTGGTCTGCAGTAATACTATCAACAGCTGAAGCGACATTACCCGTGAACCACCTGGGTAAGCTTGTTGCGGGGCTGCCTAAGGTACCGGTATGAAGGTGTGGATTTAGTGAACACGCGATACCTCCTCCTCCACCTCCCTTCTAATCGGAGAGAACTGCGATAGATATATGGCTGGGTAGCCCCGAGGTGAGAGCAAATTGGCAAGGAGATGCAGACGGAAAACCTTATCCCCATGAAATTATTTTACACCCCGCCATTTTAAACTGATTCTGCTTTTACGTCAGTGTTCTTACGACTACCGATGAGCATTCGAGATGGTAAACACACTACTCTCCTTCCCCCACTCCAATTTCAGATCCAGTGGAATTGCCACGAAGGATTAGTAGCATTGAAATAAAAAATCGTGTCAGTTGCATGCATATCCGATGACGCACGGATGGCTCGGCAGTGTTTCTCCTACAGCACTGACTACGTTGTGGTAGCTGACGTGGAAAGTCGACCAAGGGGAGGGCGGCCGGGGACAGCGCTCAAACGAAGAGGGGCGCTATGCAATACTTTAGTCGTTTGTTTAGCTCATCGTTTGGGTTACGCAGACACTGAAGGCCCCGCCGTTGTATTTCCGCTTGGGCTTTTTCAGTAGCCTCTCAGCTACTCTGTACGTCGCTAATACATTTTCTGTCCTAGTGTTATAATTTCCTCCAACTTCAGAAGGAATCGGGAGGCTAAATTATCATTAAAACGGGTGCTTCTAACGCCGGCTGCAACACCACTTCAAGTTCAGGACGAGCATTTATCTCATCGTAGTCCAACGCAATTTCCTCTAGTCAAGGCAAACAAGCTCAACCATCGAGTGATCTTTCGATGATTCTAAATTGTCCAGAATTGATAGCCAGACTAGTCGCAGTACAGGAAAATCATTAAGACAATTTAATTTCAGATTTCTCCTTTCCACCTGTCCATTCAGCTTTTTCGATGTCAGTTAGTACTTAAAAGTTGATTTGGTATTGCAAGATAGCTTCCTGTCTGTCTCTATTTAGCACAAAATATGGAGCATCCATGATTGTTCCATGAATTAAAAAACAGTTCACTTGCAACACAACAAACGCACCAAATCCAGACTCATCTCCGTGTTTCGTCCATTAAAATGGCATACTTTGATTATTTACTGCAATACCACTTTCTAAGACATAGCTTCATTGCTAAAAAAATGCAAAAATACTTACTTAAATCAAGAGTCCAACTACCTACCAAGGCCGATCTTTTTCAACCGCGACGTGGATTGGAAAATAGTCAGTTGTGCCGGCTCGTGGATTAGCACCGGCTCGAAGCAGAGTTGCAACGATTGCCTCAGAGGCGTCGCGGACGGCCAAGTAGAGACATGTCTCCCCAAGCGCATTCACCGCGTCGATGTCAATGCGATTCGAGTTCTTGAAACCTGTCGTCTGGCAGACGGAGAAGGGCTGGGTGACCGACGCGTTTTCGTCACTTGCAGGTGGTTCGATATCTAAGAGAATCTACAGGAGAGATGTAAGGGGAAAAAGAGTAATTTAAATTACACTAAATTTAAGCTGTTGAAGGCATGGGAAAGCTTTTGAAATATCAGACAATGAGCATATAATTATTTTCTGCATTTGATAATGGCCATCCTGTGGAGAAATGAAAATCTTAGTGTTATTGAATCAAAGGTGCTAATGAGCAATTTTTAACTCCTGAGGACGTCTCAATATCCCAAATTCGGAAATAATATACGGACTGGTGGCTTTAAACAGAAGTCTCTCAGTTAACGCGCGCCTAAGTTGTTGAAAGTACAGACATACAAAGGAAACATCAGGGATGTGAATTAGCGACTAGATATAAAAACACACCGAGTTAAAACTACTGAGTGAGAGAAACGGAACAAAAAGTTAAGTGGTACTGAAGAAAGCGCAGTTATGACCACTTATGGTTTGTTGAAATATGCTCATAAAAACAAGGAAGTGCTTTGTTTTCTAGGACATTTTAATTGCCAACTTAGCTACTGCTAACTCGACAATCAGCAGGACCTACACGAAATTCAGTAGCCAAAAAAAATTCAATGGAGGTGAGTGCTCAATCACAAAAGGTGCTCGAATAACGGGAGCTGAATCGTCGGTATTTTAGCTCTCTCCTTTGCGAGAACATGATTAGCAGTCCAATGTCCCGCTAACCAAAAGGTGATGTGACAAGATAAAGAAGACAGGGATGTTTGCCCTTCAAGATCGGCTCTAGGCTACTGGAAACCTCGGAAAACCAAGAAGCCCCAAAAATTTGAAAGACAATGTTGCATATAGTTATGGCAATCTCGGAAAAGGCACTGTGATGCACCCACAAATAAATAAGGAGTAATCAGCATTCAATCATGGTCTTGAATTCGAAAATGGATAAGTTAATAATGTCAAGGAAGCACAACTGCAAGACATTGGCTCCAAATGTAGAGTGGTGGCGCCACTGAAACATAAAATATGATAATAGAGATTTTTCGCCATTCGAAAAAGAGTGGGGTCAAATGAAATTATGGATAGCGGACTGTGTAGATAAGATAAAAAAATCCTTAAATAAACGAGAAAATCCGCAGGATATTCATAAATTACAAAGGATCTTTGAACCTGCGAAGAAAATGACAAAAGCAAGAAAAGTAGTGAAGTAAAATAATGGACCAATGTAACGACTCGAGCAGGACATAAGTTGACAAAAGTATGAACAAATTAATTAATTGGCGCACGGATTAAATCCCTATGAATACCAAAACTTACGGAATTGAAATCTAATAAGCTATTATTGTAGAATCCAGGAGAATCAACGAGGCGTTCCGTTGGAAAGCACATGCACTGATCGTATGAATAGTAACAGCAAGGGCGCACACATGTGGGTTGGGATATTTCACACCAATGGCCGGCCGGGAGGGCAGCAACGAATGCAGAGACAGCCGTTCTCACATTTGACCCGCCACGCCTGTGTACGAACTAGTAGCTTTCAATCACAAGCAGACTGGTGAGTGGGCGCATATCGGTCTCCTGATTGGGATCGCGGCTAGTCAGCAGTATCATACCCCTCCGCATTCAAAAACGCAATTTTAAAGAAGACGTGAGTAGGTAGAAAGGCAAAGAGTCGAGGGAAGTTGAAGTATGGTCATTTATTTTGAGAAGTGAGGGATTGGATAGACTTGGACGGAGTGAATAGCAAGCAGTTTCCATACTTCGAGCAACTCTGCCTATGCGAAAGAAGAACAATGGAATAGCGTCTTGGCTTAAACAATTTCCATCCTTTCCTTTTCGTTCTAGTTCCAATTGATCAATTTAGATATTTACAAGTTTTAATCTGTTGATGTCACCAAGTCAGAGCCAAATGGAGGTCCGCTTCAAAATGGGACTGTTGTTTTAGAGTTGTCAAGACGGGGTGTCATTGTGGCAGTAAAACACGCGATAGTAGGTTGTAAGTACATCCTCGTGTTACTTGGAGTTGATGTACGTCATGGTGTGAGCCATTCCAGGCAACGTCAATCAAGAGGGCAGGCAACACTGGTGGTACTTACATAAAAAAAGCTTAGGATGATGAACATTTCTGGTGGATGAAGAAGAATACAGGCACAAGGCGGTGATAGGACACTCACCAGTAAGGCATATAGGCTTTTTAAAGACGATTGTACATCTGGCAGTTGACAATCATCTTCATGAACATTTAACACGTGGAACGCCCGCTTGATTCTAGATTAACAAAACCTAAACAGTTGTGAAATTGCACAAGAGACAAGCTTTTTCGTGGGTAAGGCGAGCATAGCACAACCATTAAAAACACCTGCAGTTTCAGAGAGTTGGCTCACTGTGGGAACCACGACAGCGAATGATGCAATAGGTGTATGGATGCAACAAATTGCTAGGTGGGAAAGTAAACGCGGTTCTCACTTTTCAATTTATTTCTTCATAAACTCAAGTGTGAAGTTAGTCTAGCTGCCCTTCGTGTACTGTGCGTTGCTGCCTAAACCACTGGAGAGACAACTGAGGGGTTTTTAATCAGCGATCAACAGCAATTTCTTATCTTTAATAATGAGATCGGAAAACCAAGTCACAAGAAGACGACTTCTAAGTCACGCCACCCTCATCACCTTACCACTTCACCTCAAATGATTAATTGGTGTTGTGTTGGGAGAGTAAGACTCCTTCGAGATCGATGTATTCCGTTTCCACTGTGGCTGTTCCCAACTCATCCTGTTTTCAGTTTCAGGATCAAAGCGACCCGTCAGAATAGTGCTAACTATATTATTGACGAACACTGCAAATGAATCCATTAATCACCCATACACAATCGTATTCACAAAGAAGAGACACGAAACCCACGAATGACAAATGCTTTCATACAATAAACTCCTCAAAATCACGATACATATCGCAAATGGAGACAAAATCTGGTGCCATGAGAAAGAGATTAGTAAAGTGAACTGCGAGTGATTACGCAACCTTAAGTATGCATGAAAGACAACCTCCATTTCTGCGCCTGCAGATGTGGGTAAGGACACAGTCCTTCCAGCTGCAACACGCAGTAAAAAGCTTGATCTCCAACATCAGGCACCGGTGGTGGTGGTAATGGAAAGGCACAATACAATCGGCTATAAAAAGATGTTCACACCAACACGCGCAGGGAGAGAGAAGAGGAAGCGGAGCAGTAATTTCGCATGCAAAAGGACGCAATTTTGATCACAGTCCGCACTTTCAGACACATTTACACCTACAGAGCCAAAGACGTCAAAGAATGCGCACCTTTCAGTCAGTGTGCTGACGTTAGAGGGAATCACAGCGTAAATAGGGCAGTGTGCAGATGTAGTAAACGTCTCATATAGATCTATTACTACAATCTTATTAGCACATATCAAAAGAACCTACGAGTGACACTGCCTAACGGAAAACCTTTACATTTAAGTACGTAGGGTCCTTAGCTCCCATCAGTAACAGCCTCATCTCGGTGATATGGCATTCCGTTCATACCACTTCCTTTAATGTCCCACCGACCCTTTCTAGGTGGATAATTTGAATTTAAGCCTTGATATGACCTTTACGATGAACACCCTTCTGTGAATTAACTAAAGAAGCAAAAAATTGGCAATAAATAAAACTCTAAGCAGATCTAATTGCGTTTAGTGATGTAACAACATTTCCCTTCTGGTTACCTAATTCACTAACGCTTGAGAAACCCAAAAAAGAACATCACTGAATACGCGTAGACGACGATTAAGACCAGGACTTATCAGTCTTTGCCTCGCTCTCTATTAAAAGTGAAAATATAAGTAGACCTGAGGTACTGCTCACATGGAGCAATGGTAAATAACTCACTTAGAACAAAAGAGGACTGAAAATAGGCTTGAGTTCAGGAGGTTGCAGCACTTTAAGGGATAATCAAATTCAACAGGGTAAACAAGGTAGCAAGCTAATGCAGCGAAATCCTGGATGGTCCTAGTCACCAGCCCTAGCTAATCGGGGTTAGGAAATGAACTCTATTATCAATTTCTCCGCAACTGTGAAACTCAATGGGAATCACAAATGTATTTTAACGGTGGTTTAATGTAGCAATTAGTGCGATACCTTTTATTACAATAGCGGCAATATAAAAACTTCCTGGTGCCATCTTAAAAGAAGCATGATTTAAAAACTAACTAAAAGCAAAAGCTATTCAAGCTGACTCAAATAAAAGTATGCCGAAATGCGCATGTCTTTTTTTCCAAGCTCACTTGAGCGAAGCACTTCATTGCAACGAGATTTTTGGTACGTTGACAATGGTCCTCATTCACATTTTGTACCCTTGTACGCTTGAGCAATGAAATAGAAAACGACTGCAAAACCACAGAAAAATGCGTCCCCTAAGGTGTGCCCTTCGTTACCTTCTTAACTGGAAGAAATTGGCCAGATCTTAGAACTTAATCCATGAAAACGTATCTGAGAGAGGTGATGTGCACACAGAAAGTGTTTTATGCTGGTTTGGGATATGTGACTTTTCGCTTTCCATCAGCTAATAGTGAGTAACATCATCCGGTTACAAGGGTCAGGTCATTTGACCAAACTCGCTGCGTCTCTTACCTCTCACTAACTCTCGGTGCAATTAACTCAATTTTTCCATTGACCTTAAGAAATGGAGAGGCAAATATTGGTACCTATTGCAAGAAGACATTGTTTTCACAATAAAACGAGCAGGACTTCCTTGCAAGGATTGTCGTATGCGATCGCTGATTAGCGGCTATTAACCTCAAGGGGGGAATAAAATACTTTTCAAAATAAAGTTCTGGTAAAAGTGGGCTAAAATCATCAGTTGGAGATGGTGATTCATTTGCATTAAAGTGCCCCCATAGAATATACCAATGTAGCAGAAAGTTGGCAGATTTAAACAACAAAAAAACCTAGGTGTATCATGAGGCCGCACCACAATTACCGGAAAGACTGGATGAACAACTACTTAAGGCCTTGGAAGTTAATGGTTTTGAGGAATTTTTCTCAAGCATATTAAGGGGGAGCCGATGACTGGAGTAACAAGAGTAGATGATTTCTACCGTTGTTCAACAGTGAGGAAAAAAAATAAATGTACTTAGACAAAGCCATCCTGAGGATTGTACAGCAAGTGAAGTGTAAAGTAACGCTTTACCAACAAATGTGACCACAGTCTGAGGTAGACCGTAAACAATATAAAGCTGAAGTAATCTGGAGTGAGTGACTTGCTTTAACACTGGTGGGACCAGGGTACAAGGGTATACACACATAACGCCACTACCCAGTCAGCATCACTGCCACCGCATATTTTCTTCAAAGGCAAAAGTAGATCGGAACTTGCCTCAAGAAGCTCAAGAGAATTTTCCTCCACAGCCACATGGAGGACGGTTTTGCCAGCGGCGTCACAGATATCCAACCGAGTCTGTTTCAGTGCGAGAATTTTCTGGACTGTCTCCACACCGCCCACCTTTAAAGCAACGTGCAAAGGTGTTTCACCAGTATCCCCGTCGGGTGTGTTTATCCATCTATTGGTGAAACAGAAGATGAAAAAAGAGTAAGCATTCTGGAATATGATGAAATCGAGAAAACCAGCCAAATGGAACCTCTTGGTCTACCTCAAATCGGCCTCTAATGCTACCAATCACCCAGCCTCTTTATACGCCTATAGCGAGGCTATCTTTATGGGAAGCCAGGGCGATACTGGGGTTTGTCGGTTAATTAAATGGATCAGTTTATCAGAGAAACATTTAAGTTAACCGCTAAAAAAGCGTACTTCCATTAGGTTCAAGAATTAGGGAGCCATGTGACAATAATGACCGGCAACCTCAAGCCAGCACAAAACCACTTTATCTAATTCTAGCCCTTCTCTAGCCAACTTTCAGTGAACCCACTTCGTAACTTTCTCGTGATTGAGGGCTTCGGGGAAGTTGAGACAAGCGGTGATGTGAGCAAAGGTCCATTTAGGATGACGTCTACACATTGCCGTGACCTTCTCCAACCAGACTTTGTCCACTTTGACATCGTATATGCCGCAGATTTTGGACATTTCATGCACGACTTCGGCAAAGTGTTTGAAGGTAGCAATGCCATCGTTGACGTCACCTTGGAAACGAAAGAGACTAACATGAATGTGGGGCTAAAATGGGTAAGGTCTATTGACCTACCTGAAAACTCTTCGTTCTCGAGAGGGAGTATCGCTAGAAGCTGCTGGAGGTATGTACACCATATCGTAGTAATTAGCAATTTTATAAAAAATGAATGAATGATACAATTCCAAAATATGTTCACATCTAAAGTGGGAGGAGAATTAGGTCAAAGGGTGGCGGAGCTACATAAAGTATTCGGCTTCATATTGCTCATATGGGTATTCTTCTACCTTATTCGGGTGGATGGTATTAAGTGCTGTTTTCACAAAATTTGTAAAGTACGCTCCCAGACGCGACATTATTTCTGACTAAAGAAGGCAAAATCGACTGACATTTGTTTCAATACTAAAAAGTGGTAAAGCGTTAGTAACAGAGATGAGACTTTTAACGACCGCATTTCTAAGGGATGTAAGTATGAATACAGCTGAAAGTTTCAGACAAAGTAACAAAAATGTCTCAAAATACAGCAAAAAAACCACAAATGCATTAAAACACTCATTTGACTCCTCATTAGTGCAGCAAGTAAAAATATCAGTGAATATATCGAAGCGTGTAAATAAACCTATCCTAAAGATCGCATAGTAGGCTAGTATGAGCCAAAGTTGTGGGCACTGCTAAAAACATTTTTAGTCGTTGTGTTAAACAACCAGCCTAGAATTGTCGAATGTTATTTACTTACACGAGGGACAACTTCGAAAACACCTAATATCATGCAACAGCGGGCTGGGAACCCGGATTAACTCTGCACAAACCAATAAAGGGCGGCTTTGAAAGACTGTTCAACTTCTAGGACAAGATCAAAATCGACCAATTAGAAACAGCAGGTAATCAACGATAGATTTCGTTTTCTATTCGACATGGCATAATTTCATCATGGATAGACAAGTAATTTTGGTGACAAAACTGACAAAAATATACTCAGAAGTGAATATGTAGGTAAAGGATTGTGCCAAAAAGTTTGTGCCAATGCCTGGGGTGAATGCTGAATTTGGTTTACAAATAGCCCCAATTCGTAACATTTTAAGCTTTTAGGACCCTTTAAAGAGAAGTAGGGACTCAAGGAATAATGTTGACAATTATAGAATGCCATTTGAGCCTGGAATTGTAAAATTTCTTCATTAGATACTATAGAACCATGGACAATTTAATGATGTATGCACAAAGTGCAATGTATTGTAGCGTCCCGAGACTTCCCTGAAGACAAAAGAAGACACAATACTCAGGCAGAACATATATATTCAGCACAAAGAAGGTGTCTGGGCTACTGGTATGGCCCGAAGGCCAGCCCACCCAATGGGGTACCAGAAGGCAAATCCAAAAGTTCAAAAGTGGCGTCTTACTAATAGTGGGGGAAACCACTATCGTAGTACACAGCCTCCGTCCCCTTTTGAGCGTCGCCCCCGGCGCCCCCGCAGGTCAACCTCCCACGTCAGCCATTACAACGTAGTTGGTGTTGTAAAGGAACACCCGCAACCCGGCCGCGCCATTCACCAAATTAGCNTAAAACTGGGGCGATATTTGACCTCAACGTCACTGGTCCCTCTTGGCAGCTTAACTGGATATGGATTTTCGTTCGGTTTAAAAACTCGGCTTGGAAATGGGGAAGTGTTCTGGCCATTATGCATGTCTATAGATAGATGTAGGAATACTGGCAGGTCCATGGGGCGGTTTCGGGTCTGTTCCTCCTTGCCAAGTTATTCCCACTTTAGAGGGCAGGGAAAGTCTGTAACGGAACTTCCAGACGGTTCACGGCAAGAGTCGCCTCAGTTGTTAATAGCTTTTCTGCAGAACGCGGGACTAGGGTAGATGCCGAAGGTAGACGTCAACTTCAACCCTTCTATTAGGGGTCATCACCGTTCTCCCATCCGTAGTGTAATACTTATGCCGTTTTAATGTACCTTTCAGGGGGGAGGCAAATTAAAAATTCGAATCTGGTGTGAGGGTAGTCGCCTTCCATGCTTAGGTGTGATTGTGGTTTTTCCGCCCCCCCCCCCCCAAACGTTGTACTTATCCTCCCAATCATTCCCTCTTAATAAACATGTCAAAATTAAACCAATCGGGTTGTTCTAAGAACACTAGGAGCAGAGAAGAGGGGCCGGTGTGTCTCGCTCTACAGTAGCATATGTACTTCTTCTGCTCAGCTGAGGTCTATTACGCAGCAGTGAAAATCCGGATATATAACCTTTAGGATCGGGTTCGCTTTCCGCTACCACCAATGTAGCGTCCCGGGACTTCCCTGAAGACGAAAGAAGACACAATAATCGGGCAGAATATGCACATTCAGCACAGAGAAGGTGTTTGGGCTACTGGCATGGCCCGAAGGCCACCCCACCCAGCGAGGTACAAGAGGGCAAATTCAGAAGTTCATGAGTAGCGCCTTACCAATATCGGGGAAAACCACCATCGTATTACAGTATCACCACAGTCCTGTAGTATACATAATTAGCAATTCTCTGCGTCATTTAACTACGCGAACCCTTGGGTCTGCTCTGATGTTGCGTTAATGCTGTGGCGTAAGATAGTAGTGTTCTAGTCTTCCCGTGAGTTAGTAACACAACTTCTTCACAGCATATGGGGTAATGCAGTAATTGTTTAATTCTCGGACTTTGTAAAAAACAACTTCTGACTTGGTTATTGTACCAAGTTGGGTGGGCTAGCTTTCGGGCCATGCCAGTAGACTAAATGCCTACTGTATTCTTCACGAGTATTATGTCTTCTTTTATATTCAGGGAAGTCTTGCGGCACTACATTTAGACCTGCCGCGACTGCGTGCAAACTCCGGGTGCTGCATAAAAATGGAAATGCCATAATTGAAAAGGAATTTCAACTAGCAAATGGTCAACTTAAAACATCCTGAGCCAAATGCAACCTTTTTTTCAAAGAACAGTTTTCTTTGCAAAATTATGCTAAAGTATGCACTATGGTCCCGTTTTTCAAAAAACATGGCTAACCTAATTTTTCCGCTTGTAACGTGATGCAGGTTTAAGCCGTTAAATCTTCAGGTGTGCCACTCGTTTAACACCAGATTTGGCTGTACAGTCCCCCAAATCTTTGCACTATGCACTTCTGCTCTAGTGGCATAGTCTTTCAGCTATGCCCTCAGTGCCCTAGTCCATCAACTCAAGTGTAAAACGAAGCTCGCAGATCTTCACTTCCCTACTCCCCTTACGCTTAGAACACTCCAGTTGATTCGTCTTCTTCATGTTTATTGGAATAGACGGATAAGAAAAGTAAGCTCCAGTTCAAAGGGTCTTTGCATTTGAGCCTTTGATAATTACAATATATTAAGTTTTAAAAAGAAAGAACTAATTTAAAGATCATCCACTTTACTAGTCGGTGCAGAATCGTAGCTGCAACTAAATTGTGCCACTTTTGGAATGTATTAATTAGGCACATTTTGGGACATTTTGCTAATATGTTAATTTGCTACGGACCTGCATCATTTGTATGATAACGTGTGGCGTTTTTTTAAATTTCGTTTCGTGTTCTCGTGAACGGAGCACATATTCATGACCTGGGCAGATATTTTTCTTTACAATGCAAGTTATTCTTTCTTCTTAGAATTCTGATTGGGTACTTGATGCTATCAAGCACATGAAATGTGTCCATTAGTGCGATTTATTTGTACAAAATATGAATTCTGATTACAGAATTTCCTGGCATGTTAAAGATTTAATTACCTTTTTAAGGTTATTTTTTTCTTACATATAGGACATACTTTGTTCCATATAATACGCTTCAAGGTGAAACGGCGCCTCTACGCAAATGGAAAATTAATGGAGATCAATTAAGCAGTCGTGTTTTCCAAGCAAATACACAATCAGGAAATTTTCAAACAACGACTTCTAATGCTTCTTTCTTGAGACGCATTGCCAGGCACTCTGGAGACTTTCCTGGTGCTCCCGGGAATCCAAGTTCGATTAGATCTGGTCTCGACTCAATTAACGTATGTACCTCGTATATTTGTACTTGCATTCATTTGAAGCCCCGGTATATTATTTTATGTTTAGTTATGTATTTAGTATGTTAAGCTTTGCGAACGGTGCCTGTAATGCATTTTAACTGCCCCCTCTGAGTAGGACAAAACGTTTAGTTTTGCACTTTTTAGATCAAAATTGACACTTTATTCGAGACTGTTCGACGCTTGGAGCAGTCGAATCAGCAGCTTTGGCAAAGATTTAGTGGCCTTAGCAACGATATAACTGACCAAAAGTTAAACGAAATTGGTACTCAACCCAAATTTGAGACTCCCGCCTTGGCGACGCAGCACATTACAGATGCTTGGAAGCAGTCAGCATTATCACAGGTGAATAGTCAGATGAGTTACCTTCACTCTTTTGATCCGGGTGAGAAGACGCAATTTCCGCTGAAATTTCCATGTGCTCGTACTGCTTGTAACAGCCGTCTTTCAGCAGGTCCATTTGCAACCAAAATCTCAAAGCTGGAACACACACACCCGACAACTTACCAGTTTTCACCTACATTTTTAGAACCTGTTAAGTAAGTAGTGCAAATATTTTTGAAAATTCTTTTAAGTTCAAATTTGGCTCTATAATGATTGAAATCATGAACTAGAACTCAGATTTTTTGGTGAGATGGTGGATTAGCCTGTGATTCCAAATCCTGTAAATAATTTGCCGTCTCCTTTCAATTTCTGCTAACTGCCTACTTTTGAAGGCCTAAGAGAAATAAGCAAACTTGGAGGGAAACTTTTAGCAGTTATCTACAATAACACTAAACAATAGATCGTTTCAAGTTCCACCTCAAAATATGCAATCAGAGTATCTGTTATTTGTGGAAAGTTTCTATTAAAATTACTGACTGAATCTTATCATACCCACTTATATCAAAAATATTCGGTTTGTAGGTCTTCATTCTTGTTCGTTTTGATATGCACTCGTATCAGCGGCTACTGCTCATCATTAATTAGGGTTATAAAAGTCAACATTTGTAAATCACGACCACTGTGCATAACATTACTATCTAGCTTTATATCAAAAGTCGGAATCTTACCAAGTCAAAATACTATTTTCTCTAGGCAGCACAATTTTCTTTCCTAATGAATCGCTTTTAGCACAAATACCGTGTAGCATTTTTGCTTATGACTAGCATATTTTGATCCTAACAATTACAACTGCAAAACTTTTCATACACATACTTTTCAACGATGTTATACACATAACCTCTAACCTGTTGTTGTTATTCGTTTATTAGTAATTTCGCGTCTCTAGCATTAAAATGGTTAAAATGCACGACAAGGGGATGCAAGCTCAATGAGTAGATAGAGGTGATGCCCATAATCATCGCATCTGCTCTTTAACGGAATGTAATTAACGAGTTAACCATGAAGTCACTCCGGATAACTTTTTTATAAAATTAGGCGGTAACTGATTAATTAGTTGGTCTTGCAAAAGACTAAGACCTCTTATTTTTATCGGGTTCAGCCTTGTGCATGACCCCCCAAGGCCTAAGTATTAGTCACTTTATTAAAAATTTGTGTATCATGAAATGAGAAAGCTGTTTATGCATAATATAATGAGGCTAAACGCCATTTACTACATTCTTCACTTCAAAAGGACCTAGTTACTATTTTTTGTGCTACCCATTGTAATTGACAAGGACTCATACGACATTTCTTATTCTTTACTACTTTCGTCACGATAAAAACTGCTTGAAGATCCAAAATGCATGTAAGATAATAGATTTAATGGACAAGTAACCTGGAATCCTTATGACCATTTCTGTGGTGAGTTTCCCTGAGTTGATTTGAGATAGAATTCCTGGTTATTTGCATTATTTTTCCTCTCTTCCCTCGTTGGCCAGAGCTGATGAGACGGTAGGCACCGACCATGGTCCTCGAGGAATATCGAAGTACACACAGATGAGGGAGGGCGTCAATGGTATCTACCCAATAAACACTTCCCCAGCACCGGTTGAAAAGGAGAGTGTCGCCCTGATGCCCCTAGTTGAGGGGCCAGGTTCTATTTCAGAAGGTGAGCCGTTTTGCCTTTTAAGCCCGTTGATGAAGTCTCAGTTCTTATGGACCTTCATTAATCAATGTAGGGCTTAGTTTTCGCCTCCTTAGTCTCGCAGTATCTGAATTTTGAAATGTGGAAATGTGATTGCTTCAGGCTTTTGTGCATAAATCCAAAACTATGAATCCAGCTTCCATGAGTGAGTTCACTTGTTTAGATTTACTCGCGTTTGGATTTGCCCATAAATGATACCTAGGCTGCAGAAACGGAGATTTAAAATGTTTCTTAATATCCACAAACGGAAAATGACCTTGACCCAATCAAGTCTTAACAGAACAACCCTTTCCTCGTTCTCAACCAGCTTCCACCATGAAATTTTTCTCGCCTTTTTTAGACAACATCGATGTCAAGTTACTAATTGAAGTAACCTGATTACCTTCTTATTTGCCTATTCCTGAGTTGAAGCAATAAGTAACCGTAATAAGTGCGTAGTAAAATTCATTTCACCTGTAATTTCCTCTCCCTGTCAGTCAACAGCTGTAGGATATCTCAATTTGGATACAATATTTTTTAAGATTTCTGACGTGCAGAGTGATGATTTTAGAGTTTTTGGAATTGTTATTCCTTTGAAATGTAGGCTGACTGGTTTTCAATGAGCCAAAATGGCTAGATTTCTGTTTTGTTTTCTGCACGACTAGCGCAACAACGAATGCGATTGTAATCCTTTCAGGCTGTTGAACTTTATTACCCTCTCCAACCTTGTAAAAGGTAATTTTCTTGTCCATTAACATTCTTTTTCTTAAAGATACTGTTTCCCCACTTCCAACGTGTAGACAAGGCCTGAGGTCTGTCTCGGTTGGAACAACAACACGGTTTGATTCTCCAAATAACAATTACCTTCAATCTGGCAAAATTAAAGACACTTATGATTACTCCAAGGTGAGTCCAATTCAGCTAAAAAATAAAAGTCTTAAAACTGAAGTTTTTTTTTTTTTTGAAATTTGATGGACCATAGAATGTATAGGTGGAATGAAAAGCCAAGCTGGAAAGCTTATTAGGAAGGAATCTGTCAAATACATCCAACTTACAGCATTTTGCCTACTTTTCTTGTCTTCAAACACATTAAACATAACATTTATTAATTTCTCTCGAATACCATGAGTACTGTTTAGTAAACAAGTTTCTAAATTAATTAATTAGAAATTAAAGAAAGACTAGAACAGGAAGGTGTGGCCTTTTAGCTCAATGGGAGTGGTAGTGGTTATCAGAAGCTAAACCGTTGCCAAGAAATAAGTACAATACTACTCCTTGTTAAATCTTATTTTTTAATCCAAAAGGTTTACTGGTAAGTGGCTTTTTAGCTGCGGCTGTGGGAAGTTACTTTCCTAAATATGTTGCATACTATTTATTGCTTCCTCAGAGGGCAAGATTTTAGATGTTGACTTTAAACGTTATCTTAGGAACTAAAATAAACGGTTTGATTCCAAAACAGAGTAATAAATTGAAACTTTTCACTATGACCAAATAAAGCTGTTCTTATGAGAATGCAAACAGTATAATAGGTCCAGTCATTAAAAATTCCATTTTCGTCCCCTCAATTCCCATCCTGTTACTTTGGGAGTTAAATGAATGGAAAGTGCTTTCCTCTATGTATCATCTGACACTTTAAGAGGTTCTCTTTTGCAATGACCTTGACCTCTGCTTTGCTTTGCGCGCCATCAGGACGGCGAGCTCACGTCAGTGATGCCACGCCCAAGGATGCAGAACCTAGTGATGCGAATGATGCAGGAGTCAGAGGCACGTGGGGCCGCCGGTGGCAATCCACAGTCGCAGCACCAACAGCAGGATTCCACTCTACTCATGGTCCATTCAGACAATGATCCATTCACTAATTACCCGGGTGGGTTTGTTAGGGCATCCAAAAAAGCACAAATTCATACCTTTGCTTGTTGAAGTGATAGGTGATTAGCAAACTTGTAGCATGAAGAAGATGATCTGTCTTAATGAGCCATGAAGCAATGGATTCTGCGTGCTAACGCATTTCAAAAGTCCTTTAGTATGATGGCTACGCAAAATCACTGAAAACTGTGTTTATTGTACCTAGAAGTCCACTAAAAGAAGAATAGTACGCAAAGGCTTCCTGTGCAGTCCTTTTATTTCCGGATCTAATGTCACCAGATCTTTGAGTAAAATTCAATGCAAAAGCGTTTAAGAGCTTAATATGACTCTTGAGAAGCTGCATTTAATTAATTCGGTTAAAGCAGTCGAAATTTTATGCCAAATAGTCCAAAAATAGGCTAAATAATAACATAATATGAAATTTATCCAAGGCTTTCCTGAAGACGAAAGAGTTCATAATACCAGGGCAGAAAATGTACTGTTAACCTACTGACATGGCCCAGAGGCAGGCCCTCCTGACGAGGTGGGACCAAAACCGACAGCTAAACAAATTGCCTGAGCATTACAAGAATCGTAAAGCCAATGTCGAAGGAATCATTGTGGTATTATTTTAAGACAGTTTCTTTTCGAGTGAAAATATGCTTTGACGCATAATTGGGTTTCAAAGCTCTCAATGGAGCAATATAAACTGGCGCGTGTAGTTCCTCTCTGCCACTTGTGGGTTATTAGAGTAATAAGCGTAAAAAATTTGGATTGCTTTGTCTCCATTAAAATAGGTGCGAAGTACGTGCTTTCATGCGTACAACATATGAATCGTATGTGTGAAATGAGACCGAGATGCTCTAAATCGGTGCGATTACGCACCATTTATGCGTGATCAAATTTGCAAGGGTTCCTTTTTAATGCTTTTTTTTCCTTAAACGTAGTTCGATCTGACTTGACTTTTTGGATCCCACTCTAGTTCTGCTTCGCGTATTCTGCTTCTGTAAGTAGGTCTTCAAATCATTTTTGTCCACTACACCATTCCCATCGATGGAGGAGAGATGTGGATACATATTTTGAGAATGTTCTATAACGGACTCGGTGTTTCTCTCCTCCACATCTACCTCCATGCAGAATAATAATTAGAATTGCTTAGCTTCTGCATCTTCAGATTTAAATTAAATAGAGACAGATGATGATGATGATGATGGCGGCAGGTGGGCGGGCAGAGAGCGAGGCAGGTTAAGAAGCATGTTACACCAACTTATTCCGCGGGTTCATTAGAACACTCGAGATGTTGGGAGTTCCTGTTGATGCTCCACTTGTCAAATCAGGGAGGTATGGCGCACAGGACCTGATTCATTGGGGTGCGGTATTTGCTCATCCTGAGATGAGCAATATAATTCATTCCGTAGCTCAGGTCTACCCCTCACGTGAATCAAGGGTGATATATGACGGAGTCGTGACATCAGCCTTAGGAGAAGCGAACGTGAAACTCATATCAGCTACCACAGATAAAGTGCGGTAGGCCATTATCATTTGGGTTGAGAATTCGTCTACCTATAAATGTGGGGTGACTAATGGAAAAACACCCGAGCATCGAAGCATTGTTGTTGTTTTATTCTCCCGTTCTTCGGATTTCAAGGTATAGCAGACTCGGTGTTTTTATCTTCTCCACCCCTGCCTTCATACTTCTGAAACGAGTAGGCGAGTTGGCCGAGGGCATGATTGACTAGGTAACGGTAGATAAAGGAGTGCACGTATGTCAAGATTAGTCGTGTTCGGGCTACGTTTCCACCTCTTCGAGGGTCGATGGCGTCTGATCCGTAAAGAGGTTCGTATTTACTGGTCGCACATTCATACATGCATTACAGTTTCGTCGGAACTACACAAATGAGAGGTGGTGCATATCCCTAATTAAAATTCTGAGTTCATACTCCTTAATTTGTACCATTAAGTTATGATGTCTGTATGGAGGCTCGGAGAACTTTTATCCATCCTTGTCCAACATTAAAGTTTGTCCGACAGGCTTAACCATACCAAATAAAATAATTTTCGCCAAAGCCTAAACCTTAAATTACCTAAGATAGCTTTAGGACCTTTTTGAATATAATGTAGTTAGAAAAATCATTTGGTGTTTTCTGCCTCTTCATGAATAGCCGTAATAGTAACATCAAGCCACTTTCACTGCACTTTGAAATGCGGCAGAACAGTAAAAGTACCAAGAGTGGTCTTCGTTTCTTCAATTATGCGAAAACACTTCTACCCTCTAATTACAGATGTCATAACATAACAATGACATTTTTCCGAAAAATTCATCTTCAAGAAGCATGTTTATTAAAGTTGGATCAGTCCACATTAGGCATCGGTGGTTGTAGGGAAATCCGCACATATTTGGAACTTGGTTAAAGGTATGTGATCCTACCCTTGAGCGTTATTGAGCAAGGTATTTGTGTTCCATCCACTGTAAATTAATCCAAAGTGAATTTTAAAAGGCTCTATCGAAGAATGATGCTCAAAATTCATCTTGAAGTTAAAAAAGTACTTGGGATTTGTAATTCAACGCAAAACAGCGAAGTTACAGCACAGAAATGAGGAATGTCCCAACGCCTCATCATATTTTATAAGTACAACTTGACTGTATTGCTTCTAGAAAAGGATTACGACGAATTAAATTACTACATGATCACCTAAAAAGTCCCCACTTTATCAATCCACTATGTGCACCTCTGCTCATATTAATTCTAGGAATCTGTGCAAACTCCCTTCGTTTTCAATTTGATGATGAGGATTCTAAAGAGGAATTCATCCAAAATCTGGCGATTTTTCCTAATCCTCAATGAGTTTTTAAAACTCATTCTATGGTAGTCTTTCAAGGTTTCTTTCAACAACACAATTAAAGCCTTCACGGATCGATTCCTCGTAGTTGTATTTCTTCAATGCGTGCAAGGTAGAGGAATCACCATTATCTTTTACTTATTCCTCCAAAAGGCATGGGCAAATTTCCTCCAAAATATGTGCGACGCCAGCTCTGGACCATGGATACAGTGGGTACCTCCTCCTCAGCCTCGTCCTCCAGCAGCATGGGTACTCCCTGCATTCCCTACAACAATGGCGGTAGCAAGACGGCTGGCGGTATGCGTGGCGCTCGCAACTCCATCCCTGTGCCATGCAACGTCTCCGCCTCCACTATCACAGGCAACCCTCAGAAAGTCGCGGTGAAAATGGAAGTAGGACAGGCACGATCAATGATCCTTATGGTGCTGGAAGAGCTAGTAAACACAGAGAGCTCCTATCTCCACATTCTCTCCCAGTTCCTCATCCTTCGGGATGAGATCTTTGCACCTAATTGGCGAATCGACAGGCAGAAGTTCATGTGAGTGCAGCTATTGCTCTTCTTTGACACTTGCTTCGTGAAAGTTAAACAATTTTGAGAAAAATCTTGGGCATAGGCATTTATTCAACTTTGATGTGGGTTTATATTAGCAGAGCTTCCTTTCGCCCAAGTAAATATGCGGTAATATTTCCTGTTCCCTCCAAACAAGATGCTCATTTCTAAGTCCAAAATGGAAAAAAAAAACTACTGAAGCGTCTTTATTGAATTCTTATTCCTCGATCAATTCAACAAATCAGAAGTTCTTGGGCAGTCCGCTTCTGTGAAATCCTTGTAACGAGATAGTCTGATTTGAAGTAGGTTTACTCCTTTTAGACGACTTTTTCCTGCGGCAGTGGATGACCTCTGCAACCTTCATCGCGAGTCTTTTGATGCCATGAAGTGCGCCTTCGACCGCACAGCCGAGGAGATGCGTCACTCTGAGGACACCTGGGGTGAAGACCTCCAATTACCCCACCAAATCCACCACCGTTACAGCCAATATTACATTCAACGCCACCGACATCCACGTGGAAGACTCGGCATGCTCAGCGGAGGTGACGACGAAGCTAGTGATGATATTAACTCCTCCCTCACTACTCCCTTTAGCGTCCTCCTGGAGATGATTGAGGGGAAGCGGCCTCTCGCTTGCTACTCACACAGTCGCTCCGCATCCACCACTGCCACTGCTGCTGCCACTCTCTACTATCGCAGAGCACCGCTCTGGTCCACTGCACCTTTCTTTAAGCTCTACGCTCGATACCTTTCCGAGTTCTCCGGTGCCATACAAATGCTTAACAAGATGCGCTCTGGTCCCACCAGCCTACGTAAACACCTCAAGCAGCTACAATCCCATCCTGCGTGCGAGTTTAATGACATCACCACCTACCTTTTGGCTCCTGTCCAGCGTCTTCCTCGCTACCTTCTGTTGGTCAGGAAAATGATCCAATACACGGAAAAGATAGAGCGGTTCCAGAACATTCCTCCCACTAAACGTCCACGTCCACGAGCAGGCCTTCGGTGCTCTACAACTCCTTTGCAACCAGCGACCACGACACCAGGGTTTCCAAGTCTGGATCTGCTGAAGAAAGCAGAGGAGGCATTGCACGGAATGCTTCTGGAATTGGACGAGATGATTGGTGGTGATGCGATGGATCTCAAAGTGGAGGCACGTGACATTACCTCAGGTGGCGGGGAAGAGGAGTACGATTTTGGGCCTGGTGGTGGTAGTGGTGGAAGTAGTGGTTTTATTAAGGCCAATTCTGTGTACTCCAACAACTGTTCAGACAGTGTGGATGTTAATAGCAACACCACTACCTTTGATAACGTCTCCACTGAAGATGAAAAAGACAGCAAACGTCGGTAATTTAATGACTATTATTCACCATAATTTTGCCTCCATTCATTACTCTTTTTAATTTCATAGACGGGCGCAATCAGTAGTAGACCCGACCAGGAGAAAGATGAGATCTAGCAGTACCAGTTTCAGTGGTTGTAGTGGAGGCGGAAGCGGAGGCTTCTGGAGTCGTTTAAAACGCCTTCGACTCGCCTTTACTTCGAGCCAGCAAAAGAAGACCTTTCTTAAAGCGAGTGTCAATGGAGCTGAAGCGCACAACTGTGGAAACACCACCGCTCCGAAATCTGCACAAGAGTCTGGAGCAGAGACACTTCGAAGGCGTTTTACCAGACTCCCTCAAAGTCAAGGTGCTGCAAAGAGACCGAAATCGCTTCACAGGACGACCAGTAGTATGGAGAGGAGTAACACTTCAAGTACGCCAAGGAAATTTAAAAAAAGTAGCTAAGTGATTTGAATTAAAGTCTTGGTTAACTTTAACAGTGATTCATGAAGTAAACAAGGTAGATTTAAGCTTTTTGAACTTAAGAATGCAATAAGGCTTTGACTGGAGTCAGACTAATTTGCATTTCAGAGAGACATGAATATGCGTTTAAGATTTGTGAAAATGAGTCTTCAAATACGTTATATAGAGGTAGAAACCTGGCGCAGAGCATCTTCCGCGCGACCACACAACCAAACGGCACCGGGCAAATCAACGACCCCGCATAACCCTCAACGTTCAACTCAGGAACAGAAACATCATTCAGACAAGTTTGACAAGGTACCGAAATTTGTGAAGGATCGATTATTTTATTTTTCACCTAGTTTGTTCAAATTCAAAAGTATTTTCAACGTCCTGAAACCACCCTTTTGCCATATTTCAGCGTAGAGGAAACCGAAAAGGTCTTCCCACGCGGAAAGCTCCCAGGGCTACGGAGATTTCAAAGCCAATGTTATTTAGCTTTTTGCATGGAGAGGGTCGGTCCAATGTCCCCTCTGTGAAGTCCGGGAAGCGTGGCATTAAGTAAGCATGATCCGACACTGTCGTTAAAGTTTTCCAAGCATTAGAACTCATTTTTAGTCCCAAAATTTGCATTAATACTATGAATTAAAGTACTAGTAGGAAAAGTTAAAATAATCCATACTTTATAAGTTAACGTTGAAATCAATTGTAGGTCCCTCTGATTCAAGATTGTAAGGCATAATCAAGGGTTTATTCCAGGGCTGAGGTGGATTTCCTTCATTTTAGCTACTTGAAGATTTGTTCTTATTAAAACCACTTAGAAGCGTATGTACAGATCGGCAACAGGAATGTGTCGTCATGTGCAGTCGATAAGAAGTCTTCTTGTGACTGAATAAATTTTCATGTGTCAAATGAGCATCACTTTCGGAGTCAAGTGCTAATCTGCACTTTGTCTCGTGTTTTTTGTGTTCAATCCGATGGTAGCACCTTTTACTTGCACTGAAGGTAGTGAAATTCTACACAATCTGTCAAAGGCAATTTCTCAAATTTTCCGTTACTATGAGGTTTCACCATTCCTTGTAAAATAAGCCATCATAGGAACTTGTTGCAATTCAAATAAATGCAGGAGTAGTGACCCCAACCCTGATCAAAAGGAATGTCTAAGGCTGGTTTTTCCCAAACCTTTCGGGACCTTCGACCGGCACAAGATGGTCGGGCTCGCAGGGAATGAAAGGCAAAATTTGCATTTATATTATTTGTACTACTTAGGACAGGCCTACTCAAGTTATGCTTTGCAAAGTTTGTTCGGTGCATGCAAACTAAATGGTTCCGTTCGCCCAGGTTTCTTATCTTTTTGCCTTGACACTGATGTACATCTGTATAGTGATGTTGGTACCTGGTGCAGATGTTTACAACGCCAGTAAAGGGTCTTATCTCAAGATTCCAGACCCACAAAATTCTTTATAAGAGGGTTAATAAGATCTACTAGATGGTGTGGTGCTTCGCATCCTTCTCCCATTAACCAACATATTGTAGCGATACACTATATTAGGGGAAATACCGCCTTTGCCCTCCAGTTCACTTAGATACACAAGGGTTGTGACCATGATGTGCTTTGAATTGCGGCAGTAAATGCTTCTGCTCTGAGGCCTTTGTCTTCTTTGATCTTCTGTTCCTAGCAATATCCAAAATTGCTGGAATTTTTTCCATGGCCTACCTTGAATAGTAGACTATGAATCCTGTTTGACTACCTGAACCGCCAGTACAGTTTTTCCGTTATAATCGAACATAAAATTTAGCAATCATCAATTTTTAGGGAATAAGCCCCAAGTTTCGTGCAAAATATTTGGAAGCGATTGATTTGGGAAAGTATCAAGCAGGTCCCATCTAGTGAAGTTAAACAAAATAAGGTATCCTCCAGATTTCAGTTGGAATTTATGGCTGATTTTTTAAGTGTTGTAGCGTACTTTATTACCAGGTAATTATTTACCCATAAGAAGACCTTTAAGATCATTATCTCCTAGTTATTTCCACAATAATGTAGAAATGCATTTAGGCAAGTCTTCAAAGCATTGCGACGAACCAGTAGATGTGGATCAGTGTTTCTGATGTTGCATCAGAGCAAAAATTGAGCAGATGGGCAGCGGAGGATAGAGTAAGCACTTAAAATCATTGGCGGATAATTTTCTTAGATCTTCAAGCAATCAGGAAGGAGTACTGCCTCACTTAAGTGAGTCTAAACAGTAGAGTTGGATTTCATGTGCTACATAGAACTGATGTCTCAGTGATTTTAAGAATGTTGAACTCCAAAAAGGTGTTTTCTGCTTTGCACGCCTTCCGTTTCTCAAAGGAGCAAGCTGTGGATATTGCGCCACAATGCTGTGGCTATTCGTGTAAGCTGGTGGAAGGCTCCCTTGAAAAGATCTATCAATACATCTTAGAGGATACATTGTTTTCGATAAAAGTGCTTAATTGTAAGATCGAGTTTCGATTTGAGCTTCTACGAAATTGAATAAAAATAAGAACCTTTACCTATTGATAGGTACCGAAAGGACCATTATTCAGTTGCACCTTTTTACATAGTATTTGTGATGGGAAGCAAAATACAGGCATTTTCCCCACATCGCTATTGGCATGCTTCATTCTACTAAATTATTGCCTTTCCCTCTGACACGAATTCTCTCCTAGCACTTACCACTAAGGCATTTGGAGTCGAATATCGGTTCAATCTCTGAATTTCAGGCATACTAATAAATCCGATCATCGCAGCTCGATAGGCAACACCCCCATCGGGGCTGTGACGAGCACGGCGAAGCCAAGTACCACCAAAACAGACAGCGACAGCGGAGTCCACACCCAAACGGAAGAGGAGCGACGTCGTCGTCGCCCTCAGCCCTATCACCAAGCGCCGCTTTATCGTGAGCAGCCTGTCTTTAGCACCGGTCGATCGCGGTGGATCGGGCGCCCTGGTCACACGCCTTTCGCCACCACAACGACTACAAGTCGACAGTCCCGCAGCAAGTGGCAGCAACAACAGCAAGTACCACGGCACCAGAGTCAGATGAAGCCGCTACGAAGCAGCGATAGCGATGCTGGAGGTCAGGCAGAGCAGGAGGCCAGCCGCTCTGCCTCTCCCACGCTCTCTTCTACCTCCTCAATCACATCCTCCGCTTCCTCCGCCACTGCTGCCGAGTCCGCCTCCGCCCTTGCACCCACCGTCTCCACCAGCTACTCACTGTCCAACGTGGACCCTCACCTCCAACCATCACGACCGGTAGTTGGAGTGATCTCGGAGGCAATAAGAAAGATGCGGGCACCTACACCTGCGCCTTCACCACCGAGTGCCATGATGGAGACGCTGGTGCAGGAGGAGAATCAAGCCAAAGTGGAGGTCCAGTGAGTGTGATTTGTGGTTTATACGTGAGGAGGAATTGTTTCTTTGGCATTCACAGAAAACCTACTATGGACAAGTTTTTCGCTATAGGAAAATTGGACTTCCGCCTTAAGATTGTATTTGTAGCGGCAAAAGTGGGATTTAAATTAACGGCTGTAATGTACTTCGAGTGAAGCCATGTGCCAAGTAACGATGAGTATTTCAGGAGCACCAAGAGAAACGCTATCAAAAATTAAAAATAAATGGAACAGACTTAAGTAAAATTTTCTTCATAAAGCAACTTATTATAAGCGGTCGCATCAGCACAGCACTGTATGACTACTGAGCCTGCTGGGGCTAGCTATAAATCCTATAATCACCTTAAAACTTGAGATGGGTTATGCTAATGAGTCCCTGAAATTACTTGGAGCATGAGATTAAGAATATGCAATGTCCTACCTCTGCTTAAACTATATAGATTACTTTTTCTGGCACAAATTGCGTTTCGAAGTGTTGTTCATCGACTTGCATCCAGTTACCTTTCAAAGTGGAAAACTTATTCCTTTAAAAGGTCCTTGGTCTGACATATGGAAGCGCTGTACAGCGTGAGGCCCAAATCTGATGGGGAATATGCATGGTTACATATGGCGCCACTGCTATCCGCACGGCACTGGCAAATATGGTCAGCCCCAGGTCAAGAACAAATGAAATATATTGCCTTGAGTGAGGGCATGCGCGTGCGTGCCGTAACCATCTGGGTCAAGGATTCGGAAATCTGTGAAAGCAGTGGATAATTCACAATTCGGATGCATAGTAGCAGCCTCCTGCGAATCGCAGAGTTTTTTTTTGCATAACCCATCTTCCATGTCCCTTAAATCAACCTGAAACCAAATAAGTGTGGCAGTGACATTCTTTCGGCTTATAGGATACTGTGGCTTTGTGATCGAGTCTGGTAAAGTACCCACTTATTAGCTTTCTAAACAGCCAATTTTAATTGTGTTGCTTCTGACACTTCAAAATCTGGTAAAAGTGAATTAGATTCGAAAATGCTGCTAATAATAGTTAAGCTTCTTATGAAAAAAGTTGAAGATGATATGATGAAATGCTTTCAGATGAACTATGATTGAGCAAAGATTTAAGTTGTGAAACCAGTAAATGAAAAAAAAAATAACCAGATAATATGCGTACGACAATAAAGTCTATTTTGGAGGTATGTTAATTCGCCTGATCCTTCATTAAGATGGGACGAAAGATGGGTGATGGGCAATTCTGCTAACCAAAGGACATTTAGCCCATTCATATTCAACACGAAGTTACTTAACGGTTCACACTTCTGAAGCCCAAGTTTTACATGTTTCCAACTTTGCTGCATAAATTAAAAGTCGCCTAAGTCCGAAGAATTGAGTGAAGTGGAAATGGTGGGAGGCGAACTCCATGAATTGAAACCACCCTTTCTTGATACATCACAATGAAAAACTTCATTCTGCTTTGTAAAGGATAAACATGGGGTTTTAAGGGAAGTCGAAAGATTTAAAGGCGGCAAAAGACGAGGTGGGTGGTAAGCCTGTAAGGTGTTAGGTGTCACTGGAATTAATCGAACTTCGACACCCCAGGACGCCTACATAAAAAAGGCGTAGTAAAGGAAATTCGGAAGAGCCGTTCAACGAATCCATAAAGTGACGAATAGACCGTTTATTACAACAATGCAAAAAGTAGAATAAAATCCATTCCATCCATACTAGAAACTGACAGTCTCCTTTCCTGCTGCGTAGGAGAACAATTTAGAAGAATTCGGCGAATTGAAGGGGCGGTAAGTGAACTTTTGTAGTGTTAAACAAGTTAATCACTTTCAGCGTTCACAGTACAATTGAAACAGTCCCCACATAACCGAACAGGACGTTGATTCATAACGCAAAAACACTTAAGTAGGAGTTGAGTGTGTACAGGACTGAGGATTCAAAGAAGGCAAAGGGAAAGGTTGAGTTCCAGAGGCATTGATTAATCTATTCACTACCAGGCTGCAAAAAAGAATAGAATCCTGTTTAAAACTGCTAAATGCACGCCTCTTTCTTCCCGTTACACAAAGGATGAGTCAGGAGGAATCGGCAGCTTCAGATGGGATAGAAGTGGAGGACGATGATGAAACGGCGATTGCAGATTTGGACGAGGCTCCTAACGCACTGGGTGATGTCAGAGCAGTGGAGGTGGACTTGTGCGGTCACAACACACGGCGCTCCGAGTCCGGTCACGGGGAGACCACTTTCGAAGTAGGCACCCCAGTTCGCTCCATCACCACCACTGCTACCGTCGTTTCCGCTCCTGCTAATAGTCCTTTGGATATCCTCATTGACCCCGATACCGTTCGCACGGTCGAGAGTCCTCCACTATGCGCTTTTGAAATGGCACCTCTCGTGGGGCGGCTGTGTCTGGAGGATCTCGAGGAGTAGCAGTCGAGAAGGGAGAAGTGGAATGGGGAGAGGCAGCTGCCTACTCGGAGTGGTGCTGCGCTTTTCTTAACATCTCAAAATACACCTACCAATGAACTGACCTCGCCCCCTTCTTTCCCAATCTGGTGGTTTAGGTGATTGTTCGCCTTACAAAGTTGGTGCCTCAAATCGACTTTAAGCAACTTCATCTTACAAGGTTGGTAAATGACCTACTGTCTCCTATTTCCATGAAAATGGGAAAAATCCAAAGCAAAATCTCGTGATTTTGCTTTTAAGAAATTTAGATTCGGTGAACATATTACTAAAATGATAAATAGTAGGACTAGTAAGGAAGACATTTGTCCCATAAAGTAGACACGGGATAGCGCGAGAAATTCACCGCCGTTAGCCTGCAAGCATGTGGTCGAATGTGCAGTTGAAGTGCTCCACATCTCGTGCGGGAAAAAAATCACAAGTTAACCTTCCGTAGGCAAGTTTGCGCAGATATATTAGGGAATAATAAAAAGCAAGTTTCGTTGACAAGGCAAATGGTGGACTGAATCAGGGAACATATAACAACGAGATCAACAAATTTGAAGGTCTTAAAACTTTAAGCTTACACCTTGGTGACGACTTCAACTGAATGCATAAACACCCAGTAGTAATGGAAATGTAACTGTATAGAAGTCTGAAGCGCTTTGCCTCCTAATTTCCCGACTGATGAGAAAGGTGGTCAACGCAACGATTTTGATCGTCTTATGGTCAGTTAAACTCAAGACACACACATCAAGAAGTGGAATACGTTGCACGGAATGAAGCTCTCATGGTTGAATTCTACCCCGAATGTAAGGTGATCCCGGTGCAACATTCCGACTGAGCAATAAAAACTGTCGCGTGGCAGCAAACTGCCTCTGCTAAGCAACGACCATCCCACCTGAACAGCAACCTCTACACATTCAACAAGGATCTAACCCGAGCGACTATCAAATTTTCTCAAGATCTAAGTCATTTAGGACCCTCAACCGTTCACCGACCAACTCATCCTCATTTGAATTACGTCAAAAAATCAAACGCCTATCATCATATTTAATCACTTAGCAGGGAGGCCCCAATTTCTCTAGCTCGATGAGACCGAAAATGCCAGCTAAAGGATCACACTTATTTATTCAAAAGATATTGCTAGATGATCCCTGTCAAGCGAGGCAATTTCCGATGCCACCTCAGCGTACGCACGCTGCCAAGCCGCCCGAAAGGCGAAGGAATAAGAACAGCTGTTGCGACAACCTGTGAGAAAAGGTAGAAGTAATGAAGGTAATCAAAAATATTTCCTTCTAATTGATGAAACAATAACCTAACATAGTAAACTTGATGCAGAAATATAACTGGGAGAGAAGTTAAGCAAAGGTCAGAGATCATTTTGGGCGGGATTTTGCGTGAGATAGCCGAGAAAATTAGTGGGATCTGTCTACGATAAAAATGATATTCGATGAAATAATCATCACTACATCACCATCCCCACCTGTCAGCTTGTGAAATGGGAGGAAAATACGGAGAATGGAGGAGTACCTCTCTCCACTCCCGCACCTCGAGACAACAGAATCCGTAAAAAGACCAAATGACTGTTGCCAGCGAGTTAACCAGTTCGAACATGTATAACAATGGCGTAATTCCGGAACACTCCAGAAAAAACCAGGCCCAAAACTGTCAGATCTCAACTCCAGTCTATCCCACAGGATCCGAAACTCCATGCCAACGGTGAAAAATAGGAGCGGCAATCACTAGCAACACAGAATTTATCACCACACACCTCAAGCGTCTGAGTCTCACAAAACCAAAAAGAACTTCCCACAAACCCCTTCCAGACAAAAAGCAACCAACACTGTAAAATGGATTCCGCGGAGTTACGCAGCGTGCACGGAGTATAGAAAGCTCGTAGAGCGTGATCCTGGTGGTAGTAGAAGTTCCAGTCCAAAATGGAGGGCGGTTCCAGTTTCATCAGTCGCCGAAGAACTGTCAGTGCTGCTTCGGACACCCAGGTCGATACGTACGCCTCCTCCTCTCCCGGTACAACAGGGACGACTGTTGAAGACAACGTGACAATTTGATAGGAAATAAGTGTGAAAGTGACAAAAATCTACCTCATACTCGAGCTTGCTCTACTCAAGATAAGTCTTTTAACATCTGCTGTTACAGCACCTTTACAAACTCAAAAGCTGCGAGAAACAGTATAAGAGGCTTCATGTTGAACAAGGCAAAACCAAGATGGCTTCCATAGTTTAGCATTTATGACGAGGTGAAGCAGGCCGTCTTGGGATGGTTTAGCCGCACTGACAGGTCTCAGCTAAACTAAGCTGGGTAAGTGTACACTTACAGCATCAGGAAAGCACGTCAAGGAAGTAGGTATCATTCAGACTGCTTGAAATGTGCTTGATTTTGACAATCCCAACCTCAAAAGTACTAGATGGGCTCATACCCTCGTATATTGAGTGGGCTGAGGTGGGAGTCTGCCGGAAATAATGGTTCCGCTTAAAACCTGACCTACAACTTCTTGAATTGGGAATACGTTACCACTGCTTCATGGCGCTTTCGATGTGTCATTATAACTGTTCATAGTACAGTGGTGTTCACTACCTGGATCGAATAGCCGGGATAGTCCGAACCGGAGAGCAAATTCAACAAGCCAGGCATTGACGACAAGGATGCGAAGTATAACCATGACATCACAAAATCCTTCCGCTAACCGCGCTTGCGCTGCAATCTTGCATTTACCACAGCATTGTCCATCAACTTCTCCGTCGAAGTGGTCTAGAATCGTGGTTCCTTTGACTGCAAGACCGAGAACAGAGGTCAGTCTACCGATAATATCGATGGAGGCATTGGTTTCTTTCGAGTCGTTTATTTCGTAACCCATCTGTGAGGTCTCCAGAAGATTGCAAATATCCCGAAGAAAGCTCATCCCCGTGAGGCTCTACAGTGGAGAAAAACTCGCAATCAGACAACGCTCATTTGGTGACCCGAGAAGCTGACTTCTTCTATGTCAGTACATCACTGTCTACGTAGAGCCCTCAAGTCAAGCTGAGGCTTTTCATCTTACACGTGCAGTAAGAGACTAGTGTGCCTTCATCGGTAGACGGCGAACAAGTCGCGTTGTGCACCGACCCAAACACCACATGGAGTGCTGATCCGACACCTAGATGCAACAGCGAATGCGAATGAACGAACTTGCTTTTTAAGAAATAAGTGAAATCCAAATCGGTGAAAGTCTACTCGTACGACAGGCTTCGAGGACAGAGCAGCAATGGAAGCCCCAGCTGTAGCAGGACACTTAAACGGACACGTGTCTGCCAATGGAGGCTCCAGCCACGATGGTTCTCAGCTCACAGCTTCGGCAATCATTTCTGTTAACATAACCAGAACGTAAGACATCCAAAACTTGATGGCTCATCGATAGCCTGTCGTGTGAATAAGCGGCACATGAGACAAATCCCCTCATGGGAACTATAAACAGAACCGCCATACGCGAAAAGCCCCAATTTTAAAAAGTCAGAGCACGCTGGGTACCAAGGCAACTTTATGCACTGACAAATCATTCAGGTATTAGCTGAACTAAACCGGGCAAATCCCCACTTACAGTAACAGAGGGGCATGTTGAAGAAGCGAATACAGTTTGAAATGCTTGAAATGTGTTCTTTGCTGACGTCAATCGTCCCAAAAGTGCCAGCCGGACTTACACGCCCCTAACAGTACTCTTGTCTCCACTCAGCCCTTCTACGCAATATCAACTCTAAATGGTCCTTAAGAATGGAAACCCTCCCCCAAACTGCTGACCATAGTTGTACCTCTGTGAGTTGCGTGTTCTTTAGCCAAACATGTCCTCGCGAAGTAATAACTTCATTCAATGACTTTTCATGCGGTTCAGGACGTCAAGAAAATTTCTCCGAAAATAGACGGTTCAATAAAATAAAATTTAAAAAATAAATGCACTGAAGTTGATAATTATGCAAAGGACCTTTAATATCAGCAAGAAAACGAACCAGTGACTTTAGAAATGGAATGTTAGTGATGAAAAACTGACTGAGTGCTGCAAATAGGGAGAATTTTCAACAACTACAGGTCCCAGAATTACTGTATGCGGGTTGACTGAATACCTTAAGAGCTATCTCCTCACCAGTAGACCGGTTGGCGAGCAAGGATGACATAAAGCCGGTATTGAGACTGTTCACAACAACTACAGGAAAGAGCCTTGCCAGACGAAGGATGAGTTTGCGACAGAGAGTCAGCAATTTGGCGGTTCCAGCAGGGTTGGTCAGACGAAACGCCTCCGGTCTGAGAGGAAGAAGCACAAAAATACAGGTCGTGTGGGTAATTATTTGACCTGGGATTCAATCACTCTGGTTGGATGAAAATGACAATGAGCAGCTAACTGGATGACGTTGCGAACAACATGTCAGGAAAGGTGTTATTAAGGGGTGATTCGATCCCTAGTGGAAGGATGTCGCGACCAAAGAATTCGCAAAAATTCGTTATTTAAAGTATCCAGCAAGTGATGAAATTGGTAGTTCTCATACATCGAACCAAATTTCACTACACGCCAGAAGGCAGTGCCATTCTATTTGCGGCACAAGCAGTTCAGCCATTATTTATCCTCTGCCACCTTTTCAACCTTATTACAAGAGATTGGAGTCCGACATACGATGAAGAGGAATGCGGCTATCGATAGCTAAAATGCTGCCGGATTTCCCACATTTAAAAGCAGAAAGAGTATGCACCTCAACGACGAAGAGTGAGAAGCACAATATCAGCCATCAGTTATTGTTAGGAATTTTGAGTTTGATCACCACACCAAGTCATTTAATGAGGTTGTAAGGAGGGAGAATTATTTCATTTCTTTTCACTTTTTTACTGCTGTCTTAGACGCAGTCCAGATGCTCTGACTGCCGCGTCCTGTGCTTTGAGTTACTCAGGAGGGGCCCTGAGAGTTCCAACAATGAAGCAGGAGTGGACAATCGAAATCTTTCATGATCACATTACTTCCACTTGTTTTGACCGCTCCGACTAGCATATTCAGCACGTCATTGAGAGGGCTACCAACAGTAACGAATAAAATCCAGGTAAAGACCGATGGCATTTACTTTAAAAAAATCGAAAACGATAGTGATTCCACCCAGCACAATAGCTGACAATGTCAAGCATGCTTGACAGTTCGACTTTCTTATCTTAGTCTGATGGCATAAGCATATGACCTACGCAAAATCAGGTTGAGAACGAGTCGATTGAATTCACAGTGAGATAATAAGGTGAAGGTGGTCTTTAGCTGAGGATGAACCCATTGTCTTCGATTCTGGGCAGCAAAATTATAAAACAGATCTTTAGTCACAGAGAAAAGTGGACAATTTCAACAATGGAGGCTAAATTTCCTCTGAGCCCGTGTTAGCGCCCGTATCAAAAAACCTTCGTGAATGAATTCACTCCACCAACATTACAATCGACTTACACAACAGTCCTCAGTAGAGGCTGTAGAGGATTCCAAACCTTCGTTTCAAAGCGTTTCACCAACTTATCATACGGTTTCGAGGTGGATGAATACGGTGGTTGAAATAGCGTTTCGTCGAAAGCCGCAATGCATTCATTCTTACCACCAACAGCCAGAAAGTGGTTTTTGTAGATGTGCAGGCTCCACTGAAGGTAGACGACAAGAACGCGCAAAGCAAGAGGAGTTGGTTGGACGGTTTTAGATGAGTTGGAACCCGATGAAGCATCAGTAGGTGCTGTGTCCTCCGGGTTCAAGGAGGCGCCCATCAATTCTCCCAACCCAATGAGCCGTTTTAATATGGCGGATAGGGTATCGTCAGAAATTAAGGCCATGATGCAGTTGTCAGTCTGAATGAAATATAAAGCATGATAGTTTATCCCTTAACACTCTTTAGCCAAAAGCAAATTTAAAAGCAACTCCAAAAAACTGTCTTACATCAGTTTCTGATTTACCGTCAGCTTCAGCAATCTCAGCAATTAGTAGAGACAATAACTTCAAACAGATTTGTGCTACATTCACGTCGACCGGCTCGATCTAAAACATCCACGAGGAAAGACGACTTCATAGGCCTACACATCGCTCACCTCTAGATAACCCTCCAGATGAGCCGGCAGCCTCAGTTTCAGTTCGACTTCAACTGTGATGAGAAAAAGCAAAAAAGGATGACAATCTGGAGACTTAGAAGTGAGTTGGGACATCCATGCAAATGAGTCACCAGAACATTTGCATAGGGCGAGAAGAAAGCCAAGCACTGATTCCAAGCACTCCGATGAGAAGTGCACCGCTACAGAAGTGGTGTCAAAGGCGAAATGGAAAATTAAAAACGTACCTCTACTTTGGAAAAATTCAATAACAGTATGGATGTACAAATGAATGTCATGAAGATTATTAGCCCTGCTGGGGCACTGGATTCGCAGAACAGAAGCAAGTAAGTCAAACACGAATAAGATCTGCGAGGACCCAGAGATCTTGCGGTCATTTTGACTGGAATCTTTAGCACAAATGATTTCATGTGCCGAAATGCTAAGACGCCTGTAGATCTTTTGTACCAGGATCTCTTTTTCTAGGCATGGCAACTTTTTGGCGTGAGAAAGGATAGGTGAAATAAGCTTAAGCCTCTCAGAAGGAGCTATGGAAGATGAAAGATCATGTGTTTAAAAACCTTTAATATCTCCTTCTAGAATTGCATCGACAAGCTTAAGCAGATCTTCACCAGAAAGAGAGTCTGCGATCGAGGTTATGGTGTGACTTAGTGAGGAAAACCGAAATTCATCTACTTGTCTATAACAACGTACATAAACATGACTTCATTAAAGTACCTGTTCTCGGGATCTCGGAGGTGAGAGATTAGACTTTCACGCAACTTCTCACTTCCAAGCTGATCCTGATTTTCAGGTATCATGAACTTTCTTGGTTCACCTGTCATACCTAAAATATTGGAGGAAATCACGTCCACATTAAAACCAGAGCAGTCGCAATAAACAGTGGCAACAGCAATGCACGTTACATTATGTATTTCATTGGTTTTAGGGCAAAATTGTTGAATATTCTAATTCTAGACAAACACCACAATAATATGAATTCCTTTGCGCCAACACTATGCAGAGTACTAAGGTCAACCGAAATCGGAAACGGGAGAATATACAACCGCAAGCAAGATTAAAAGTGGGTATATGCTCATATAAAACAAACGTGGAAGCAACACTGTAGATGTTGGTGTAAGACTTCAAGCACAAAAATCGCTTACACTCGATCAAGAAACCCACCCACCAAAACAAGCGCGAATCCTCAAATGACCTTTTCCTATACAGTGCAGCAGAAGGTTATCTAACATGTAAATAAAACGGATTTCGTAATTGTTTTGATATGTAGTAAACACTGAGATTTGTGACACAATGAAACCACGATAAGTGTTCTCGGTACCAAACAAAGTCCAAGACTTCCTTGAATCAAGGCATTGGAATACATGACGCAATTTCGACTCAGAAGAAAACCTCATGGCTACAACTGCTTGAGCCTTTCAACAAAGATCCCGAAACTGGCGTGTTATTAAGTTATGATTTTTTTTCCAACGTTTACACCTGTTAAAGTCACGCATTTGCGTATATATAGCACATTATAGAGCTACCATCGCGTTCGTGTACGAAAACTTTTACCAGTAATTTGGTCATCGCATGAAAATTTCCCTTCTAATTAGCATAAAAGTTGCTCATTTTGGTGATAGAACTATTAGCGGTATTGCCTGATCACTGCACGGAAACTGGACGACTCGGTAGTACCATTTGGGAAAGTGATTTGCTTTTCTTATTTTTCGTAGCACAATCATCCGACTCATTGCCTTGATAAAACAATATGCAATATTTTCGGTAGTGCTCAGCCACCACAAAGCCTTTTGAAGAAGACTCGTTCGACACAGATCTTCCTGCCTAAATCGTGAATGCTCATGGTTTTTATGTTAATTATTGCTTTTCATCTATTTTCAACCATATGGAATGTACTTATTTCTCTAGGTAATGCCTTTTGGTCCTCATGGTCATTGGTTGGCATTAGTTATCGGCACTACTCATACTGCTCAGCCCATTTTTAGGTGAGCTTTCTGTAACTAGTGTCTTTCCTTGTGCTTGCTTGTATTTTGCAGTTTTCGTGCGGCTTCAAACAGAACAGTTTTAGTTTATTCCCCTCGATTATTGTAATCCTTCGCATCTCGAATTGGTAGAAGTTTATGTCATCTGCGAAATACCCGTAGGGGCTTGCACCCATTTGATGCTAACAGTTTCTAGTCGCCGTACTTCTGTTTATTTCAGCTGCAGAGAAGTCCTAGTTATGCGAATTGAATACCGCTATACTATTTTTCGTGCTGTCACAATGTAACCCCGAGACCTCTCTGATTGGAAATTAACGTTAGCAACCTTATTAAAGCTATGCTACATATTTCTTAAAATGGTCTGGTCGTATAATTTTAGTGGCAACGTTTCCTTTTCCCATCTCAAACTTTCTTTACAATATTAATGCTTCTAGTATCCTTCTCTATAGTTGGACCTTACTCTTTCTGTCGTGCCTCTGTCTCGTCATGTCTCAGAATGGCATTACAAGCACCACCACAAACTCAAAGGTGCGTCACATTACCCCACCCAAAGAGGAGTTGCAATCACTACCTTCATCTTTCTACAACTGTGATATCTGCGGCCTGCAAGTCAAGACGCAATCTAATCTCCGTGCTCACTTTATCAAAACCCATGGTCTTGTAAATGTTGGTCCTTTTTCAATTCATTACTAAAGACTGTTGTCTGTCTAGGATGCCAAAGATATAGCTTTTTTGCTACGAAAGAAAACGGACATATCTGATGTCTTCCATTGTCCTGCTCCCGCCTGCAAATATACCAAGTCATCGGGTGTTGGATTCTCGAAATTCTGGCATTTGAAACAGGTGAGGGTAGCCTACAAAATTGGCCCAATTTCCTGGACTGAAACATTTGCTTGTAGCCTTCCTTTCTCCTCAGCACTATCAGTTGGTACACATGAAGAAGACCTTCCAATGCGCTACCTGTGGCCAGCGATTTTCTACACCCAGTGCACAAGCCTACCATGCGAAGTCGTGTGGCACGCATTTCGAGTGCCCAGTCTGTGGGCGGAAATACAAGGCCAAGAAGTTTCTCAACCAGCATGCGCGTCGCTCCGGACATGATGTTCGGGCGAGGTTCGTTATGTGCCTTTCTTTACTCTTAGCTTCCTCCCGCGACGTATGAGCCCGATAATGCGTGTATGGTGAATGTAGAATGTAAGAATCATTTCTGATTAATTCGAATATCAAATACCATAAGGACGGTAAATCTGATTCACAACGAAGAAGTTCGTTCCTTATTGTGGAGATACTTCAAGTGCCTTATGTCAGTTGAATTGCATTGCAAAGGGGTTCATTCGGTAGTTTAAAATAAATAGAATTTAGAACATTACTCAGCTGACCATCTGTTCTTTCCACCTTGTCGGAGGCTGTTGCATTTTTTACTCAAAGGTGCTTTTGATGCGTTAGATCTGCGTTTCTCCCTTATTGCCATACAGCGAATTCATTTTACACCTCAACTGCAATGACTTCACCGCGGAACTAATTTAAGTGAGCATGCCAGAAAGGTGATTTCCATATTACTTAGAGTCTCCCACTTATATTTTCTCACCAGTATATTGTCGTTCGGGTGGCTTTTCGACCTATGCTACGTTTTCTTCGATTTGAAGGCGAGGCAAACATCAGTTTTCGGACTTGATAGAAACCCTTTGGAAGTAGAGATCAACTTGCGCCATTACCTCGAATAATCGTCTTGTTACTGTTTTACAGGGAGCAGTAAGTGATCAATTACCGTTAATTTTACCATTAGAGTCCCAGATGATTTTAAAATTTTATTTCTGTTCATTAAATGTGAAAGACATAGATTTGGTCGGCTAAATTTACCTGTAGTGCTCAAGTACCTCATTTGGGAACTGAATAAACGTCTTGCATTTACGGAACCGGATGTCCAAGGTCAACGACGTCTGATGAGTGGTCTAACATTACTATTATCTATTTTTTACGAAGCATTTTGAAGCCTAGGCATACGATGCTGGTCGACAAACGTAAACTACATTAGTCAGTTGGCCATTTTTATGAGGGACTTGTTTTTGATTGGACCGCCCAGGTTAGTGCTGGCAGGACAACAAAAAAAATATTCAATCGGAATTTCATTGCCCATTTATCGGTGCAAAAAGGTCACCGTCAGGATCGTGAAAGCCCTTATAGGGCGTAAACTCCTAGTTTAGGACTTAGTAGTCCCTGACTTGTTCTATTGACTGTTCCTGTTTTTTGGTCAATTTAAAGGAGTAATGCCAGTATTTCGAATAAATATTTTGATGTCTAATTCTCCCTCCCCCGATTTTCTGTCAACTGATATCTTTTTGCAGTGTCTAGTTTGAGTGAAATCTGATTGTCAAATCTTTGGAAACTCGTTTCTATATTGTATTATTATATAATATAAAAACTAGATATCTTCGTCTATTACAAGTTTTGATATTACGGCTTGGTAACATAACACGACGTTACTGAACTCGAATGTTCAAAGTTGGTGACTTGTTGAGCGGTCTGATATTGGCATAGTCTTTTTCTATATAGGTTGATAATGTAGCTTCTCGAGCCTCTCTGCGATCCTAGTAAGCCATACCGGAACTCTCTTATTCAAGACTGGTGGCGTCAGCCTCATTCATTCCTGAGCTGATGAAATTTTTGCCTCACCTATCAACTGGATCATACAATAATGCCCAACTCTCATCGAAGCACCTGAGGTTGTTCCTAGTAGGTGAACCAGAGGGAGCTGTCGCAATCACCAGACTTAGAATCATTTGAACATCACATGGAATTCCAGATATTAGATAGTACCTTACAAGTTTTTGCCTCATGCCGGATAAACACGCATTACTATAGTTATGGGGTTTGTGGTATTAGTAGTTGTCCTGCATACTTAAAATAATTTCCGTATTGTCCCTTGCTCATTTTTAAGAGAACCTATCCCCAGACAAGATCGTGTAGCTTATATCTGTCGGCCTAATAAACATTAGCTGCTTCTTTTCCAGGGCGTCAGCATCGAGAACCACACCAGTCGTAAGGCAGCAATCATCAGTCAACTTGCCCACTGAATCAGTTCTCACTACTGCGGGGAATGAGCAACGTGAGGCACAGACACCCACCAGATTGGCCATTCTTCCGCTGCTCATTCTTCCCCTCGGCGTTGGCACTGACCAGGCCTCCGTTTCTGCTGCCACTACCTCTGCTGCTTCCCTTGTGGGTGAAGTGATTGCCCAATTGCGGACCAATCTCACTGTTCTTCCACCTGTTGTCTCTACTCCCTCCACTCCCTCCGTTGGCGGCTGTCCTGGTCCAGCGGTCCAGCTCAACAGTCTCGCTTATAGTCCAGAGGTGGACTTCGTTTTTTTTATAAAAAAAACTTCAGAAATGTTTGCTTACCTGGTTTGATTGTGACAGCGCTGAAACGTTTACACCTCCATTAACACAGTTAAATCAATGCAGTTTTCTGCGGTGAACATCAGACCGCTGTAGTGCATGGATTGATCAGATGGCATAAAGAAAGTCGACATTGTTGGCTTTTTGAAGGAAAGTGGCCACTCCTTATTCAGTGGACTGAAACTACGACTCCCCATCTTGGTCTGATACATAAAGTATCGAGAGTGAGTCACTAACCCAGTTGTTGACGTCTGTTGCTGTTCCGATTACGATGGAAAGAAGTCATTGCGTCAAACTTTGGTGCCAATTCTTGTACGGTATGAATTAATCTACCTTGCGTCCGAATTCTTAAATCATTTATGTACTGAACTTTCATTCAGTAATTGGCTAAATCTTTCTGCAATTCAAGGACATGCTCAAAACCCCCATGTAATCGACATCCATCTATAGACCACTTATTGACATTTTAAGACGTTGCATCGACATTTCCGCAGTCTAGTTTTCGATGAAATCAGGCACTTTATATTCACAATCCTATCAAAAACGTGTACTGGTGATCAACTGTTCATCCATTTCTAGTGGTATTTCCAGGCGCACATCTCCTCCCTTTGCTTTCACTTCCAGGCCCGACGTCCTGCTTTCGCTCTGTCTAACAGCATTGGTAACAGGGGGGGCGGTGATGATAGCGCAGGCGGTCCGACCTTCGTGCCGCTGGTGGATGTGGGGACAGCACCCCTTCGCCTATCACACACTCACACTCAAACGGATGTCAATGTACCGCCTCACTGTCCTGTACCTGCTCCAACCGCAGCGGTAACGGCGCAGCAGACCGACTTCGTCGTCTTTTACAACAATCAGCCGACACGCGACTCCTACACCGCCACGTCGCCACCCGATTGCCATCTTGCTACGGCGCAGATGTCGGTTGGAAATTCTCCGCCCCCGGCGGCCTGTAAGTTTCGCACTTACAGACAATTTCGTATTCTGTATTTTCAGAATGTCTTTTTAATAATCGAAATGCTCATGTGTCCCCTCTTTTATTCCATTGCATTCTTTTTATCGAGTGATGATAAAAAGCCTTTACTTAATACACATTTTCTGCTTCTTTTCCTGTTAATTATAGACTACTCTATTTCTCTGTTCTCCACACTTTTCCCTGAACCCTTCCCGATCTTGATTCCTTTCTAACAAAAGCCCTTTCTTAGTTTCTGATTCCTGTCAATAAGGAAATGTTTATCCTAACTCTCAAAAATTGCAGCGATTGATGGCTGTTTGAATATTTTTAATCATGTCCATAAGTTTTACCCTTAAGGAACTTAAAACGCATGGATGTGTGCAATTTAATTTGTTACTGTCATGCAGAAAGGTTGGAGGGATTAAAGTGATCAGATTCATGACTTATACTTCTTCCCCCGTTCATCTCCTTATACCTTCTCTCATCGTTTGCCTCCCAATTTATTGTCTTCAAAAGGTTGTGCGTTTTACTGCTTGCTCTAGTGTGCAAGCCGGCAATGACTCCTCCACTCCCTAAGACACTTTCAGATCCAACTGTTTGAGGTTTGTCCCAGTTACAGCCATTAAGATAAGCCTGAATCAGGTTTTTTATGAACACCATCATCAGTCTTGTCTAATGACGGTTGACTAGTTGTGGTTCCCTACATAAGGCCTTCTGATAGGTAACCTGCTGTAGTGTAGTCTGAACTTATTGTAGGCAATCGAAAATGTAGGTGCCTGTCATCTTGTTATTTCCGATGTTCCTTTACAGCATTCGAAGGGTATTTACTTGCCCTTTCTCAGTCTATTCTGCTATCTCCTTAGATTTTACTGGCAAAAGTCTGCTTACTTCATACTCCCTCCATTCCATATTCATTCTGGCCCTTAAAGTATGCCTAATTTGAATTCTTTCTCCCCCATTCCTCAATTTCTCACAATTCCCCAAGTGTATTGCCTTCTCTTCAGGTATGCAATTTGAAATTGATCATTATTTTAATCAAAATTGTTTGAAAATGTTTAGCTATGGCCTCCGTGCTATTGATGAGGCATTCCCGAAGCGCAAGCGTTCCGAAATAACTCGTTGGCAGCACGAATAGCACAGGGCGTTTTCCAAATTAGATACTGAAGTGATTCCCGATTGCAAGTAGTTTCATGGATGAAATGGAACTACTGCGATGCCAATGTTCCTAAGACTAAAAGTGTTTAAAGTGTTTTTTCTTCTCCCCCCCCCCCCCATATCCCGAGCTTTTATCTCTCCCACTGATAGAGATCATTTTTTGCGGTCATTCCCATGATACTTTCTTTTTACAATAATTGGGGTGCTTTTTTCATTGATGTCAATTAAATGAAATCGGAAAAGGGAGGGAAACGTGAGAAAGCAGGAGTCACATGCCATTGCATCATGTGAATTCTGTCCTTGCCCATAGCTTCTACAGTCCAAGAACTTTGTAATTATTTCACCGTTTAATGAATCGTACCTCCGATTTGTGATAATTTGATGCAACTTAGAGATTACTAAGGCCTTTAAATCCGTTATAAATGATTCATCTTTGAAATGACTTCTTAGGATGCTTTGCCGACTGTGTCTGTGTGAATGGGTTGTTTAGTTGAAAAGCAACTGAATGGTTTTGGGAAGGCACAAACATTCTGTTCCATCCACGTGACATCTTGTTCACCTGTAAACTTTTGACTTCAGTGCCTTTCTGATTATTTTCTCTTTTCAAATCTAGTGTTGGTGGGCTATGGATACTAGCTTTGACATTTTTTGCATCTATCAGTTTTCCCCAGCTTTCCTTGTGTTCTTAGGGTACACATTCCTCTCCCTGATTTGTTAAATATCACCAAAACACTGGTCAGGTTGTCGGGACTTAAGGCCTACCTACCACCACTATCGGCCCTCATTGCACCAGTCATTGGCAGTCTGTGTGGACTTTACCGTGCATGCAATGTGTTTTACTGCTTCGCTAAGTCTTCGTCCTGATTTGAGTGTGTGGATCGTTTAAACCACCATGTGTCAAAATCTCAATTCTTGAACCTCTGAATTACTTACTCTAGTCAGCGAATAGGATAACAGATGCTCTGTTTGTGATAAGCAAGCACTGGCGAGTTTGTCTTTCCTCAAAACCTTTCAGTTTTATTGGAAATTTTGCACGAAAGTGTGCTTACATACCTGGTTTTCCTTCGGCCCCACTTTTTACCCTCCTGACCTCGTATTTAAGTGTCCACAGTTGTTTTGACCGTTTTACAACTTTAAATTTGCCCTCTTGAAGTAACAAATTTCTTCGATGGGAAGCATCGAAAGGTGCATTAGTTTTGCCTCACACCTGGGTAATGGCGATATAGTAGGGTATTTTACTTTAGCACCTTTCCTTGTTCCTTTCTCGCTTAATGAAAGATTGATATTCCCTCCAAACTCATTTTACCACGTAGTAATGGCGTACTTCCAAATAGCAAGATGTTTTTTGCTTATTTGATCTATTGGCCTGAATATCTAAGGTTTTAAGAGCTTTCTGAATGTCGAAACTCCTCTATTTGAGGCATTCAACCGCTTTAAGTCGTCATTTCAACTTTCGACTACCTCCTAACGTACAGTTGTTCTGTGTCCGTAATGAGGAATTACCAAATTAGGTTTTAATGAATGTTGAAGTGTTAATGAATGACAGCATGGTGGATTTTGTGATGAAAAATGTCCTTCACATCTCGCGACATAGGGTAGCTGACTAGACAATGGATTAAGGCCTCATTCGTGTGTCATGAAATGTAGGAAGTTGACTTTATCTTTCTTCTTTACCTCCTCTCCAGTTCTGCCAGACATGTCCCACAGCAGCACCTACATGTCGCCGGGTCACTCAATTGAACTTCAATACCCCGAGATGAACTCCAATGGCACCATGACCACCTACCACTCCCAACAGCCGCCACAAGCACAGCACCATGCATTCCAGCAGACCACCGTCATTCCCACCACCGCGGTGTCGTCTGCCACGGGGGCATCTCTCTATCTCCCCTCTGACACCTCTGAAGGCGGGTGCTATAACGCCTTTGCTGCTGCTGGTAAGCTCTTCTGCCTCTTAGCTTTTCCCCCTTCATTTTCTTATCCCCTTTGGATCCGAAGCATTGGGTGTAGTCTAGAGGTATTCTTCCTTCATTCTTTCCTTTTCACTTGCCTCATCTTTTGTACTAGCAAAGCATGGTTCAGTCTTCAACTATGCATTTTGTGTAGATAACAACAAAGACCTTTTCCATTGGCTTAGCAAATCTCTACTCTACTCTCCTAAATCTACACCGATTGTGTCGGCTTGCATCGCTTGTAATGCACAACACCCATTCTTCTCCCTTGCTCCTTTGATCATCTCGAGTCCAGTGCGGTGTCAAAGCCACATCAAAAGATGCTCTTAGTCATAAGAATGCAACCAACGTGAAGTTTGGAGCTCATTAAATTAACTAATCCTTGTTCGTGATATAATACTAATCAAAATAGCTATTACTGCGTTACTTCAGAATTCTGACATGATATGCGTGAGTTCACGAGTGCAGAGCGGTCTTAAGTTAGTGGATAGGGTCTCACGATAGCCTAACCTTATCACCTGCTTAATTCCTTTCGCAGTGGTAACTTTACCGTTTACACCAATTGTTTCGAAACTTTCTCTTCTCATTCATCGTCCGGCTTTGCAATTGTGACCCAGCTTTGATAGTACGTAACTCGTATGTTCCTGCTTCGTTTCCAAGTTTTGGACATCTCCTTGCATGGTCAGCAGGTGGAGTTGTTTCGCGTTTCTTTGGTAAATATCCACTTCAACTGCCCCAAACTCCTTATCCATTTCCCTGCCCGTCTGCGTGCTTGCGGCGATTAAATTAATCTATAGTTTATTGCATTGCTCCTCTCTTGCTGTTTGTTTTGTCTTGCGTCACGTTTGTTGCTATTGTGTCACTTGAGGTCTATCAGAGAGGTTTTTACGGAAAAACCTAAAACATGCGCAACTGGTGCGAAGGGCGTATCTTGATGGACCGGGTCTCCATATATTATCATGACATTGCAGAACTTGTCATGCTTTGTGCATCGCCGGTTTTACCTTTTCACTACATTGCTCCAGATTTTTGACCCCACTTGTGTGTCTTTAGCTAAGTAGGTAGTCCTCTGTCCTATTCTCACGATCTTCTAGGCTTATTGCTTGCCTGATTTCTTTTCCACTGGTAATTTTAGTGCCCACATTGACCGACTCGGCTGTCATGGATCATTTGCACTTTCTTTCATCCTATCGACGGTCGAGCATCGAAATTATACAGCAGCACATCCTATCATTGGTTTCTATTCCGATTTCACGGGGATGACAGTTGATATCCCTTCGTTACATCTGTGCAGATTCGCATCCCTCCACCATCTCACCTCCCCCTAGCCTGCGCTTTCTCCTTTCCCTTCCTGAGTTCGGATTATTTGCTCTTGTTATAGTTGAAGGTGCGTTGGGAACAGGATTCTACAGATACCTTTATTACAATTGACCATGTGCCAAACACAAACCGTATTGTGCCAATAACGTGGCCGGCAGCATGACTGTGTGATAGTGTGGATTGTGATAATTAACCACTTTGTGCATGATCATCGGTCCTACTTTTGGGATGTCTTTCACAATACCACTAGTGCCCATCAAAATCACTCGCATTATCAAAGTGAGTTTTTGTTGCTCTTGGGAAAAATTACCACTTCTTCGATGGGGGTCTCCTTTACAATATGTTCTTTGTTAGATAAGATTAATGGAAGAGCTTTCGTCCTGTGCCATGTCCTAAGCAAATGTAACATTTTGTACACTTTTACTTACTTTATAGCTTCTTCATTGGATAGCCACTATTGCATCCTTAGGTTTTTTCACTTCTTTTGCCATGTGACCCACTTTTTCTCCTGAGATGGGTGTTGTTGAAATTTGATACAGTTTTTTAGACTTTTCTGGAGTAAATTTCCGCGGTTTCATCCAAAATTTTGGTACAACTGGTAGTCGGTGCTATCATTTACGTCTGACGTTGGCGCAGCACTCATAATGCCCCCGGCGAAGTTTATGAGCAACTTGACTAGATCCCTAGGCTGAGCTACGCGAAACTGATCTATCGGCGTCTTGTCACAAAGGGAGAATTTACACAGAGCATACTGCTTTGCATTGTGACCGTGCATGTAAATTGGGTTAGTTAGTCACCAAACCTTAATCGTGGCCAAGGGGTGGACTTAACTCACCGTGCCGTTGGAGCATGCCGCTAGTCGTGACCCGACATGCGCATACGCGCATGCGTATGTAGATGCGTAATTAGCTGTTCTCGAATCTGAGGCCATCATCAATTGCCCCCATACACGGCGTTAGCTACTCTCCTTTTCTTATTTTCACCGGTTTACTCTTTCAGTGGCAAGCGGGAGTGCACCCCTTTCATGTTGTAATTGGACCCACCATTGAGTGATTCGTATGATGCGCTTGTTTATTTCCATTCTTGGCTGTTAGCACTCATTGTGAATTTGCTTAAGGGGTGCAGCACCGGTTTTGTTGCACGTCAATCGCAGCACTGCCATTCGTTCAGCATACTTTTCAAGTGTGCTAAAGTGGTACTGAGATAGTGGGAAGTGCTAATAATGGCCGGTATATTCCATGGCTGACACAGCTATCTAGAAGACTGCTTTGTCTTACATTCTTTTATTACAGTGATCTAGTGGTTTTAGCATTGACTTGCGCTTTGCTTAGGATGGATTAATTTCCTTGTTTTCCGCCCCAGTTTCTAACACGATTTAAAATTATCCCGAATAGAAATTTTGTTGGTTTTTAACTTCTCAAAGTCATCTGCATCTGTTATACAGCAAAAACCGCCGAAATTTCTTTTAAAAGATTATGCTGTTTTGAAAGCCAAAAATAGCTAAAATTTATGAGGAAATTATCGACTATAAAACTGAGCGCCTCATGAATTTGTGCTTTCCTTCCTTGATAGCCTCATATCGCCATATTTTTCCCACATTATCGAATGATAGAACTGCCAAATACCAATTGCTATTGCAATGTTCCGGTTATAAAGTAGCTGTGGTCTCTCACCTTACAGCTCTCGCTTTAATAATGACTGAAATTCCTAGATGAAATCTATTTTTTACTTTGTTAGCACTCTTGGGAGTTGGGTGTCGATGTGGCCCTATGATGCCCATTAATCCATGTCCACTCGACTTGCCATTAACCGATCTTTTGTGATATGGTGATTGGAGCTAACAAGAAAGTAGTGGAGAATACCATTACTGATAGACTGATGCATATCTGGGCTTTGTAATGCATGTGCATAATTAATTGCACGAATTGGTCGAGGCCTTACAAGTGACAACAAGTCTTTGCAGTGAACCATGTTGAAAGATGTGTGACACTGAATCACCACCTTCACTAGCTTTCATAACTATCAAGCCTGTGATCAAATTGAGCGATTTGCGCAGATTTTTTCCAATGGTTCGGGCCACGAATATTGACCCCAAGAGATGCTTCTTCTATGAGTAAGTGATAGTAATTGCTCGAAAGATACGACTTTGATAGTGCTACACATTCTCCTCATGAGTTCTGCAGTTGGTTAGGTGTGTGGCATATTAAATATTGCATCATTCCTTCTCCACTTTAGCGTTTATGTCCCCTCTCTAACCTGGTGTTATCTGCGCTTTCCACTTTCTAGGTAATAATGGTCCTGCTAGATTACTTCTGGATTATGTTATACCTAGTCAGTCGGCGGGTTATATGCTTCCGAAGGGTAGTATTGCATCAGTTACCAGGCTTGTGAGCCATGGTGATGCCTCCGTAATATGCCCACTTTAACCCATTAATTCAAATCTACCTTAATTGGCGTCCCTATAGTCTTGGTAATTGTATTCTAACCGGCACTTAAAGTGCTTCGAACAGTCAAAAAAGGGTTGATTTATTTGGAGCACAAAGTTCATGTAGTCTACCTTTAATAAGTGATGGGATCCACCTGAAAAGGCGAAAAGGCCGCCAAACCGAGACTCCATTTAAAGACAAAACATGCTTATTCGCATGTGTTGATGGTCGAATATGGGTACTCGTGTTTCATATCAAAAGTGAAATCAACGTACAACACTGATCCTAGGAAGAGTTTGCCCTTCCTCGGATCAGTGCCATTTGGAATCATGCCCCTTAATGCGTATAAATACGGACTCTGCTTGATCGTGCAGTTAGTCCGGCGTAGTGTCCATACTTAGAACGTCATACGAATGTTCGACCACTCCAAGGATCTTGGAGGGGATAATGTCTATCAATCGCTGGAGGGTAGTCGGAACAGTCTTCAACCGGTAGTATTGGAACAGTCAGCGGTATGTTTTAAAGGCCAGTAGTTAACGGTACTGATGTAACCTTAGCTTGAAAGTGGGCGTGGACGTTGTGCCTGTTTACGCACGGTATGAATGGTACCTAGTCCAGGTTCATCTAGTCAAACCAGTATGTGCCTTGGTGGTGTAGGACGTTTTGAGAATAATATGGTGCAGAAGTAAGCGCAGTACTACAGCTGTCCGAAGACCCTTATTTGTCCACCACGGGTACTGACGGCGGTTCGGGAGGTATAGCTAATCCATGATTATCGGATTCAGTATCATGGCTTCGCCGAAAGGATGTTGATGTCCGAGGCAGTGTTTAACCGTAGTTGTACTGACTGGCCCTTGAATTGGGGGAAAGTTTACTTCCAACGGTCATTTTCATTGGTTTGGAAAGTGATCGGGCTGCGCCCTTTGACTTACTTTGACCTCGGTGTTCGGTTTATTGCTAGTGGTATCCATCTTTGTGGCCACCGGTATTTTAATGGCGACGCCGGTGCTGATTGTGAGGACAAAACTTGAAATGGTGCTAGGCTCTTCTTGCTAGTTCAATCCAAGTGCGTGCGTCTCGACACTTCCGCAGCTTCAAAACTGAATTTAACTGTCTCCATAAAGCTGGCAAGCTCAAATCACTTCCATCAGGTCACCCAAAAAAGTAGGTAATGATGAAGAGCACAATGGGAGAGTTTCTTATCCATGGAGTGAAGCTAATCTATATTGCATAATGCATGCGCATGAACAATTGTACGCATTTGACAAATTCCTGCAATCTGCAGCAGGTTATTTCAACGAGCTTTAAAGAACAGGCAATACTAGCGATCCACAAGCAATTTCTATAAATTTATACATCCGCATACAAAAACTTTGGACTGTTATGTTGATCTTTGTTTAATAGCCATTTCACTACTATTGGGGAACATATGGTGATAGAACTCATTTCAACGATGAGTTTGTTATTCCCATTATCTTCAGATATTGGTGAATATTGACGACAACCCCATATCCGATACTCCTTGGGCGTATTCCAGTGTTGGGTGAAGTGAATGCCGATGAAGAACCAGTGCCGCTAGACAATTCCCATCATGGCATGTTTCAGTTAATCATTCCTGATGTTTCTCGATCGCTAAGGAAAATGTTTTACATGGTTCTCGAGAGGTACAAAAGATATTTCTTGCGATAAGCAGCAACAGCAGAGGCATACATGGTCTACAACTTGTTCTCATCACATAGAGCCCAGATAATGCAAACCCACATTGCTGCTTGATTTCTCATTTTCTGAGCTCACTCCCGCTCATTTCTTGTGCATTTTTTCCGGTGTGTCTATATGTGCGTGTGTGTGAAGTTTCCTTGGCTTCTGGGCAACTTTGTGCCTGTAGTAGTAGTGACCCTCGTTTACTTTTGCTTTTAACGTCTGTACATGCGCCTCCACCGACACTGGGCTATCAGGGTAGTAACCTAAGCGGAGACGAGCATTAATTGCGCAGTCACATTTCCAAATCAGTTTGCTGCTTTGTGGTATGGTAGTGTGAACATAGACCCTCCTCCAACAGTTCTGTCGATTTTCCGCAGCTGCACGAAGGCATGAAACGGAGAGCAGTATTCCAAAAACCTAGTGAATTGCGGAGTGGGATCGCTCCGTTGGACCGTAGAATGCGTGGAACCACACAATTCCTTTCCCAAAGTAGTCATTAATCATGCTCTTGCTGCTCAGCTGAGTCGATTCTTTGATTCGTAATCGTGATTATGCTACCCGGAGCTTCGTGAATCGTCTTGCCCCTTTTTTTCTTAATAGGCCTCCTAGTTCTAGCGTTACGTTCCTTTGCCTACTATCTCATCTTATGTTCTGGTGATTTTGTTTTTTTCTTCGTGGTTGTCGGTTTGATCCAACTTATTTGATTTACCTCTGTCAATTGCTCAATTTGATTGAAGGATCCCATTTCAGAAGCACATCTTAAACTAAGAGAGTGGGAAAGAAGTTGAATAATTTAATTTTGCTATCCAACCAGCGACTTATGCGCGGTTGATAGGCATGATCTCCCAGCCTCGTTGCTGAATCGCCAATTGTGATGATTGGGTGGGTGAAACTACTTTGCCTGCGTAGTCCCTATCATAAAATTGGGGGCTTTCTGCATCGATAACCTGACTTTATCCAGCGTTTTTTCCTCTGAAAATGTTCCATTACATTACCAGCAGATGTGTTTCATTATGGAAATGAAGTGCGCTTCATTGATTAACCTTTTGGGGGTGTGATGTAGTGTGACGAATGTGTGAATTACGTTGAATACATGTTCCGTAGGATTGCAGAAGAGGTTATATATTTAGTGACGGAAATTTCTTGTGGCACCTCGAGTCGTAGCTGAAGTCGACTTGCGAACATGTATCATTTACGTACCGAAGGACTGGGGGGAGGGGCTGTGAACGCGGCTTGTAGTGATCTGTAGATGGACTCATTCTCCTTGAATTTCTTACTGCAAGTCCGCTAGTGAGGAGTAAGGCCTCTTCTCACAAGACACCGCAATCCAAGACCTCCTGTCCCGTCGCCGAAAACTTGTGAGATCTCATATTGATGTTTAGGGTGAGGAAGGGTGCATAGCACTTCATCTTCCGTATGTCCCTGATGATGTTTCTCCAGGTTATGGACTTTCACTGATTGTCACGTGCTAAATAAACAATTGGGACAGTTTGAGAATATAAGTAGTGGAGAGTTGACGCTTAAAAGCATATTTTTTTGCCCTTAAAGGCTAAAAAATACAGAGCTGTACTTACAAGCTCCCGACCCTTCTCCTGAAATAGCACTTAACTCGTGATAAATTACAATACACATAGTCGACCGGGTGCTTGGTTGATTGACACGTGCTTTTGTCATCATTGTTTCATCAATATTTTTACGTAAGATCCAAGCACGTAGTGTCAACCTCGTTTTGAAATTATCTGCTGAAAAGCACCTAAGAGAAACGCCAAGAAATCCGTCAGCTTCTTATTTTAAAGGCTTTTATTTTATCAGACCTTCCATATACTCCACGCGCTCCCTCTAGATTTTTAACATTACGAGGCACACCCGATTTGCCAGTTGACTTGAACAAGTCCGGCCACATTATTATTCCGGATACAGTATGACATCAAAACTTGTGCAATCAAAACCTATTTTCGACCCTGGTAGCGAGTATGCTGAAAAATGAGGTAATTCCTACCTCATATTTACCTCTCCCACAGGCTCCAACACCTCGCCTTACAGTGGCGAATGGCGCAATCTGCGTCGGCTAGACGGCCAATCGGCCAACTCAGTGGCCGTGGAGACCACCCTCGATTTGGCCAATTTCGACGCGAGTAATTCAGGCAACTGCTACTGGCCACCAGCGGAGAGCTTTGCACACATGCAAACGCAGACGGTGTGCGACGCAGACGACTTGGAACAGTGGTTCAATAACGTGCACACACAGACCTCCACCGCCGCCGCCTCCACGCAACAGCAGTCCAGCTGGACGTCGCTGTTTGCCAACGATGGGGTTTGTGTAGGTGTGAACACGGAGATGCTGATGACTCCAGAGCATGGAGGCAGTCCATAGGCCTCTGCTTCCCCTCTTCTGTCTTCTCTTCCACTGCCTTTAGCAACTGTCCTCGTACCTCTCCTGGACAGACTGTTTTTTATGCGCACACACACACTCACCTATGCACAAGCAACACACCAGCAAACACATAAACACTCACGGCTGTGATTGAAGAAGATGAAAAATATATTTACTTGCGTTTTTTTTTGGAGTTGGGGCAATGTACGCACTCTTGCATGCGGCCGCGTCCGAGCTAACCACTCCGCGTGACGAGGTCGGATTTCCCGATCCAAAGTGATGCCTTGGCAACCGGTGTAAATGTCGGAGGTTGGGTGGATTTCTGGGTCTGTTGCCGTGGTGAATGCGCGCGTAGGAAAATAGGCGTATGCGCTACTGTGGTTTGGGTAAGATTGCTTTTGGTAAATGTGTGTGTGTGTGTGTGCCATTGCGGGTGTAGATGGGCGACAAAGCACAGGGGAGTCAGGTCCTTCTGCCCGTTGAGCGCAGTAGCAATAGTACCATCCAAGGCATACTTTGAGACACCGGTATATCACTAAATGCACTAGCCATGCGTCACTACTAGTTTCGATAATTGACAGCCAGGTAGGAGATTCTGGAGAAAAGTGGTCATTTGGGTGCAGATTTTTATCTTTAAGTAAAACAATAAAACATGTCCAACGAAATGCTAAGCGGAAAAGTTACCGTTTTTTAATCAATTTGCTAAGGCTTCAGTTTTGGTATATGGAATTCTGAAATCCATGAATATTTGGAAAGTGGTTGAAGTCTAGAGCGTTTCAATGGAGGCCTTGAGCAAATGCTCTGTGGAGGGCGTTTTGGAGCATTTCTTCCTGTAAATTTTACTTCTCCAAAGTCTACTATGGAAAATATGGTTAGTTCCACCTGACCAACTCAGTCTAGCAAGGTTGTATAACTGCAGATGAGGAATATTTTGTGGCTACTAATTTTATACTAATCGGGTGACCTTCTGGCTTAGTGTAAATCAAGCAATGTAGAAGCCAGTGGAGTTAATGGTATATGTTAAGGGTGGGGTCTACGTTAATGCACACAGGATACCCAATTATCTTATATAATTAGTGGTGCGAAATTAAGCATTTTAAAAATTAGGCTTAATACTTAATTTGGTTCTGGTCGGAGAAAGATGCTGGTTGTGGATGTATGATGCGCTAAATTGACCCCGTCCCAATAGACAGTTGAACTATATGGCACCAGATAAAACAACGCAATGTTTTTAGCCTAAAAAGCAGTCAGACTACTTTATAATAAAGGCTTGTATAACGCCACGAGACTTCCCTGAATGCGAAACGAGGCACAATTGTAATACGATGGTTGTTTATCCTTCGGTATTGGCGAGGAGCCACTTTTGAATTGGACTTTGTATCACGCCGGGTGGGCTGGCCTTTGGGCCATATCAGTAGCCCAAGTACCTTCTCTGTGCTGAATATATATGTTCTGCCCAAGTATTGTGGCTTCTTTCGTCTTCAGGGAAGTATCGGGGCGCTACACAATACGCGGGCAAAATACATACATCCTACGAGTGGAAGGTATTGGGGCTACTGGCATGGCCCAGAAGACGGCCTTACTCAGTGAGGCACAATGGCCAAGACAGAGTGACCCTTTACCAAAACCAACTGGTTGAATAATAGCCAACACATTACAGCTTGAATTGTTGCAGCTGATGTGCTTAGTCAAGAAGTCAGCATTAAGCCAGTAAATTCGGTAGGCCAGGTGTATCAAAGAACAGAAAAATGTGGTACAATCTTAACAGCGTGTAGATGTTGAAACTTAGCATCGATAACAATTAAGGTAACTTCTGTAAGGTCAAGGACGACGGTGCAGTAATAGAACGGTCAGAACAAAAGTGATATTTTGGGCTTCATCAGTAATTTAAGTGGCATAATTGTCTTGCGCTTGCTTTAAAATGTTATATCTAGAAGGAATCTTTGCTTAAACAGTTTTATGGGGATCGTGCTTCTTATGTTACATTTAGGATGTGTAGCCAATAGACAATCAGTGCGATGTAGAATTTAGCCTTGGTGATATAGCAGGTTCGACCTGTGTTCACAAAATGGGCGACGCCTTTTTGCTCTTCTTTGATACCTTTAGTATTGACGAGCAATGCAAAGTAAGCTATTTGGTCATTTTTATTTGTAGAATCAGTTAAATTGTATACGCTTTGCTAATTTCGTTGCTATATCTGAAATCCGGATAGTACCTTTTGGTTCTGTTGTCGAGAGTAACCTTTCTGATGAGGCAGTTATCGGGTAGGTATTCCGTACACCATTTTGATTACTTAGAACAACAAATCCAGCTTTATTCAATGTTAAATTTTACTGCTACAATGACAATCTTTCGTCTACTTTGTTCCAAATATCTGAGTAAGGGGTTGCTAGTTCGTCCGACTGTTTTAGGTGTGATTATGATGAAGCCAATGGAATATGCTGTGTTCCGCTGACGCAGCCTGTAACGACCAATATTCTCCTCTTACGTGGCAACTATTCCACCATAACCGTAGCTGTTTTTGGAATGCCCTGCCTTCTACCCCTTCAGCAATCGGGAATAGCCGTGCCGAACTTTTCAGTTCCTCCTCCACCCCTAGTTTCCAACAGTTCCGCATTTCCAGTTTTTTCAGTCTTAGGCTCTGTGGGGAATATTCAGACGCCTTCGCCTCAATTAACACGGGTTCCGAGTTCTCAAAACTGGCCCACTCATGCCAGCGCATTGCCAACCCTAGATAAGCCTTCTGTTTTGAATTCAGCCAGCAAGATCAATGCATCAGATGCATTGTCAGTTCCGGAGGAAACATCCGCTAAAACCTCAAGTGAAGCGCTTCCTGCTAGCGAAGACAACGGGGACCAGGTAGGTTCTTTTTTGACCAATCTGGATCTACTTTTGATGAGTACAAACGTGTCTTTTATTACTTGACTTCTAAGGCTTTCTATTTCGTGGTTTTTAGGAAAAAATTGTTGATGGTGTGTCATCCACTGATGAGCTTCTTTTTGACAACGAAGAGGCAGAATCTGTGAGTGGATCCCCTCTTCTTCGTTCCTCCAATCTAATTTGCAAAATCTATGCTGCATTTTTTTAGAATTCCGCTGTAAACGCTCAACTGTTGGGTCCAGGTGACCCACTTTTGAAGTCCAGCCATTGGCGGTTTGATCCCTTTGCTCTAGCCGACCTTTCTGATGAGTCCCTGCCTGCAGTAAATCGACGAAGACTTCCCAGTCCTACCTTGACACTTTTTGAGGTAAGATACAGTACTGTTGAGATTCAGTGCTGACCTGCTTAGGTTCATAGGTGGCTCCTTTCAACCGAATCATCAGATCTCGAAGAGGAGGGTAGAGAAGAGGATAAAAATCCCACCTATTCTTCTCTGTTGACGCCACCACCCCCTGACAGAAACACTTCGAAGCAGGATGCAGATCGTCTTCTCAAGGCATGCAATACGTTTGGCATTGAGGCGGAGAAATTAGAGGCTGAGTTAGTGATTCTATTTACAGAGGGCTTTGATTTCCCTCCCCTCTGCCATATTCATCCACTCTCTCCCGCCTTCAGGTGGTTAAACAGTGTCGAGGAGCTAATTCCTTCTCTACCATCGAGTTTGGCCTACCTCTCTCTTTACAAACCAGAAGCATACGAATGTGAGTTTTTTACATATTGTAGTTAACCTTATGAGGAAGAATTTTGCAAAAATAACATTTTGCTCAGCAATCCATCTGACTGAATGAGCCAATCGTGCTTCCTCAAATGCAAAGTTATGTGCTGAAACATTTTAAAGGCGAAATGCATTCAATGATCCTGGTGGAAAAATAACATAGAAGCCTAAGTCACGTTTGTTTTGTTTCTGGGTACAAGAGCATATATGTACTATGCTCATAGCTGGCTTTCTATATTCGTTGCAGAAGCAGTGGACATTCCGAAGTGTGTCTTTAGTTTTGTATTCTTAGAAATCAAACAATAAATAAAATTCTGGTTTATTAGACACGCAAACAGTTGTATTTTCTTAATAGTCTGCTTAAGTAAGTCAGTATTTCATAATTCATCTATCAGATGGCCAAAAGTTTCGTGCCATTTTCGGCATGTCTTACCGTAGTGGTTTTTTGACACTTGAGAGACTTTTAAAATGCATACGATTGCTTGAGTGTTTGCATTATAAAGCGGATAGGCGTAAGCTCATCATCAGTTTGGTGCTCTTTATTGTACTCTCTACTCCATATAAACTGCCAGTTAAACTTGATAGATGTGACTGAAGCTTGTTTGTTTTACGGATCGCGTTTAACACGGTTTCAAAAGTGTGGAAGCTTGTCGTCAACTTAAGAAAGGGTCGTTGAGAGGATTCTTATTTCCCGGAAATGATCGGAATAAACAAATAGCTATGGCCCTCACATCAATGAAGAATTGCGTGACTTTGATTAGAATAAAATGGAATTAACGTGTCAACGATGACTTTCAGTATTATTTAATGGGTACCATTTGTTTGCACCTAAATCAATTCAGCAAGTCGTGGAAGCTGGCAGTAGGCTTGAAAGACCGTCAATTTGTTTTTGATTTCCTCACTTCATGCTGCAAAAGTGCACCGCTAGGTGATGATTCTTTACTGTTTATCTGATTTGTAATACGAAATGACTTTTGTATCGCAACTTTCGTTACACGGACGAAAATTTCATTTGTCAGTTATCCACAAGTGCTACATTCTCCACCCACTCTACACTTCTGAGGTACGCATCACTTCACGCTGTGCGTCCATGGCAGCTTTTTGCTTCGGTATCCTGCGGTCTATTTAGATTATCTTCCACTTCTAGAAACGTGCGCTAAGCGTCTTCAGATTTTTCGTTGTGGAAGAACTTTTGTAGGGAAGATATTTCGGTTTTGCTTTCATTTCCTTATTCAGTTTTCCATGCAATTGCCACCAATTTGGCGCCTGGGTCGCCACTAGAAACACCGTGATATAGGAATTCACTAATGGGTGGGTGGCTTCAAGTCTGAGCTGCTTGAGTAGTGTATGGAGAGACCGAAGCTCCAATGACTCATTGCTTCCCTTGCAGTCGCTTCTAGCTGCCTGATCGTCTGGGTTCGCGCCGGCCTCCAGCTAGACAGCGCTCTCCGTCAACCCGACTCCGTGGACATTCTACGTCACCTTCGCGTTGGCGTGGAGTTGGTCGGCGTCCTGCTCTCCACAACGTGCGAGGCACTGGGAGCTCGCCTCCTCCAATCGACTCTCTCCCCCAGCACCTCCTCTGGTTTCCACGTTCAGCACATGTTGATGGATCTGCTCGAATCTCCGCTCATCTCCACTCCCCTCCGACTGCAAGTGGTGGGTGCGTTGGAGCGAAGTTTGAGTGCAGGGATGATCGGATTCAATGCATTTGTGGGCCAGGAGAGAGGGGTCGGAGATGTCGGGGATGGGGAACGAGCGTCGACCCCCTATGAGAGGGTTGTGCTCTTTCTCACAAACAACAAGGCAAGTGCTCTACACCTTTGGTGCTCCTAGTTAGCTTGAAAGCAAGCCAGGGAGACATAATTAATGCCTCCACTTCCTAACTGAGTTGTCTTTGGAGATTAAATTGCCTCTAATGAGCTTTTATGCATTGTGTTGGAGGGTTAAACATGGCGCAAAATAATTTTTGTCAAGCTTTTGTTAATACAAAACCCGACTGCTCAACATTACTTACATTCCATCCAATAGAAAGTAGTTAGTTCTGATTATTTTTGTAAGTTGTCGAAATTCTTGGATTAAAAGCTTGTTGAAAATGCAATTTACGACTAGTATACCTAAATCACAAGTGTATAATTTGTCTACGTCGTATCTTGGTACATGATAGTCACTTTTACTGATAAAATACCTGACTATCCCTGATAATGCTTCGCTTCCACACGCCTTCTACAAATTAGGAGTGGTTTTATGGCCTATCCCCTTGAGGAAGCATAAAGGTTTTCTTATAAACTTGCTTTAATCGCGAGTCCAACTACCACATTCGCATATTCTTCTGCTCAGTCCGTTCCCGTGGCTCTAGCGTGCAATCGTGTCCTGGCAAAGGTACGCTTCTATGACACGCTTCTCCAATTCGATGATTTAATGAAACGGTAAGTGTCCGTCGCTCCATCTCCTTCCACCCGGAGCGTACTTCAGATTTCAAACTGTATGCAAATCCCTACCTTGCAGATTGAAGAAGTCGACGGCCGGGGAGGCTTCACTGCAAGAGGAGGTGGGGAAGGAGTACGCCTTACAAATGCACCTCGCCACCATTTCTCGTACGATCACCGACCCTGAATCTGTCCTCGTAAGCTGGGATCATTTGTTCTTAGTGCTTGGCTTTATTCGTGTCGCCTCTGGCCGATTTTACCGAGAATCAACTCACTTCTATTATGCATCTTTTTACTCTCGTTGTACTTTGTAATTCATTGCATTTGAGACATCCAAATAGATGGAGCAACCTTTAAATGTTTTATTCATTAGAACGATCACCATTACGAACTGCCGTTTCTTCCCATCGGTAGAAAGGCTTGTTAAAAACTCTACCTTTCTAAAACGTTTTGTTCCCCCAAGTAAGCCATTTAGCGTTAGTCATCTCCGGTTCTACTTTACTGCTGTTCCCCAAATGCCTATTCTGTTTCGTGCGCGATTGCTTTATGCCGACAAAGAGTGGTACTATCACTGTAGGAATTATCATTGAAGGAGTACGGACGGTAGATTGAGGCGTTATCTCCTTACCTCCTTATCAACTTTGGGCGTGGTACAAGGTCTTCCGTTTTCCTGTAAGAATAGGAATAGGACTTTCTTCTCAGTCGCCTCGACCGTTTCTGAGGCAGTTATTTTTGTATTCATTTGAGTTGTACCGTATCGAGTGGATAGGTCTCAGTCATAATTACCTTGCCTTTAGCAGGTGGACAATTCATAGTCAGCAACACAAAGCATGCATAGTCTTGTGGGGTAAAGTGGTGTCTTGCAGGTTTCAATTCGTCAAGTGGACAACCTCGAATGCCGTCCATTGGGCTTAACGAACACTTTATGATATGCAGAGGGTTCAAATTCGAGAAGAAATAGTGGAGACTGCAATAGAGAGTACTGCATTGGAGCTGGATTAATGGCCATCTAATGTATGGCTTGTAATGCATGCGTATGAATGGGGTCATCATGTATCGTGAAATTTCTTTACGTGACGGGAATATCATTGCGGCTCGAACTATTTTGTTACATTTATGCAATGTACCGTGGTCTAGTTTTCTCCAAAACATCAATTCTAGTGCTGGAGGTCTCCGGGCCCATGAAATGTTTCTGCCTCAATTTTTTATAATCCCTATTTTCTCAGGCCTAGTTCCCGCCCATTCCAGGTAGCCCTAGAACTCGCGCTCTTTCAGCTCCCCTGACTGACCAATACAGGTAGACTTTAAATATGGTAGTGTCCACACTGAAGCTAAAGCCAATTAAAGTATTATAGACGAATGAGAACGGGGTTATCCAGTTTCCGAGATTTTAAGGCCAACAGAAGCCGAAGCTACCTTTCAACGCCGCAGTTCTGGTTTTACTCAAACTGTTAGGCTGTTGGAAGGACAATTTGATAGCGTCGGGAACTATGCTGTCTGTATTTCACAATCCTTCCCATGGTGCACATTGTTCGATAGTAGAGGAACCCATTGCACAAATCTTTATTTTTCTGGAAAGTTGATCAAGTTTTGTTCGAATTCTCGGAACACGAAACTGTACACCGTCTTTTTTACCCTTTACAGTCACCTCTACCGAAGGACGCACCAAAATTGAAGTCACTCAAGTCACTCATTGACCCCTCTCCAGTGCTCTACAGGCTTCTAGACTCAATGTAAGCCACCCTTTGTATATTTTTAAACTGCTCTCCGTCATTTTTTATGTATTAGAGCGACCATTTGATTTCTAAGCCTCCAAATCGTTTTGATTCATCCTTCTTATGTTGATTTTAAAATAAAGTGTTTGAAAGAGATGCAGCAAAAATTTTGCTTTCATTTTTCTTTGGCTTTTACTTTAAAATAGCGTAAACCGCTCAGTTTAATCCTTGTTTTGTGAGCAAATACCTCTTTTTAGAAAAACAGACACTTTGCTATAGGTAATTGAGTGAGGTCTTCGCTTCCTAAGTTTTTCAGACGCAGTTAGCATTTATGCGACTAGATGGAGTGGGTAAGGTGAAACAGAAGCATTTGATCCACTCTCCTCTACTACTCAACTAGCTGACCTTAGTTCGGCCACCTATTAATCATATCAATTTTCTTGATTCCAAACAAAGAGCTAGAATGAGTTATGCAGATTATCTACCTTTCAGTCATTTTCTCGATCACCTCATCTGGCTACTGAGCCAGACACCTCGTCGACCGGTGTGCCCAACTGCTGTCGCTGACGCCGCTCGGCGGACCCTCGCAGCCCTCCTGAGCACCCCTGCAGGCCTCCTATTCCTCGCCTCGACACCTGCCTCGGCTGGCCAAATCCTTCGCGCCCATTTGCGGCAGCAGCGGCGGGGACAACGACGACTGGGCCTTGAAATGGCTACCAAGATGGAGGCACTCAGTTGCATTGATACCCTCATTGCGATTACGAGGCGTAAAGGTGAGTGGTTGCTAGAAGTCTTAACTTTTTTGTCATTTTGGATCTGAGAATTGCAAGCTCGTTTCGAACAACCTCAGTTGATTTCCATTAGTAGCGGAGAAAGGAGGCTGTGATTGTATTGACTGGCTGCAGACTGAAGGAGGTTCGATTTGTTACTGCCTGCCAATGTCTTCGTTACGTTTTCTCTCATATTGAAAGACATCTTTAATTCTCGCTATTTTTGTCAGCAGATTTGAATTTATATGTCTAAAACCAGCTGTGTTCCTACCATCTGTAGGAGGGAGTAATGTCACTTTATGCGCTCAATGTAGTGGCATGTTCACTTCCTCCTTCCCTCCCGCCCTAGGTTAGCAAATAGGCACCTGGTTAACCAGTAAATGGGTTATCCTAACCTGCCATCCTTCACTTGTAATCACAGTAGATTAAATGCATTGACTTATATTTTCTATTCTTTCTTTACCTACCACCATCAACAACATCGGTCGTTTACTCATGCGTCTTTCCGTGGAGGTGAAACAGGCTGTCAGCGGTATATGATGGAAGCGGCAACGTCAGAGGCAGCGAACAGTGAGGCCGATCCACTGTACTCCGCCCTTTTTGCACTAGCCCGTCTCTTCCTCACGCCTACCTTTGCACCTTGGGCTGCTGAGGTAGTGTCCGCTGAAGGCGGAGATTTTTTCGTCCCCTATCTCATGCTTCTCGAGGCTGCACATCGACATTCCTCCACTGCTGCTACTACCACTTGTGCCACAGGCGTGGCTGCGACTACGGTGGAAGAGAGTGAACAAGGTGAGCTGCCTGAATCGACAATAAAAGCATGGCAGTCGAATTGCAGTGTGAATGCGGTGAGGCTTGCGTCTAATCGCCCTAGAACTGATTTAATCGGATCACATTGGTTGTGTTATTAAGATTTAGTGGCTATCAGCATGGAACGGTGATAGTGTGGATGCAGCTTCATCGATTTATCAAGTAAAACTAAAAGAGTTTAATGAGCCTTTAGATGGTTTGGAGTATTGTAGGTCGAACTCCATTGGAAGTTGTTAGAAAACATTATTGACATTGAGACAATTTTCTTTTCCAACACAACTTACTATATGGAGGCGGTACTGGCGAAAGTGCTGGGTGGACGGCATGAACTCACCTTATGGCATCACTCGACTGAAAAGTGAAAAGGTATTTGGATCGGACAGTACCCTCAAAAAGGTCCTGATTATTTCAACTTCCCAGCTGATCAGGATGGCCATATATGACCTGGTAAATCTGAAGTAGCACCTCCTATTCATTGATACTTTCTCTTTACTCGCACACTACTGTAGGCAAATCGGAAACTGAATCCAAATCGGAGTCATCACAACAACAAAATCAGGATCAGGGTGAACATGGACGACCGTGTGAGGCCCTGCTCTCGCGTCTGGGCTTCTCAAGCGACCGAATGGAGATTGATAGTCTCCTTTCCATCATCACCATAGGAGTGCTACGCCACGCCTCTGATGTGCGCTACCTGGAACGATTTGCGCCCCGCCTTCTGCGCATTGTACAGCGTAAGCTCTAATGTTCCCTCTTATTCTCCCGTCTAACTGTGCTCAGTTAGTTGCAGGGGGGGGGTCCGTAATGATACTCACATCTCCTGATTTAATATATTCATTAAACATTTTATAAGGATCATGAAGTTGAAAGTTAAACCCACGAAATTGGACTGATCAGCACGGCAACACGAGCGCCCATGCGCGCTGGCTAAGGTCTCAGTTAAAGCGGTCCATTTTGTCTCTTTCTGATCAATGTCTGGCCCCGTATGGCTATCCCACGCGGTCAACAAACTCTTTCCAAACTCTTATATATGCTTATGATTTCCTCTGCCAATAGTGTAATGTTTTGGCCTCTTCTATCAAAATAGGGATTCACAAGGTAGAAATGTCTTACTCCTCTAGTTTCACTGAGATTTTGGCTAACAGTGGACCCTCTGAACCAAGTCTATTATTTTAGGATATTACGTCACTACAGCTGAGTAACGACGAATTGGTGTAAGAGGAGAAATTAATTATCAATTTGTCTATTACATCGGTGCTTGTGTGGTGAAAGAATTATTTTCCGGAATGTATTTTGCTAACAGATTCGCGAGACTTGGCGAATTCATTGTGATGGGAGTTCACGATTAAGTCAACAGTTGCTCTATTCGATGCCATATAGCGCTTTTTATTAAAAATTACCATCAACACACTTTTCCCATCAGTGGATGACATCTTCTATCCTTTGTAGACAGAAATCTAAGCATATAATTATGGTTATTAGTTATCACATACTAAACCAGAACATCCACCGATATGTGCATCCTTTCCTTCCATCCACCTCTCTTAGCATCCCTCTTTACCCCTGAGGACAGAACCCATGTTTGCTCTTTCTCAAACTAGAGAAAGGGGTTGGATTGGATTTCTCGTTCGCTCTCCTCCTCTGTCTCAGTGTAGTCAGCATGATTTTAGTGAACGGGATTAGGTTGGTAAACTATTTGCACCACTGTAATGCGGCGTGAGAAATTTAACATTTCTTACCAAATGCATACCTCAAGAGGTTTGAATGGCATTTTGGACTCCGTTGTTCTTTTTTCAGCAACCACATGGGAAGAGCGCCTTTCCAGTCTATCACCCTCTGAGCTCTTCTCCCACCAACGCACTTTTTCCGAAGCTGGCGCTCCCTGGCTCTTCTGGCTGCGCGAAGCTTCCAGCCCCACCCTCATCACCTCTCCCACCGAGCTCTTCACTTGGTACGCGGATCAGCTAAGTCCTCTCGTCGAAGTGTGTGAAGACAGTCTAACTGCCCCTCCACCCGCTCTTCTCCTTCTCCTTCGCCTCCTCCGCTCTGCTCTCACTGACAGCGGCGCCAGAGCCATCGATATCGAGTTTAGTGTGATTGAGCTCTACGCTCGAGGTGGTCTTGCCAGCCTTTCCACCCTTGTTGACTGTACCGCCGACCACCTCCTTCTTCAGCAGTCAAACTCTCGAGGCTTTTGTCGAGGTCCTGCTGAGACGATTGCCGCTGATATGATGGCGGAGGGCGTGGCAATTCTCGCGCACCTGGTTGTCGCGTTGGCGGAAGCAGTTGAGGAGGACTTCCGAGATAGGACGCCAGTGAAGGCTGTCTGTAGAGCTTATGCTGCTGCTTCTGTGGTGCCTAACCGATTGGGTGAAAAGGTGGGGGTATGACCGTTGGAATGACATGAGGTATCAGTGATTATCTTGCTTTTTTGTTGTTTCTATAGATTCGAAGGAATGTTCTTCGGTGCATTTCTGCCTACTCTCTGGCGAGTCAGGATATGGAGACATCAGAGGGTAATTTTGTTATGCTAATCGTGCAAGTGTAAATTAGTAGTCAGAGTATTTTTAAATTTGTTTGTCAAGGTTTGCAGCTTCAAAGACCAACATCTTTGTTAGTATTTACACTACCCAAAAACCTCTTGAAGTTTATTCGATGCTTTAAGAGTCAATAGCTTGATTTCTTATCTCATCTTTTCATGCAGTTTCAAAGGCAGACATTTTTTGCATACAATCAACATCTGGAAGCCTCTTGTCTGCCACGAAGTCATTTATTTCAGGCACTGAAAAGGACCTCTGGTCGTTGGTGTGCCGGGAACTCTTCGCTTTCACCATTTCCTCGCCATCCTTTTTCCTTCCGGGTCTACAGCTTCTGCTGGATATGCTTCCACTGTCGTTGCCGGTGGAGACTCTGAAGGGTCTCTCATCGTCGGAGCGACAAGCTGTGAGTTATCTAAAAGTACTTTTCTTTTGAATCCCACAATCTGTGGATTTATTTATTCTCAGATAGTGATTTTAAGGTATTATTCAATTGAAGATTTCAAATGAAGAAGCTAGTTTAGATCGTCAAAGATGGTTCCATTTACATCAGTTTTACTTTATCCCATCCTTTCGACTTTGCGGAGACTCATTCTTTTCTTACAGCCCATTGTACTAGAGAAACATTTATCCAGTCAGCTGAGCTGATTAGTATTTTTTTTCTAAGTGTCTCTTATTCCGCCCCAGGTGATCACCACCCGTGATTGGTGGTGCCAGCGCCTGACCTGTGACCTTGCAGTGGAGATATGCGGCCTTGTCGAAGTGCTCAGTACAAGTCTCCCCGGCGGAGCGCTTTGGCGACGTCTGACGGTCTTTGTGGACCGTATTACATCCCTCGGCTCCTCCACTCTACCCCAGATGCTTGCCGTGTCTGCCGCGGAGACCCTTCTCGAAGTCTACCAAGCTACCAATGCTGAAGTCGGCAGTGGAGGTGGTTTTGGTGATGATGTCCAACATCAGGAGGCGCCTGATTCAACAACTACGATGGTAGCTACGGTGGGAGCTTCTTGGTAAGTTCAGAGAGGGCTTTTTTGAGTCCAGGTCCTGTATCTTTGCTGAACTTATCGATCTCCATTTCGTTGTTTTGTCTCATCATTTGCTCCATCTCTTCATTTCTTTCCATCAGTCGTGATCCGCACCTCGTTAAGTTGTGAAGGGTAATGTCTCTAATGATAGACCATTGGAGGCTGATAGTAGTGTTATAATGCTTAGAATTGGATGTGTTGACCTCTGATGCAGCTGCTTTGAACTCGTTCACTAAGTGGAACACTTTGTTGGTGCATTGGTTTTATGATAGGACTAATATTTGATTTCACGTTAACGTAAATTTTTTCACTTATGTAACTCCCTAAAAATGAAGCCTCAAGTCTGCTAATCACAGAATGTAACGAGGAGTAACTCCTCATAATTGTTCGACCGGATCCAAATTGAGAGTCCTATTGCTCGGATTTTAATTCATCTGTAGCATCCCACGTCCATATCCTTGGCGATAGTATAGATCCTCATGAGTTTGGAAGCAGCTTTGTTATGGAGGTACAGAATGTTTGGAAGACTGGTAGCATGCGATGTGCGCTCGGCTGGATACCATCAAAGTGAATATTGAATCGCGGACGACCGTGCAATCGCTCATCTCTAGTTCTAGGTTTCATGCAGACTAAAGTTGACCGAAACTCCTATGCTTTCTAAATTTCAGTGCAGTGGACTTCAACCTTCCCCTAGCCATTAAGACGCTAACCTCGGGCAGCAAGTTAGTGCTGGGTGCTCAGCAGCCACCAACCCTGCCAGATCAGCCTGTCCCCACGTCACAACCTTCGCTACCTCCATCGTCAGCAGCAGCAGTTAACGAAGAAATTGTCGCCTTCGGCAAAGTTGTGGATGTCTCTGAAGTTCTACACGCTCTCTCCCTCCTCCACTTTATCCTGCAACAGCCGATTTGCAAGCAGGCTTTTCTCGATCTTATTCGGAAAGACTTCTCGTCGACATCGACGTAAGTGTTAGGGGGGGGGGGGGGAGGGGGGAGGGGAAGGAGCTGTTATTTCGAGGAGTTTTACGGTTATTCCTTCCCACAGCAAATGTAGATTTATTTAAACCGAAGGCTGGATTAACTTAATCGTCTTCGATTTCAGACCTCGGCTCTCCAGAAGCCACCGCCTTCTGCTCATCTTTTCGAGCATTTTGGAAGGAGTCCATCCACCTGAGTCCCAATGCCACTTGGAAGCGCAGGCGAAGGTCATTGTAGGTTTAACCCACCACTCACAAGCTTCTCTTTCCATTCTGCTACTTTTTGTATGTGCATTCCGTTTTATGCATGACAGGAGTGCGTCAACTGTCTGTTGGACACTAGTATAGGTCTGAAGGGGAACTGTGACCCTTCTGACCCTCTCTTTGATCTTGCCAATTATCTGCCCCCAACTGAGTGGCTGAGTGACCTTGTTGCCTGTCTGCTGACTCATCTTCATCCTTCTGAAAGGGCTTCTACGCCATCGGCAGCCCAGGTCCTATGCATTCTTCATCGTCTTGCTCTTCATGATTTTGGATTTGCAGTTATTCAAAGGTATGTGATTGGACTTGTTGCCAGAACTTCAATTTTTTCTGCGCCTAGAGGTTCTTTTATTGGGAAGCCAGATGGTTCTGTCAATCAATGGGTGAAACCTCATATCACTACTGTAAATACCAATTCATGAAATACTGTTTTAAAGCAGTATCTCTTTCTCACATCACCCCTGTATTGTTCTGAGCAATATCTTAAGCCCTAAAACTCATTCATTTCTCTTTAATATTGCGTCCTAAGTCAATTCCTTCCTCCTATTTCGTTGTCTTAGCACAAGCGCCTAAATGAATCATTTTCAGCTACTTATAGCATGGTAGATGTTACTTTTTTTCCTAGTTAGTTTTTTTCGTTCTCTCTGGATCTAGCTGTGTTGCCCATCACGGGACAAAGAGGGGAATTGCCAAACTACCGGTGTGCTTCTTTAACCCCTGCTGTTGCCAGTCCTCGGATAGACGACTACTCATAGTGGGCCCTTTTTTCTTAAACCCTTTTACATCTTGTAACCTCGTTTAGAGCCTTTATAAACAATCCCTTCTTCGCAGGGAGTCGAAATATGTTGCACATCCCAAATAGCTGAGTCCTGGATAGCTAGTTGCAAACATGATTAAACGAATGAATGAGGGGACGAACAACTTGTACCCTCACTACTTCTTCCCTTTTTCCCCCATTCCATAGACACCTCTGCCAGAAGCAGCACGAGCGCGTGCTCGCAAATCTACTGCAGGGTCTTATCGATCGCTTCAGCACCGAGTGCCGCGCCACCCTGGGTGCCTTTCTCCTCCTTACCAGCGCTCTCCTCGCCGACCCAATCTTTGCGGAGGAGGCGGTTTTAGCTGCTGGAGCTGTCGCCCAGTCTACCTCCACCACGGGGCTAGCAGAGCGCCAATTACGCCTCTCCACATTGCAGTTGAGGCAGCTGCTCAGTTGGAGCGGTGGTAGGTCGGAGAATTTGGTGAAGGAGGTGGCTTCTGGACTGGACGTAAGTTGAAATGGATAATGTTGTGAAATGCAAAGCTTGGAGTTGACTATAGCGCCACCTCAGTTTAAAATTACCTCTTCCCTGCGGTTCATGAGCAATATATTTCTGACTGTTGACCAAGATCGTGGTCAACACCAAAAATTCAACTTTCTCGTTTTCTGTAAAAGGATTTCTAGCAAAATATTGTTGCGGCGAGGCTGGTGGCTTGAATGCAACTTAAAATTGTTGATTTATTCTCAAAACTTGGTAAGCTCTCGTGGCACTTTTGGACTTTTACTTATTTCAATTTAAGTAGCAAATTCGTTCATTTGTTGCATATTCAAAGGCCTCACTTTGTGCTCCCCAGATCGCAATGTCAGGCGCCACAGAGGCAGATTCCTCTACTTTCCGTTCTCTTCGCGATGGCGTGAAGAGTCTAATGCATCTGCTAGCTGGTCCGGAGGACATTTCCACCGACGCCGACGTCGCTGCCAATTTCGACACTGTCCAGCCTCTCTCTATTCCCCTTCTCCCCACCCCCTTGACCCTCGCGGAACTCTACAGCCACCACAACAACCTCCTTTTTGATCGTCCAGTGAAAGACCTATCCCATCTTCTAGCTGCTCGCCGTAGCCTCCACGATGTCCTCCTTCCTTCGTTCCACTCCACTGCCATCGATTCTCCTCAGAGTCACTCCCATACCATCAACTTGCTCGATTACGCCAGCCACGTCTGTCCAGGTGTAGATTTGAGGGCAGAGATGGCAGCGCTGAGCAGTACCAGACGTCGCAGGCGAGATATGGAAGATTCTGAGGCCATGATTCATCACAAGAGACGCAGAAAGGGCCAGGCCTCCGATATCATTCAGACGGGCCGATCGGCCAAGAAATACGGTAGGTCGGAAGCCGGCTTGAAGTGTCTTAAAGAAGTTGCACATGAGGAAAATCCAAGTCATACTGGGACACAGGCCTTTAAAATGGTATATTTAAGGAAAAAAGTGTACATTTATTAATTCTTTAGCGTGGTGCCTTTTTTCATACGCATTGTTCATCCCATCAACTTAGAAATCTTTCGAATAGAAAAATTTATCAGTGCGGCTGAAACGCTTTGAAACAGTTGGGTTTTCAAAGCTGTTATTGCTCAGTGTGCGATAGCTTTTGAAGTTTTAAATACGCTTACTGTTCCCGCAGATATTTGTCCAGCATGGTTGCACCACTTATAGCAGGCGTTTCGAGCGCAGCCTAAGTGTCCCTTCACGGCGTTTATTGCTGTGGTGTGGGATGGAAGTTAACACCTACCATCCAGAACCGTCATTAGCAGATGGAGGGCATCTTTGAAACTCTTAAACGGTTTAAGTGTCCTGTTGTAACTGAGCACCACCATCACCACCGTACTACGGTTTCGGGTTTCGCCCCTTCCGCATCAGTACGCGCTGTGCACACCCTATCACTGGTACTATTGTTTATCGGCTTGGTTTATAGTGTCTGAGCTGTACTGGTCCACGGTAGGAGTGGCAGCTATTACGGGTACAACTACCAACGCATGCAATACCGTCACAGGAGTGTCTTTTATTGCTAAAAAATTCAAGTTCTCACTTTGACTTTAACGTTTTCGCAAGTAGTTTCTATCTAGCTAACGCATTTTTCCTTTCTTCCCAAAAGTTGCTCCAATGCGTGGCCGAGGCTTCACCATTCGTCAGTCAACCCAATCCTCTAGTGGAGGCGGAAGTGGCGGTGGTAGCGCTAACGTTGGTGGTAGCGTTAGTGGCGGAACTGGTGGTTCCAGCCTTCTGGGTGTAGGTGTGACTACCAGTGGTGGTATCGGTGGACGCACAGACGTCTTCCGATCTCGACCCCAGAATACCAGCCGGCCGCCTAGTCTGCATGTGGACGACTTTAACAAGTTGGAGAAGGATGAGGGGAATGCTGGCTCAGGAACCGTCCATGAGGTGGTTGTATTGTATCTACTTTTTGTCAGTAGAGATTTTATTTGCTGTTCTTTTATGACGTTCTGTCAAAGTTATGTTGTCTTCTACTATTACGAGGAGCTCTCATTGAATTTTCGCGCTTATATGACGTTGGAGAGCAGCGGAAGTATAGAGACCGTTATTACCCTGCAATGATAATCGTAAATCCTATATATGGAGAAGGTAGCGACGTTCCGGTTTGTGCTATTTATTTGTGCACTAAAGGTGTGATCACCGAGAGTACAAATTTTATCTTTGTGTGCTTAATGCGGAAATGGAACCCTCCCTCCTGTAGAGCCATCTTTGAATTGTTTAAAAAGATCGGAAATGTCGTACTAGTCCCATACCCACAGTCGTGCTTACGGATGGTGACTAAAAAATTCATGACAACTTTAACTTTACTAAAGTGTTTCTGTCTAAGCGAATGCCGACAACGGACTGTGGTGAGCGCAAGCGTTTAGGTGTCTCTTTCCCGGCACTTACACCGTTATCCTAAGGGAAAGGTGAAAACTGCATTGCGATCGAAGGTGGTACAACTAGTTTTACTATCCGACCTTGTGAAGTGTTCTTAAAGTCTACAGATGTTTAAAAGTCTGCATTGAGCTTTTAGGAGTGTGACTTCCCGATTGTATTTAGTGTTTACCTTCTCGACGCTTACGCAGAAGGGGCAGTTGTCTTTTTGACTTCTCTTGACGTTTTGATGTTCAGAAATCGCTCCAATTGCATTTGGGATCTTTTAAACATCAGCTAAGTGAGTTATGAATTTCAACCGGAAAAAACTTTGGAGAAGTAAAATTTATTTTTCACCTTTTTCAGCTACCCTTTGGCCGTGACAGCGGCGGACTTCGTGGGATTCGTGAATCCACCTCGTTTAGAGGTAAGGAAGACTGGCCTTTCTTCAGTTACATGCCATAAAATCGTCGAACATCAGTGTACCACCTAACTACTTAAGTAGGTTTGGAGCGAAATCACTCAGTTGGTGAGTGAATATCTATATTCCCCACGCATAAGTTTGGTTGCTGATAATCCTCAATTCCTACGTATTTTTCCATGTCGTCTCCCCAGTAACCATAAAATTCGACTTCGGCAGATGGCGGCACTGTTTCATTCAGCTAGGTGGTGCGATTGGATGCGATTTTCCGATGAGTTAGTTACAAACTGTTCAAGGTTTTTTCCTCGGAAGTCGCAAGTGCTTATCATCAGAGTGGGATAGATTCTCAGGACCGAAAAGCTGATAGTTCTGTTTGATGGGCATCACATAATCCAATTCAGTGGGTTCGAGTTATTTCATCAATTACAGTAGCAATGATTAGATGAAAAGGCGATGGGACCGCATTTTTGATCAAACAACTGAACTTCGGTAAGTAGATGATGGATCAAGTCAATGCCACTTTGTCCACACTTGATATATTCCACTCATTCAAAATCTTTCATTTCCACACTTTCTCCCACTTTTGACTTTTGTTGTGATTAAACCTGGAGGTCAAAGCCGCCGTAGCATCATCATCATCATCCGTGTACTTGATGTAAGTCGTTCCTTGGGGTCAAAGGAAATTTTGTCCCTTGGTAGATGTCAGCACTTTTCCAACAGACTAATCAACTCGGATTTTGTTCATTAGATTCTATTTTTGATTTCAAAACTTGTAGGGAATACGTAAAATTTGAATGCCTCATTACCGCTTCGCTGTTGAAGGGAAGTTAGTAAGTCGTTTAATTTTGCACTGACTACACAGGCACAGCCCAGTGGGTTGCCTGTGCCATTTTTGTCAAGAATCATTCGAGAAATAGTAGAGTAGTCTACTTATAATCTTATCAGAAATAAGATCTTTTTCCGTACTATGTCACACCGCACAACGGCAAGGACAGCAACAACAACAGCCGCAATAATCATCCGTGACGGCTTGGCATGGCGGAGAGAAGGCACCACGAAAGTCAACAATGGTAGTCACCGTTGGTGCAAAATAAATAGCACTTCTTTTCACGTCAATCTACGTTCCTATAGTAAAAGTTTTCTGCTCTCAATTTGCTGGTAGATGGCGTTGATAAGACTTGAATCGATAAGGAGAAAAGATAAACTATTTTTACCACTTCGTATCCCCTCGATGATTCACCTCCCAGGCATCCATAAACATCTCTGTTTATATCTCCATCTGCCAGTACCATTCGTCTGAAACACTTGGTCACAAAATAGGGTTTTTTTTTGAAGAAAAAAAGCTTTACTTTGAATAGCTACACCACCTTGTCAGACTGTAATTGCTGCGGTTTTCTGACATAAAGTCGTAGCAAATAACCGAGATTAAAAGGGGCAGAAAAATTAGTTGACCTTGTTTCTCTCGTAACCGATTAGCTTCCAGCAGCTTTTTATTAGTAGAGCTAAGGTGACTAACTGGCAAGAGCCTCTTCAAGCACCGTATTGGTTGGAAGCAATCACCATTGCAAACTGTATTCTTTTTTAAACGAGACATAATCTTACCATTTCGGCTGTTATGCATCCCTCCGGTTCTTGAACCAAACAACCTAATTCCATTTAGTCCCATCTCAATCTCAGCCCTACTTTCTAACTGACTATTCCGCAGGCGATTGTGCAATAGCAGCAAGAAGAAAAGATGACATTCATCGCTTGAAAGAATGTCATCAAGGGAGCACAGGGAATGGGGCGGTATGAGGAGGTAAGACTTCCGACTGGTTTTGTTCAAGATGTCCTAGCTGTTTTTGTTGAGGTGTTTGTAGTAGGTCGATCAACCGTCAGCAGGCAAACGGTTTCTAGTGGGCGATTACGTTCGCAATGTACTACACTTTCCAGAAAATTAGGTTGGTAGCGATTGTATTGGTTTGCCTCGTATTGGAACACACAATACATTTTTTGGTTATTTAGTCAGCAAACAGTTATTTTCTCACGGGTAGGAAAACTTGGTAGGCTTGGGAACGCAAGGTAATTTGTTAATGCCCATGGTACCCCTTTGGCTTAATTTCAGTCACGATTCCTCCCTGTTGATGCGCTTGTCAACAGATTACTTCATCACTCGCATTAAGTGGTGCTGGCAGCTCTGGACATTTTAATCTCGGCTAATTTAACCAGGAGAGGCCTTCTACAAATTGATTCATCCTTGAGTGGTTTGCTAATGCTCTCTACTTGCATGGTGTTGCTATGTTGACTTTTCGTGCCTCGTTATTTTTGCGGGTTAGGTGAATTGTGGCAGAACTGTGTTGCACCTCATTGAGATTCAACTTCCATGGTGATTTCGCCTGATTTTTATCTAGTCTGGACTTGAAAAATCGACATGTACGGGTCCTTGAACTCTGTTGCTAAATAATAGTGAGTTGGGGTCTATTGCTTAGCTTCAAATAGATGTGCTGATTCCATTAAGACCTTTTGTTTTTTTCTCTAAAAATTTAGTAAACTAAACCCCGTACCTACTCTTCATAGACTGATTCGTTGCAAGGTCCCTTGTTTTTCTTCAAGTAGCTAAAACGCCGATAGTTTAAAACATCAGAATGCGATCGCCACAAAATTGAAGTTAACAGAAGGGTATGATTGGGAGCCACCTTTTTCTATTTTACGGACGCGGTTTATAACAACGAGAGCCTCAGCTTTATCAAATTTTCCATCGCCTTGTAAACTGCCTCACATTTCCTTCATCCATGTACACTTGCTTTTATGGACTTTCACTTTCCTTCAAAATAAACAAGTCACCAGGTGACTAAAAAGGTCGTACGCTTTGCGGTAGAGCTCGCTAAATGTGATATGCATCAGTCAAGCTCCGGTACGGTGTTGCTTGTTTTTCCCTATGCTCTTCCTCCTTCCCCTGCCCTTTTTTCCAATCCACTCCCATGCTATCAAGCTTTGGTTTAATTTGACGTGATTCGAGTTTGTCAGCTTTACAGACCGGATTTAACTCAGCTTTGAAGCGGGGGAAACTTCTCGTAACTTTTAAGAAGACGTAGTATATGGTAGTGGAGCGCATTGCCTTGATTTTGGTAGTCAGTCGTTCAAACGCATCGCTGCCCATCCTTGGGCAATCCACTCACCATCCATCTCACACTTCAAAGGCACGAATTACTTCATTCTCAGAAGACTATGCTTGCATTGTGTGCGTGTGCACAGACTACAAACGGAATTTTTCACTAGGAATTTTTTGCTTGCCTAACGTCAACCGGTTAAACCCTATATCTACTCGATACGGCTACAGCCTGTGCAAGGGAAGGCCAGTGAATTTGTGAGGAGAGAGTCCTTTTGTTGTGGCGAGACTCGGAAACCGCACATCGTTGCAAAACAGACTCGTTAGGAGACCTCAAACTGCACATTGGGATGTGGGGAGAAGAGGGAGGAGGAAAGGAAATGTTGCCTTATCCTTCATATTTCCCCACCGGTGTTTCTTTTCTAGCGATGAACAATCGCTTACGAAGTAGTCGGTTCGGAAATAAAGCTTAGGCTATTTGTTTGCGGAGGCAAAAGAACAGTTTTCAAGAAGTTACGGACTGTAATATTTGCTATTTTAGCTAGTGATGCGTACTAAGGAACTTTCTGTAATCGTTTTTCTATGTAGCGACAACGAGTTATAATCTTGTGCCCCCCGATGTTGCTATACAGTCGTTCTACCCAAAATTTGACCACAAGACGCCCTTTTGCAGTTGAAGCGTAGGAAGTTAAGCCCCACTTTTTATTTCAACTAAGTGCTACAAGCTGTCAAGTTGCGTTTGCTGAGATTTTTGGTCGAGAAATGCCATCAACAAGAGGTGAAATCACCCACATTATGGCTCTGTTCTAATTGACGCTACCCCTAAGAGCCCACTGACTGTTCAGGTAACAATTACTTGTGGCAGTTTGATGCGTTTGAAGCCTCAGTGTCACAAAAATCAAAGATGACAGTTACGCCGTTGTTGAGGCACATAGGTTTTAATGCCACTTTTGATATCATCAGCTGCTGCTGAATAAACTTCTCATTCCAGGGCCTAAGGTAGGCCTCATTGCCTCACCCCAAATGGACATGCATCTCATTAGTCTTTGCTAAATAAGACAGAAAGTGTCCGCTCGCTGATGTTAATTTAGCATATTGGAATAACAATGGCCCTAAAATTGTGGAATATATTCGTCCTTCTTTCGAAATATATTATCTTGGCAGAATTTATCCCAACACTACACACTGTGAATTTGTTTTAAAGGAGATGGAGGCGCTCTGGGACACTTTTTCATCCATCTTATATTGTTTCTCGAATCTCCTTGATGGCCCACTGTTGTGCAGTCCTTTTGTTACATCGGTTCGTCATCAATAACGCTGGTGATTGCCTGGTAAAACTCAATAGTGACAGTTTGATACATTGAAACTTAACTTTGGTAAAACTGAACACTTGGTATGTGAATTAAATAATTACTTCTAGAGCATTTCTTATGGTGTCATTTTGCTCCCACAGGTGGACGAGGTGGTGGGATGGTGGGTAGTCAGAGAGTCCTCTCCACTCTGCCCTTTGTTGGACCCACTCCCGTGACCTGTGGTATTCTTCCATCACCGGTGGTTCCGCTGCAGTCCTGGCCTACCAACCAATCACTGTGAGTATTGCTTCCGAATCTTTGTCTTTTAAAGGGCTTCCTTTAAACCCTTTCCAGCATCCTTATACATATGTGACGCCTCATTTTTCTCGTCTGAGTATGCCGTCACAAATGTGTGACGTTTGTTTCAGCTTATGGCAAATATCTGCGATCAGCTTTGGGGTAAATGAATCGATCCAGGTATTTTTAACCTCGTGATGATTGGATCATTGCCATTTTTAAGAGGTGGCTTTTGTTGACAGTGGTCGCCGATTTTCTTCCGGAATCTCCTCCAAGAGTCGATCCATCATTGCTTGTTCTAGTGTTGTTTAAAAATTTGACTATCACCGTTCACGAAGCAGTTTATCCCCATTTGCTAGTTACCTCTTTCGATTGAAGGACCTAAAACCAAATGCGTAGGGGATGGAGAGTAGGAAAGAAGGAGTAGCAATTTCGCCTTATAGCTAGTGACAAACTCAATGCAGTTTGGCAGTTTTGCCTGATTTATTTAACCCTTCACATTCGGGCGTTGGACTGTTACCAACTTAAACCAGGAATTTTTTTGAATTTCTCTCAGTACTAGCTTGCGTTGCGTCTTCGTGCCCTGTAATGGGTAACAAACTGGAGTGACGGTATTCTACTGTGCTTTGACACAATAAATGAGATGGCGTAGTGCCCAAGTTTCTTCTCAATGTTTTCCGAGGAAACTGAAGATTTGGTATCATAGACAGGTGAATCATGGACGACTGGAAAGGTCCGCATTAATTAGTTTCAGTGGCGGTTCTTCATGTCACAATTTGACACCTATTCCCTCATTTTGAGGAGCCTTTTTCGTTTTCACAATGACAGCAATGTGAAAGGAGTAAATCACTTCCCGTCTAGCCTATTGCTGGCCAATATCCTCAGCGTAAATCACGATTATTTTGCAGAGCCATAGAGGTCCTCTTCTTGCGAACTATTGGGAACGTGAACTGCTATTAAAAGTACCACACACTTGTACACTTTGAAGGAACAAAACAATTCAGTCTCCCTGCCCATCACAGCCTATATTTTAGAATTCCTCGGAAAATTAGCGTGGGAGTTTACAAAAATACCCCGGCTATAACCTCTTAAATGCCACTGTTTCGGTCCCATCCCTTGAGGTCTCTTGGAGCAGTAACATCTTCCATCCCGTTGTGATGTGAAACTAGAAATGTGCCAGCGCTTACGTATTCAACGAAGAAATTCATTTGGTTGACGGTGCTTAAGGGCTGATATGGCGCTATGGAAATTTCACAGTAGAGAGGAACGAATTTTACATAAAAAGAACGTATATAGCTTCTAAATAGTTCTGGTGTTTTCGCACCAGACCTAAAAATAGCTGATGTCCACATTAAAACACCGTCAGATGTCCAGATTTCATCATACGAATTGCAATTGTCACTTTGCTTGAATCAAATAATTTTCTTGTTTTTTTACTTAAACTAGAAGCCCGATTAAAAATTTATTTCAAATGGCCCGCAATTTGCCTTTAATTCTACTGATTTTCGATGAACTTTGTAATCGGTCAAGTTTTTAAAAAACAAGGTCAAGTTCAATGTTACATGGACTTTATGGCAATTCTGGTGCTAAAAGTGAATGACATAGATGGCATATGTCTTCTATAAGCATCAACAGAGCTTTTTGGCTAAAAAGGTTCTTTTGAAATTCTTAAATCCATCTTCAGAATTTAATTAGAGGGACAGCTGCCATGCGTTGATTGGTGAAGAATTGACCAATGGCGCGCGTCCTAGACCGCTGCAGTCAATGAGGTCACAAAGATACTTGGTTGCCCAAGTTTGCAGCCAAATTTACCATATCCCACTTTATCAGTTAATTTCCTCAATTTAGCGAAGACTTGTATGATGTGTACGTACGAATCATTCAAATACAAGATGATTGTTGGCTTTAGTTATCCGATTTTTGTCAGTATTTCTTTTTGACTACACGCTTTTCATACCTTAGCAACCATCATCTCCTGACCCTCACAAACCCGACGGTGCCGAACCGTTCAGCGAGTGGAAATATGCCACCTCCGCGTATCGATTAAATTGCAGCGAGTATCCCTATGCCTTAAATGCTCCTGCAGTCCACCTTACCATTCCGTGTAAATGTGATCGCCAGTGTCCTGTACTGACCCACCATACTATCATCTGCCGCCTTTATTTATCATGATGATGTGGTAGTTTTGTTTAGTCGGTTTTTTGAAAAGAACGCATTTAATAAGTGCTACGCTTCATCTTTGGCACATCAGTGTCTTGATTCCCTCCTGATGGATCCGAGTGATGGCCGAAACTTAGGTTACTTGACGCAAGTGGGATATTGTGTGGGATACTTTGAATTGTTAAAATAAATTGCTGAGGCTCTGAAAACTCTCAGGACATATAACGAGCGTACTTCTCTCTGATGGTCATGGAAACCATGGTGTTTTCTCTTTCAAGTACGAGCACTAAATGTAGCATAGAAAAATCCAAAGCACGAAGATTCAACAAATGCTCTTATTTGGCCCGTGTCAAATCCTCATGTACCTTAGAATCATGGCAGGCGAAAATCCCAATTCAGAAAAAACCAGTTCTGTCTGGAAATGGACGCACTGAAGCCTCGTGATAGTTCGGTGTACCATTCTTTTACTATTACACTGCACCTACTTATTTTCAATTGTCATGATAAAGTGACATCTTTACTTGTTCATTGTTTCAAGGAGCTATTTATTTAGTCACTGACTTTATGATTGACATTCATCAGCATCTGGATTTGAGGAGTCGACTCGATTCCATTTAAACAGGCAGTAGTGATGGGTGACAGTTTCACCCGGTCTTGTTTCACGGGGGGTCTGCACCTGTGTCCTCACCGTTCTCAGGTCAATTGGAACGCTAGCTCGAACTCGAAGGACGCACAAGTGGGAGCCCATGTCGTCTAGGCCTCCACAACTGGATGCTAACGGCAGATTGAGATGACCTCAGTGAAGCGAATAACCTATTGTCATTTGCTGCTTCGTCTGTTGCAAGGGAAACATCGGTCCGATCCAAGGGAGTGATTTATTCAACCAATGTCATTGTGAGATTCATAACGGTCTCGTTGAGCCCTCCTCACTAATATGACATGGAGACAAACTCTTCATGTTCTAACAATCCCGATGAGGTCAAGGCCATTCCACATGACGCATTCACACTCTCGTATGGAAGTTTACATGTGAGAATAGTGAACATCCGGCGAGAACCTGAGAGGCATTGAGATGTTCAGAAAGCCTCAGCAATTCTCCCCTCAGGCAGGTATTCACACACGTACACCTTTGATGTCAGCATTAAGGGTGACGGGATGACAAGATATTCCACGGACCATTGCCAGGCTGGTTGGGGGAATGGAGAATGCCGTCTCCGTGATCGAATAAATAAAGGCCAACTCATAGCAAATCCATTTCATCCACATGGTCATGCATTTTGCTGACCATCCCGGCGTGTATTCTTGCACCGAAATTCCCTCACGTGGGCAGCACATTGGTGTGGCACCTTGAGTGTGCTTGTGATCGGGAGGATGTTTTGCAAACACGTGAGTGGACAAGGCAGTCGGGGACGGCTGGCTCAAGAAGTCTGGTTGCATTAACGAAACAAGTAAAGGGAGTTCCCCATGAAATAACTGGTGTTTAGACCCTTAAACAAGTTGATAGGTTAAGAGATAAATTGGTTAGCAATTTGATTAATCGCATCGAATCCTAGCTGAGGTCGCCTTGCCTCATTGTTATTGTACACAAGAGCCCCTTCCGACAGTGCCTTAGGACGGAGGTGAAGAGTGCGTGTTCCAATATGCCTAGGCAATTTGTAAGATTGAGGGCTGGTTGCGTACAGATGGAAGGTCTGTTGGCCAATTTTACGATTAGGCCAGCAGAAAATTGGCTGGATCCGATTTAGGCTTTTGGACGTATTGCCTACCCAAGGAAGACGCACATTTGATTTCTACACTTATGGAATATCACGGTGGTAAATCTGGAAGAAAACTACCAATTTAGTTGTTTCTTTGACAAGTACCTAAATAAAGACCAAAGTGGGTACTCTGCAAACCAAAGATGGAGGAGGAAGAAGAGAGGTGAATGGGTGGAAAAGTTGGACTCACTCTACCATTTTAAGTAACTTCTGAAACTGTGAAAGATTTGGCAAGTTAAGGAGATCTGTTGAATTCGTTCTTTGGCCTATTTCCCTTTGCTAACGATGGCTTACGTGCCAACGACTTTTGCGTAATGTTGTAGTGCATGACGGGAAAACACAGCCCCCGGGTTGCATGGGACGCGGTAACGCCGAAGCGCAGTCATCACGGTAAGATGAATTTCGTCTGCTTAGTCAGCATTGCAATACCTTGTCGAGATATGATTGGCCAAGTGGTTAGCACCAACTGATTGGATGAAAGGTTGTGATGGGTGCCAGCCTACCATTAGACAACCGAAATTGATCGATTTGGAACAAATGAACCAAATGTGGGAAATTTCTTCAAGCACAGAACTTAGCTGGCAAAAAACACCTAAGTGAAGTCTTGGCATAGCTTTCACAACTAATCTCCAAACCCACGGCGTTTGTAGTATTCTCGTTTGGCACGATACACGTCTTCAAAAATAGAGGTTGGTGGTCGCATCCCGGTAGCTTTGGTCACTCGGCTTCAACAGGGGAATTGGGAGTCTCTCCTCCACCTCAATGGGCGTCAGGAGGGGTAGTACGGTTAGTGTGGTGTTGAAGAGAATGGTCTGTTCATTTGATCGCTTCGAATTGATTAGTACTTATTAAGAGTTGATACACTTTTGGCGACAGGTGTACCAAATGTGAAAAGCCTCTTCAAGTACAAAATTTTGGCGTTGTGACAATCATATGTAAAGTACATCATTTTCGCTCGACGAGACAGGTACTTGACGAGAATAGTACTTTGGTAAACTGTTTGTTTGCAGAAGCAATATGACAAAGAGGTTCCACCTACTCTCATTGTATTTGCAAAATATCTACTCTTCTCCTGGTGTGATTAAATGTGCAGCGCTATACCCACTGCGAAGAGTAAGAAAGTAAGATGGGTAACCATTACTTGGAGAAGCATCATGGGGAAAGGGAAGAGGCTGGAATACTATCCCCCATCAACCCATCTCTTTGTCACCTTTCTTTCCTGCCTCCCGCCCACCTTAAAAGAATTAACTTGTGGTTGCTAAACCGGAAGTAAGGGAAGTATTTTAGTTGAGTATGGAGATCGAGTGCAAACCGGAAAAGCTCGTATTTTTGCTTTGTGGTTCACCTTTCAATTCGAGTGGGCTGTTAGAATTCCCTACGAATGAGTGAATCAGTTAAATCGCAAAACTGCAAGTTTTTACTATTCATCCGTGATGGGAAGTCAAGTGACCACCTGTCCACCCACAGAACCATCATTCAGTCGGTCATTGCCTCTTGTAATGGGTGACCACTTGAGACGTACTATTATCGCCAAAGTTGTCCTCTACATAAGACCTTAAACACTTTAATCGGATGACAAGTTTGACATTCTAATTAATTTACTTAAGTCTTGCTAGACATGTGACCCTACTGAGAGACTTTTTTTAACGTATAATGCTAGATCCTGGCCCAAGACATGAATAAAGCTATAACGGTTTTAGAACAACTTGGCTAATGTCACGATTGACTGCTATTCGTTAAGATCTAACTCAGTTTTTTCGAGAAGAACCCGAGGCCAGATTTCTTGTTGCCTTCAAATGGCTGAGAGCGAAGTCAAACCAAACCGAGTACATTGCTATCAAAAGTGATAAGGAAAATCCCACGGCATACAGACAACTGGCTAGAGAGGCATGCCGGGAGGCATGAGGGAGCAAAACCTTGACTTTTCCAGTTTGCTCGTATCTGGGCCATAACCTCCAAATCGCAACGTAGCAACGACGCAAAAAGGTCGTCGCATCACCGTCTCCTGCTAATAATTCCCTCATCCGGCTGGCATTATTAGCCGCAAGTGTCATGAAAAACGAAAAGCAAATCGCGATTTTGAAAGCTTTTGAGATTTCCTTTGACCCGATCACGCATTTAAAAGGAAAGTAATTGATATTTGTCCTTGGTTCAAAAGTAATTTACCTTTTCCACTTTAGACCTGGTTTTTTACGTGTAAATTTTTGCCTTCCTTCTTTAAAGTGTGCTTCGTATTAAGTGTAGGTTGAAAGGCGCCATCAAATTTTCATTTTTATCACGAAAAAGGTAATACCATTTAAATAACAATAAGATATTGTCACTATTTTTAAATACTGGACCTAATTTATCAAGTCAAAAGTAAGAATTTTCTAATAGGAGTGCCAAATTCACGACGCTAAGTTAAAATAAAGTGTAGACAAAAAAGGTTAAAAAACGTGGTTTCGAATTGAGAGTAAGGCGCTAGTAGTGAAATTCAGTAGTTAGCTAAACAGAAATGCTCTTTCCCTCCTTTTCGCAATCCAGGTGCCGTCTTATCGCTTGGATTGGAACATCTGCTCACCTTATCTCATTCTGCCGCTCTGTGGCTTGGCTTTTCACTTTGAACTGCAGTGGTCGCCTAATTGGTCTGCACAAAACGAAAGATCACTTTCGGCCAGTTTGGCGATATTTCTTTACAACTGTAGCAATGTGGTGCCTCGAGCCGCATTCAAAGTCGGGAGAGGACACGGCACTTGGGCAGGAACTGTAGGACCGAGAGGCTGCTTTCACAGCCTTTGTCCATGAAAGTAGCCTCGCGAAGGTACGGTCGCGGAGCCTTCAGTAACCCCGTGGCTAAATCGAGAGTTAAATAAACTAGCAACTAATTACATAGCCCCTCCCTCCATTTGGGCATCGTACCCAGCGCTCGCCTTGGCCAAACTCCCTTATCGGCCCTCACAACGTAGTCTGTGCGGTAAGGCGAAACACCCATAAACCAACCGTGCCATTCATTGAACCTCCACGCAATTGTGAAGACATTCGACTGCAACGTCACTGATACCTCTTAGCATTTCCACTGAATCTGGGGTTTTGCCCTTTTTGGGAAGTGTATTAGGGGACGAGTGAATATGCTGACCATCACGCATGCCCATAGCTAGTCGTGCTAACAGCGGCTCAAAAGTGGAGTCATTTAGTAGGGGACGAAGTTTAAAAGAATTCCGTAGCAATAAGATTGCTTGTCTATTTCTTTTTGCCACTTCGTTCTCGCTTCAGTGCTACCCCAGCCACATAACTATCTGGGTTCTATCCATGCATTTGGGAGGTGCAGATGGAGGTATCGCGCGTCCGCCTATTTGACATCTTCTTACAGGCACCGTGAGCAGCTTCGTAACTAACTTTTTCAGACGATTCACGGCCACGGTAATTGTCGCTTCACTTGTTGAGGTCTTTCCTGCGGGTAAACATCGTCTCCATCCCTCCTGTTAGTGGTTGGCACAGATCCTCCCACCTGCTGTCCATGCCCTTCTTACGTCACGTTAAGGTTTAGCATTTAGGCATTGAAATCAGGGTAGTTGCCTCTGAGGCTCGGTTTCGCTTTTTGGTGCCAACAATGTAGAGCCTTGATTCTCCCAAAGTCGAAAGAGGTAGCAATACTGGAATAGAAAATGTATTGCTGGTATAGAAATGAGCTGAGAGGCTACTGGCATTTCCCGTAGGCCATATCGCCTAGAGAAATTACAATGGCGGAACATTAAGTGCCTATGCAACTAAAATCGAGAGTTAAACTAACAATCAGAGTGCTACAATTAAGCTTTATTGAATGCCTTCCGGAGTTAAATAAAGTCTTTATTCTCGAAGGCTTCTTCAGTCTCCGCATTTTCGGCCACTCTCTTCGTGTTCTAAACCCTTCTCACTGATGCACCTCGTTACAACTTTAAAGGAAACCTTAGGACGATACGTTGTTCAGAGTAAACTGGATTTAACATAGTGGATAGTGAATATCAACGACATACAAAGCAGCTCTCTGTTTTGGGATGAAACAGTACCGACTTTCACCGAGCCCCAACCTCAAAGCCTGCATAGTGGATAATGATGGAGCGAAATCCGGTCTCAACGATTCGAAAGTGGGCTCCAAACATTCCTACTCCTCATGTCTTAAAGGAGCTATTTGTAACGTTTTAAAAAAGTAGTACGACATTCTTCCTGTTACTCTGGGATGGCGAGTGGATTGAGCTTTAACCGAAAGACATTCCAGCCTTGAGCATCCTTTTCCCACTGAATCCCTCCCCTGCCACAGTTTGTCTGGCAGCTGATGCGATAGTCAAGAACCCCAACCAAATCGACAGCAAGCTTTCTCACCGATGACAGGAGTAGTATTTTACTTTTGATGGAGTACCATCGGCTAAATTTCTCTAAAATCGTAAATTACGGAAGAAGTATTGACAGTCGAAGCAATGGACTGACAACAGGGCGCTTCAGAAGCAGCATTTAAAGGGAAAAGACAGCAAATTATAACGATAGTTGTATGATAAATTACGCGGACATTCAAATGGACCATGTGGTATTGGTAGTTCACTGCGCAAGGTGGCTGAATAAATTGGTGCGGTTCTGGCGGTACAGGTGAGCTAGATGTGAAAGTCCTCTTAAAGCATGAAAAATAGTCGTCAAAAAAATGGAGGTAAAATTCCTCATTCTCACTTGACAAGACAGGCACTTGACGCGAATTACAATTTGATAAAATGCATTGACAACGTGGTGTTGGCCACCAACATTGTATCAGGGAAATCCGGGGAATGGAGCAAGGTGGTATTGTATCCTATCACCGTATTCATCTGTTTCCTTTCTTCCGCCCTCCCTTCCATCCTGAAGAGGAGTTTGAGATCTCCTCATTAGTTATTTTGTGGCAGCTTGAGACGCAAGGCATCGTACGTCGTGCTGTGTTGAATTACAGGAAGAGGAAGAGAACTCCCTCCGGACCAAATGATCGGCTACTTTTATCCTTCTGTTGCGGCTGCTTCTGATAAAGTTGACGATGTTTTTCTTCCACGAGTTCTAGTTAAAATGGATTAAGGGGTGTGCGGAGTAAATGGATGTCAGTGATGATTGACTGGGATTTAGCATGTAGACAGCTCCCAGCAAGCACTTGTGCCTGCTGTCCACCACCAACACTAAAACACAAATTATAATATTCTGTTGTCATGTTACGCTGTGCTGAGGTATTGAGGTGCCGAGATGATCCATGTCTTAGAAGTGTGAAATAGGTGCAGGATAGGGAGTGGATCACAGGAGGATTTTCCATGGTATGTTGGACCCCAAAAGCCACTTTTCGTCACCACACCAGTAGCTCCCTTAGTGACTCTGCACGTGGTTAAAACTTTTTCAATCCTACCGTTACAACTTCTTTGGAGTTCAGGCAGGACTCTTGGCGCTGCATCGGTGGTAATGGAAAGTGAAGCCGTTCCTAAAGGACAAATATTCTGTCTCATAGCTAAATTGGGTTGGGCTAATTTGTGACGATCCCTAACAAAAGGGTTGAAAATGACGTCCACCTTCAGTAACCACACCAGACCGTATTCTTCGGGAAAGGTATTAACAACTGAAGTGACACTAGCCATGAACTACCTATAAAAATTAGTTATGCACCCGTCTACGGTACCTGAATGAGAATGTCGATTCAGTGGACATGCGAGACTTCCACCTCTCTACTAGCCATAGAAACCGTATGGGTATATACGACTGGGCAGGGCCGAAGTGAGAACAAAATCTTCAAACCCCGTCCCTTATTAAATGGTTCCGCCTTGAATATATGCGATGGCCAGCACATTCTCCATTCCCCTAATACAGTTAGCAAGCGAGAAAAAACTCTGCATTCAGTGTAACTGCCACGAGGGATCAGTGACCCTGAGATCGAATGTTTCCACAGCTGTACGCAAACTCGATGACTGAAATGATTGGTTTGAGGGTGTATTTCTTACACCACCGACTGCGTTGTGGTAGCTGACTCGTGAGATTGACCAAAGGCGACGTCGAGGGGGTATGTACAGCCTTGGTTGCTTGTTTAACTCTGCAGTTGGTTCTGTGAGCACACATGACTCCGCCATTGTAATTTGACTGAGCAGCATGGCCTCAGGGCCAAGCCAGTGGCCACTCACCCCTTCTGTATGTCAACAATACATTATCCGCATGTGTATTATGTCTTTCTTCGCCTTTAGATAAAGCTCGAGGTGCTGCAGGATAAGCTTACATTTGATTTGAAAAATTCCTTAAATTAATAAAATGCTCAAATAACTTTATAAAGTCCCCTTAAATTGGACTGGTTATTTTTTGTCTGGGTGAAAGAAGGGTAACAACCTTCCCCTCTGTAGCAGATTTCGCGGGACCTCCACTTTCATGGGTTGAACTTCTGCGTCGTCTGCCTCCGTAGTGCGTAATATCGATTTATCGACCAAGCCTATGGTATGTCGCCAATTTAGTAAAATCTATCGACTTTATTGATTTTATGTGTTTCCCAAGCATATTCCCCCCTTGGTGAAATTTTAGAACTGAAATGAAGTCCATTTTGTTCCTCTACTCCTTTTTTATTGATAAAAAGCTTTTTGAATTAATTTGGACCGTACGGGTGTTATGCATCTGAATTCAAGAAATCCTTTGCCCAATAAAATTGCAAATCTTTTAAGCTATTTAAAAGTACTTCGAAATTGTTAAGTACGATGAATTTATGTTCTCTGAGATCAGAGAATATTTGTTTACCATTGTTAAAGGAAAGTACAAACGGAAAATTAGGAGGACAAACAGTTTATTCAGTGAATATCTTAAAAGTGTGGAAGGTTCAAGGGATTACCCTAGGGCATAATCTAATATCCTTCAGCTTAATATACACTTTCCTATTCTTAAAATTGTGTTTGTAACCACTCTTTTTTTAAAAGTGAGATGATAATTTAAATTTACATTAAGCGCAATTCTTTCTACTCAGAACAAATTTTGACACTATAGAAATTGCAGCCAATTCATTCTTAAAACTTGGGTGGACAAACAAATTAACTCATGTAAGATCCTTCTCCTACTTTATTACAATTTTGTTAACTTGGTATTTTTTTCCCCTTTTTTGTGCTTAAAGCTTGACAAATGCTACATTTTCCTTATTTTTCGATAGTACCTACGCCTATGTGTCTCGAAAAGAACTTTTCGCCTCAGAATCATTACCAGGTTTCAACCAAAATAATATGTTCTTTCTTTGCCACAAAATATGATGACATTTGCCATTAATTTATCATCATATTCCCCAATGCGTTGCTAATTTGTGCGTCTCATTCCGAAGCAGGAGGTCAGAGAAGTTTGTGCAGTCCTCGGTACAGCAAGGTGAAATGACACGTCGAAACTTGTAAGACGTATCCAACTGTTTGCTTGCATCCAGCATATGTGCATGAAGCATCGATTCATGTCTCAATCTCTCAGCACCCTTAGCAGTGCTCCCTACCACTTTTTCGCTCTTGTAAACCCACACACATCTTGTGTCAGCTGAATCTGATGAATTTGATGCGTTGAAATCTGGTTGCCCCTACGAAGCGAGTTTGACTTGACTCCAAAGATGCGAGACGAATCACTCAAAGATGCATCGGACCCCATAAACATCGTCCATTCTTGATCATAGCTAAGTACGTGTCGATAATGAAGACTTTCGTGGTAAAATTTGCATCCTCTGATGAGAGAAAGTGGAGAAAGGCGGGTACTGCCTGGTCTGCACTCCTCTGGTAATACTCCTCCAAGTGATGGCTGTCATCTTTTCTAGCCTTAGCATTAGACAATCACATGATCACCTGCAAAAGGGAGTAGACGGTAGGTAAAAGCAAGTGAAACAGCATCTAGGATGGCAGATTTTAGATTATTTGCTTCTACGGAAAAAAAGCCTTTCATAAAGGTAGTTTTTCTGGTGGCAAGCTTCTGCCCCAATGGGAAGGAGTGGTAGATTGTAACGGTGGACGCCCCATCAAATACAGAATTACTTTAGGAGGCCTTCTACAAACATTAAATTTCTTACAAAATTGCACGAACTTAGCTACCCTGGGCTAGTATACTCTTCTTTATAATGGGTTCGATTTTAAAAATATAACGGCAAACAAATCCTATTTCTTCTATTACACTTGTTCTTAAGAGGATTAGGCAAATTTCCTCCATACTGGGAATTTCTGACATCGTGATTTTTGCCATTCATGACCAAAAGGAAGAGTTTATAGCGACCTTAAGCATCTGCAGTAAACCATGAATTGATCATCCACTGAATTACTTCTTTACAAATCCTGCAAATTAATTGAAAGAGCAAACCTGTAGCACAATTTAATTGTAACAAATGCGGAATGCAAATGGGCTAGTTGACTGAATTTGCGAAAGCTTTATTGGCAGTCTTCCTCACTGGGTGACAACCACAAAACTGACATAAGTATGAACTTTCGCCTGTAAATAGCAATCAGGAAAGAGAAGGAAAGAGGGGAGGGGGAGAATCCTCTTTCATGCCTTGAAAATGATGCGAAGAATCGTGAGAAAGTTCTGGAACTGCGACAAATATCACCAACCCTACGTGCGCACACACGTACGCACGCGCGCACTAGTCCGCTCGATCGCTCTCTGACACGTGCCGCAGTTGTCCGATCGTATCGATCGCCTGCCGACAGCTGTGCGTGCGCGTGCACGCGGGCGCGTTCACAGGCGCGTGGACACCGCGACTGGAGCTGTGTGTGCCCAAATGGCTGCGCACCATGGCAAGTTAATTTGACAAGGATGATCATCCCTACTACTAGAGGGGTCCGCACCCTCTGATTGGTCCCATTGCATGTTCGCGCCTGATTTAAATGATGAATTGAAGTGTCTAGACTGTGTGTAACACCATCTCATCAATTGAAGTTCTACATCCAATTTCGGTCCGTAATCATGCATTGAAAGGGAAAAGGCAAGTCTTTAAGTGACTGATACTGCATTTTTAAATTGATAAACAGCGTTTTACTGGCGATTTTTCGCTCCAGAACGGTTCTGACACATTGATCCGCTGGTGACAACTGTTGTTAGGAGGCATCAGTTGGGATAAGCAGCTCAAATGATTTGATTAAACAACGGCAATTTGTTGGTCGCGTCTAGCAAGGTAGAAGAATGTATAATCCTTTCAACGTTTTGTCCTTTTTGGATAAGAGCGTTCAATTTTCTAATCTTCCCAGATCTTTAACTTTCCCGGGGCTGCTAACCATGAAAATCTGAAATATGCTGGGTTTTATTACAGCATAAGCTACTGTAATAACCTAAGCCATCTCTGAGGCCGTTAACAGGTATACAAAAGGTTTGCCTTTGACGAACAAAGAGCCTCTGACTTTAAGGAGTAGAAGGGACGCCATGACACCAAGATGGTGGCCAAACCGCATAATTTGGGAAAGCCATGGCGATAATTGAATAAGTGAAATAAATATTTCTTTATATTGTCCTGTTGCCTCCTCAAAGCAAATCTATATGCATAACAGATAATGATAGGCCAATTCCGATCAAATCAGAACTTCCGTATATGCAAAAGATTTCCACAAATTTATCTAATCCACTTTTTAAACAAACCGATGAATAATTGTCCGCCTTCAGGCTTCTGGAATAAACAATGTCATGGAGAATCAATTGGAGCGATGGGGACTGAACAGGGGAAACGTGGAAAGCAGTTTTATCTGGTTCATCTCTTGCTCGAGTGCCAAATTTATAGCACTGCCGAACTTGCATATTTTCTCCATAGACCTCCATGCAAAACCACTTCATGCTCCAAGTCAGTTGAATGAGCGATAAGCTAATGATTTAGTTCTGTCAGGGCTCCTTTAATCAAAAACCAGTGGGGTTATCCCTCTCCAGGTCGTTCCATGACAAAGTGGGGTTCTTCAGTCGCCGCGCTGTGGATAGTTGAACGTGCGGGGACTCACAAGGGAAGAGCTACCAAAGCCAGGCCCATTTTTCTCATTAATTCGCGTCTTATGTTCTAAAATGTGGCCAGTGAAGGAGGAAGATCAAGTTCAATCAAATTGAAAGGGATCTCCAGGTAGGTGTTTTCCATTTTGCCCGAAAGATAACAATTTGTATCAGAGTATATGAATTTGCTATCTTCGTGCAAATGACTCCCCTAAAAGGTGACTGGCGCTTAAAATCAACTACCCTCTTCCGCTCTAAAACCCTCCAATTCGCATGAAGTCTGCACGTCCAGGTCATACGTTGTCATGGTTGCACGCCACAGTTCCACTAATCCCTACGTGGGGGTCAGCGTCAATGAGATGCCAAACTCTTACTGTATGTGAAGCGACACTTCTACGTCGCTTCTACTTCTGAATTTTACGTGGGCGATTCTCCAGTGAGGAGGATTCCCAACACTCACGAAATGTGCATACAAGGAGACCTGTCAACCAAACATCGCGTTTTGAATCATGTGGCTCCACTGGAGAAATTGTTTGCATGCATGCATGAATGAATAAACGAACGAAGGTGAAAGTTAGTGTGCTTCTCAAATTGATTCCAAGGTAAGCACTTTCATGAAGTGTCCAGTACAGCCAGCATAGCCAGGTGGAGATGTGAAGGAATTGTGTGAACTGCCAACAGTCGATGCGATGTCTTGAGAACCTCGGTTCCGTCCGAAGAAGTTGGGTAGCTGACCAGAACTGTGAAGCAAGCCCTGCCTGATGAGTTGGACCCGGTAGTGATAGCGAATAAAATAAATTGATGCTCCCGTTTAGCATGTCGAAGCCAAAAATGCGAAAGCATTTCATTAAGCAACAGTGGCCAGTCGGATCGAGAGAGGCCATTTGATCCTCCACCTTGCACACCTCTCTGCCGGCTGGTTTGCTATTCCTTTCTTCGACAGTTGATTACACCATCAAGCATGTTTTTCCTTATACACTTCTCTGTGAATTAAAGGTAGTGGAAGTAGTTGTCCTTGAAAGAGTTTAAACCACTGTTTCACTGAAGTGAAGGCGGAAAATGTTGGATAACCTTTTCACTTGAGTGCATGGAACGCGGAAACGGAAACTGACAGTTGTCATTTAACCAGACAAAGAAGACAGAGCAATCACCTCGCCAATTATACTGCCTCCTCTGAAATTGTGAAGTGTAAAGCGTAGTAAGTGAGCGTCTCCGGTGTCACGGAAGCCGCTTTGTGACAACATGGTGGAGTTGCATGATGCCGGCAGGACTGAAGAAGTGCGGAACATTAAACAACTTCACGCAACATCTAGCAGGCATGAGGGCAGGAATGCCTGTGCTGTGATAACCGCAGTTTTCTACATTTATAGGAAGGAAGTTGTAAAACAGCATGTCTCGCTACGTCCAAAGTCTTGGATTTCCTGATTGGCGCTGCTAAATCTCATCAGGTCCTCTCTCCACCTCACGCATGACACCTTTCATTAGACAGCCTGTCGGGCGCGCTGAAGGAGAAACATTTATTCCAACACTACGTAAAGACAACCTTAAAATGCTTTCGTAAAATTTAAAATAAAGTTATCCAAGAGTCGTTTAAGTGAAACAATGATTGAAGCGCACCGTTTAAGAACTTAACTTCGTGGATCTCAGCATCTAAAAAGTCACTTTTAAAAGATCTTATACACATATATAAACAGATTAGTGTGTTCGCTGTTACATTCCATGACTTCGACCCGAAGGTATCTACTTTCTTCTTCACCTTGCTGATTTTCTGATTGGTCACCAATCGAGTGGTTCGAATGGTCAAATAGCCTGAGAGACAGTTGCATTTACCACCTTGGCAAAATACACCTTAATTCGTTCAAAAATGCAGCCTATTTTTTGGAAAAGGAAAAAGTAGTTGTTTGGAAAGCTTTAAACGGACTTTGTCCATCCATACATTTGATGAAACACAAACCTGATTTTTTGCTTGCCCTGATTTAGAAAATCCATTCTGGTAGATGGTGAGCCCTTTTAAAACATCCTTTGTGATTGTAAATGTAACACTCCGAGTCTTGCCTAAAGACGTAAGGTATCATACTACTAGGACAGAAAAACTGCGGATATACAGAAGAGCTGGCGGGGGCTAGTGCCATGGTCCAGAGGCCATGCCGCCAAGTGGAAGTACTAGCTGTGGCGGCTCCAGTGTCCGTGCAACCAAAACCTAGAGCTAAACTAACACCTACAAACAAATTACGCCAATCCTCGAAATTTTTGCAACTGAGGAAACTCCAGTAGAACCACTGCGGCCAGGTGGAGATGTGAAGGAATCGTGCGGAGTAGTTGAAGTGAATGCCATGATTTGAGGAGTTCCGTTCTGTCAGAATACACCGTATAAAAGACGAGAATAGCGACCCCTGTGCTTGATGGTAAATCGACCCTTGTAGCCAATTCTGATTATTTTTTAGCAAGTTGATGTGGACTTAAAAAGTCTTCTCTGATATTTTCATGACAAATCAAATCTAGAACGAACAAACAAAAGTGATTAATCCAATGTGAACTTTCAGGGTACCGTCGCGTACATCCTCTTAGCTTCTTGGTACTTTGAGTGTTTGTGGGTACAGATTTCATTAAATTTCCAACCAGAGTAACTAGAAAGGTAAAGGCTCCAATACTAGCCTCTATGTGTTAAGCGAAGTGCTAAAGACACGAGGTGGTCTTGTTTTTACAGATTTTGGTAAGCCTTGATCTTGTAGTGATTACTTGTTTACGTCAAGTCCATTAACCAAACAGGAGAGCCGAACAGGAGCGCGAGTTTCGGGAAGCTTTTGACTAAATCAGGAAGGTAACTTTTTGAGGGTTGTAGACACCATCACAACTTCTTCAGCTTTCTCCACTGTCAACCAGTTTAGAGTTCCCCATTAGGACAGCAAGCCTGCACCACTGATGATGGGCACACTTTGGTTTTTAACACCACTTTTCGCTTGTGATCTGATCAGATGATCTGACGTCTCCTGACCTTTGACTCGGAGCAGGCACAATTGAGGATCATTACATAAGGGAACAGAATTAACGCTGAACAGTTCACCTCTGTCTAGCCGAAGACGTGAGTCCCTTGGATATACGTGCGTTGTACAATTGCTTACCCTTGGATAAGTGAGGCAGCTAGAGATAAAAACTATTAAATGGCCGACACAGTTTGTGAAACTTTCAATGTAGCTTACTGATTTGGCCCATAGTTAGGATATGCCTCTGCCTACCAGATGGATTCTCTTTGTTGTACTCTCTCCCTTGCTCTTATGTCATAAAGTGGCCATCGAACATGACGGATGTGATTCAAAGTCATCTGCCTTACGGAGTGACTTTAACTCGGTTTCAGGGCTGCTAAAACTTCTGCTACATAGCATTTAAATGAGATGCGGTAGCAGAGTGTACTTTCATGAAATAGTTTACCATTCTGGTGAGGATCTATGCAGAGGTGGATGTTTAGCGTTGCGGGAGATCGTCTAATTGCCTTAGCAGTGGAAAAGTTCGTGCTGCTAATGGCCAAAATTAGTCTACATCAACTAGAAGCGTCTTGACAGAAGCCAAAAAAGCGACTCCTACACATGTGGGATGAAAACACATTCATCAGGCTGTCACTTTGCAGTTGAAAATGGGTTGCCAGTTGTATGACTGGCTTGTGGTGAAAAAATGGCTCATGTATTCCAAAACAAACCCACACGAGCCACTCACCACTTCTAGGACCACACCACTTTATCCCCGAAGGTTTATGCTCTGTGTGTGTGTGTGTATGATAGACCGTGGGCACAGTTAGCAGGTGGAGATTACCCATTTCCTGAATACCGAGCTTTTACTACCTCTGTCTACTTAATAGGTCTCGATACCACTTGATTACGTACAAATTGACGTCTTCGTCTCCCCCAGAAACAATCAGGACAGCTAGGGCTAAACATCCAGCACACCCCATACCACCACCAAATTGACCCCTGCGACGACCACATCACCGCACCTTCAAAGGAAGGAGCAGAAAGAGGGGTAATACCGCCTCATCTTGTCTCATTTCAATGCTGATAGTACCTCCAGGTGATGAATGCCACCTTTTCCTGGCCGTTGCATCAGCATCGGACAATCACATGATCGCATGGGGAGTGAAAGGCAGTAGGTCTGATATGGTTAATTTTAGAGAGTGTTTTTAGGTAGATCCGCAAGCTTGCGGGCATTGGCAAAGGAATGCAGACTGCAACACCGAAAAGGAAAAGCCCGCCGCCACTGCATGAATTTTGTTACATACACTGCGCCAAGTCAATTAGCTGTCTTAACAAATTCAAGCGAAAATATCATTTGACGAGAAAACTCCATAAAACAAGCGATTTTTAAATCTGCTATTTTTGGATTGTTGCCCTTTTAAGCTGTCCATGTTGGGAAGTATTTTAGATGAATCGTTCCCAGCATTTTGCTATGGTGAGTGGGTTCCAATTTTAGGGATATGGTAATGTAGAAAGATGCCCACAAACGGCTCTTTTACAAATAAAAATGTAGAAATGGAAGTACTATCATTTGTGTCACAATTAGGATGAAGGGAAAGTGAGAATTATGTTGGATTTGGTTTAAAGGACTAGACATTTAAGAAATGCTACTGAAAACGCGTATTAGGCAAGCGGGTATTTTGACAATCAAGCTCCATAGGGTTTGGGTTAAGTCAACCAAGTAATTTTGACTATACCACAAGTAGGTAAGCAACCTTGGCTTACACTTTCTCCAATATTGAATAAAAAATTTACAAAATAAGCATCTACTGAACCGTTCATACCTCATGACTGATAGCAATGCATAAGGATTATTCTGCGTCCGAGGCTAATGGGTTAAGAAGCTGATAAAATGGGAGAATAAACCGAAACCCAACCCGCACCATAACGGATTACCTGCCTGCCTACCTGGCGGTTGGCCTAACAGACACATAGCCTTCTCCCTCGTCTTTCACCCTCACACACATCATTGTTGCTGCGCTGTGGTGGTGTGCCCTTGTGACTGCGTGCTGTGCTGAGTAATGAAATCGTCGTACAGCAGAGACGTGCAATGCATCACACCCCACCTCATGCACAGTTACCCACTGCTTTTGTGGGATCAAGGTGTCGCCAGCAACGAGGTCAACGCCAAAGGGAAGGGCGCATTCTTCCCTTCTCCTTTGACACACACGCGGGCGTTTGTTGCAGTGAAGTAAAGCCACATATGAAAGAGACAATGGATAACGCAATTTATTTTGGGATACTGGTAGGCCCTTACTTTACATTGGCTGGTAGCAGAGGGAAGGCCTCTGCAAATTAACACCGTGTTTCTACAAACACCTACTAGTAATGGGGACTTAGCAGAGACCCCACCTCCACCCTTTCAATGTAGTTATAAATCCAGGACGTGGGCTATTCGTGTACTTGTAATGAAGTGGATCATTCCATTTTCATTTGGTTAAGCCCATACTTGAATTTGTCAAGTGCGATGATGCGGTATTGGCCCCAACCTTAACCGCAAAATCTGGGTTATGGAAGCACCATTTATTTTCGGTAGCTGGCAGTTGATAGTTAGATAAGTAGCTTTTTAGATGGTTAACAAGAGTCAAGATATTACCAAATTTACATCAAAGAATAACCTCTTTTCACTCTTTGGATCGGACCGCCTCCACCTTTATGCGGCTATGACGGTAACCATTCTACTACACTTTTAGATTTCGACCCTTTTTGCTAAAAGCGCAAATCTCTTGAGGAGGCAAAATCCTCTGTAAGGCTAGACTTTTGTCAATCCGTCAGGCACAACTTGTGGCTTGGGAGAAGAGCAAGTCGATTTGGCAATGAGGGTCTGTGCGCTTGTTTGCCTTATGTCATGATCAGTCAAACCTGAATAAGAGTTCAAAGAACGCTCTGCCTCCAAAGCAGATGCAAGTTTTTATCAAACAGTGCGCAGTGGAATTAGCAGTTTTCCCCTTTTTAAAAGTACTTCCGTTTTGGAATCACCTGAAAAAGAATATTGAAGGCCCCTCAATGCTCAGATGGACAACTAATTTCAAACAGAAAGGTGTTCTGAGCGAAAAATGTTCATGTAAGAAAAAACCCTTGCCTTGTTTATTTCACTTTTTTAATTACATGCTTAGCTAAAATAAACCAAGAAAGTTTAACGTTGTAAGCCTTTGTTGATGGCAAAACTCTGTCCACTTCGGCAAATATTTCGGAATTACGGGATGCTAAGACTGTTTGCCTTTGCTCCCCCCTGACAGGTCTCCCCCGCATTGGTTTGCGCCCCATGTCCAGACCACTCTCCCAGCCGTGCCGATGTTGGCATGAGAGAATAGCTCAAACTTAATGGTCGGCGTAGAGAAGAAATAGTTGTAGTCAGGTGCCTTTTTTAGGAATAAGGGCTTAAAATTCGCTTGAAAGGGGATAATACAAACCTTGGAATGTTCGTGTAGGCAGCTACCTTGATTGGTCAATGTCCGGGAGAGTAGCTTCCTTGATGGTAAAATGGGAAAATTTACAAGAGAAAACTTTCGGTTTTTACAAAAAAATTCCAATTTGCTGTCAAAGTGTATGCAGAAATCATGCAGACTGGAGCATAGCCGGACTCTCTTTCCCTTGCCCTACTTGTTCACGAGCATCTTGAATTTACGATTGCAAAAAATCAAAATTTAAAGCGATTTTTTTGGGACCTCGCTAAATAGATTTCTTGAATTTCCTCTTGTTTGCACATTCTGCTTAAATTTTTATTTACTCTCACCTTTTCTGCGGTCAAATTGTTCTACAGATGATGGCAGTAGATGCAACACTTCTGAATTGGCCACAAATTAAATAATTATGCCTCAGGAGATTTTCTATTCAGGCGTTGAGCCCCTAGTCCTACCTGACGTCGAAGGAAGTCATAGTTGTAGGCCCAAAAAGATACTAGTGAAGTCACTTAATCCCACATATGCTGGCAATCAATGCTATCAACTATGACCACTCTGACAGCTCTAAGGGGATTACGAGATCCACCCTCACTTTTGGGTACACTTTAATGAGGCTGTTAAACAAAAAGGCAAATTTTGGCACAGTTTTGTCTCAAAATTACGTGCCTACATTTTGATGGCAAACTTCTCCCAATTACTTTTAGACTCGCCACTTAAAAGGCGCCGCTGGAACTCATGAAGCATAAAGAATGTCAAAAGGTCAGGGATCTACTCAATAAGTCCGGTTACCTGACGCCTAAAATGGATTTTTTTGTTTTTCTTCCCCTTCATGATACATAATGGGGAATCAGACATTTCACCTTGGCGATCATAATTCACTGTAGCATCTTGAGGGTACAGTGGAGAGTCTATTCTCCCAATGTGTTTACCTTAGCCAAGACGTCGTGTTGGTCGGACGCTCTGGACAAAATTTGGAGTCACTTACGCAATAAGCGGATTCTACCTTGGATTAAAAGGCGTTTCATTTTAGAATGGTAATGTTTACTGGAAAAGGTACACAATATTTTAGTACTCTTGATTTAATCACAAGAGAGTACTAATTATTCTTCTAGTAGTATCTACGCAACCAGGTGTCTAGAGTTGTGTCCATTCTTCGACTTCTAGCAGCAGTGAAACAACATGCATACAAAGTTGTTTTGCATTTAAAGACAAATTAAAAAAACTGATTTCTCCTTGGATTTCTGAAATTTTCGATAATGAATATTTAAGTAATGGAGATAGGTACGTTTTGTATGGACTGCTTTAGACGTTTTGGCTGTTCATTTGGAAATGCTTGGTGATAGGGTTGACAACTTTCCATAAATAACCCTACTGACTGTTCATGTTAAAACTTGTTAAATGAAAATACGCAGATTGGGATCGTTGATGCACAAGCAACAAAATGGGGTAATCTACCGAAGGTCAACGAAAAGCGAACTGCAACAGGAATCATTTCACTGCATGGTCATGTGATCATGGGATTGGTTAATGCTAATGCCAAAAATAGGTGGTAATTATTACTGAAAGATACATTTTTAGGGGAATAAGGACGATGAGATGATATGGGCAGTATCCACCTTTCTTATTCCGCCGACCTTAAGGTGCAAACCTTCCTACAGAAAAGTTTTCACTATCCACATGCACTTCTCCATGTTCAAGAATGAATGATATTCCTGGATGTCTTGCCTCTTTGAGTGATTTGTCACCAAAACTCAGCTTTTAAACCATTTCTGAGTGGTAAGGCCTATCACCACATACTACATTTGCTTAAATGTTGACGACAAGACCTCCCATCTTCGGAGACAAGTGGGACTCAAATCGTGGAGGAGACCAACTGCCAACACATCAAATCCCTCAGATTTTAGCCGACGCCGGAAGTGTGCGGGTTTAAAAGAGCAGGAAAGCAGTAGAGTAGTGGGGTAGCAGGGGGATGAACGAAGGGTGCTGATAGATGACACACGAATCAATGTCTCATGCATCCAGACGTGCATTGTTGGACGAGGCTCGTGGATCTCCTTTTACCTGGCCCTCATTATCTTAGAACACCCAGGTTGAATTGTTTGGTCATGCTTATTGGGTAAAGTAAATGGAAAGAGCAGGCACAAATTCAGGGAGGTTTGGACGCGGAACCTTTCTCAGGGTTGCTGGACGTTGACTCCTCAGTCAGGAGGTCCGATTCGCATGTCCGCCTCCTCTCTGAAAGGAACATTAAAACAACATTAGCACTGCATGCATACTAGATGTAAACGAACATCTGGATGCGCCTTACGAATCTCTATATGTTAACAGCAAGTCATTTCACGAGGCTGTACCGATGACTGCAAAAACTTCCTTGAACGTCTATTTTACAATAAACTGAACGAAGTGGCAGCGTGACGAAGCAAGAACAGGCAGTTTTTTGTGTTTAAAACATAACACCGGTCCCAAGACATTCAGATGGATGCGCTCCTGAGCATTTTACGCATACCCAGAACTAAATAGCACGGTGATATAAGAAACAAAATCCACTGAATGTCAATGACAGAAGTTTTGCCAACTTTGTGTCAGGAAAGAAAAAAGTCTTAAGAGTAAAATAACTAACCAAAACGATGACCTTCAAATGAAACGAAACACAACAGGATCGAAAGCCTAACATTTTTGCCATTTTTATTGGCACCAACTAAATAATTTAGAATCTATAAAAACGATCAGAAGGCTCCACTTATTACTCCCCTCCTCCTACCTCCCAGTTTTTTCCACCAATTTAAGGTCCACGAAAGCCACGATGATAAGTAAATGAAATAAGTAGGCAAAAATTAGAATTTATGCCAAAGTGGGCGTCAATGAAGGCAAATGCCACAGCTGATTGTCTGTCGATCTGTTATCGTGGTAACCCGCGTTCGAAATTTGACACGACTGGTGGGTAGCAAAAAAGCACATAAGCAAGATTCCCAACTCCCTTAAAGCGTAAAACGCACTTCAAAATGGTGCAATACCCACTCCCAACAGGTCTTCCTACTACTTTCTCCTCTCACCTCCAAGTTTTCCTTAACAAGAGAAGCACAACAAATGTGCTTGACCGTTTTTCCTATACTCTCTAATCGCACGTCAGGCGAAAAGAAAAAGCATGAATGAAGCAGGTGAGTGAAAATAATTATTTGTTCCAAAAATGTCCGCAAATGAAGTCAAATGTCACAGCTGGTCGCTTCTTCATCTGTTTTCGTGGTGAACACCTTTCAAACTTTGACACGATTCATTATCGATAGACAAGTAAAGGGAAACAAACAAATGGGGTTTTTTCAACTCCTTTTAAGGGTAAAATGCGCTTTACAATGGTATGATTTCCACCTCTAACATGACCATTTGCAAGAAAAGTAGTCTTGCAGGTGGGCACTGGCACCAGCTGCGCATTTGCTGAAATTCAGTTGGAAAATGGGACAACTGGAGCATCAAAGAGAGGTAGTCACTGCGCGGCGCTTTGATGGAGGAGAAATCTGGAGCTTCAGTAAGGGTTCCTTAAGCGAATAGCCGCCAATTCGTCCTCCATCCGTGTGCTATGCGACAGTTAATGTGGGGATCAAAAGATCGGTGATATAGAAGCTCTTGAGGATGCAAACAGTCGCGCCAAATTCTCTTGAAGAAGAAGTCGCAAATGCTTGTCTCGAGGAAAAACCTTAGCAACCAGGTCGATTAGTTAATCAATCTGTTTCACGAAGAATTCTGGTCAACATTTGTTTATTCATCGTTAGTCAAAAACAAATAAATACACCTTAGAGGCAAACATTTCCATCACTTGGTCAGTGTTTCAGTTTAATGACACGCTGTACGTAAAAATGGAGTGATTTTGCGAGTGTTAATTCACGGCATAACCGTATCTGCAGCAGCCTATTAGTGAAGCTATTATGGCGTGAGAAGGTGGTCCATCCATTCCTTCAAGGCGCGCCCTGATACACGCACAACCAAGCATGTGTTCCATTACCCTGAAATCCGAACAGTGTACGTGCGTGATCTTTAATTATCTCCCTCCATCCCCCTCCCCACGGATCGTGTGTTCGGTGAACGGTGTACCCTGGTAAAAATTCATTGGTAACGCACCATTAGCCAGAGGGAGGTATTTGAAACAGTCGCGGACACGACGCCCAGAAAGCAGTTAGGCGGAGGATTAGGTACCAGACCTCGCCTTCCACTCCCATGGCCACCTTTGTGATTTTACTGCCTCCTTGAAAATGTCCTATCCATCGTATTTAAGTGGCACCCATGTAGGTGGACTCCTTTTTATTGCTTTATTGATTGGGAATCCCTCAAAAACTCGTTGGTCGGGCGAAATAATTGATTTTTCGCCACACCCGTTGCCTATTGGTAGATTCAAATCGCAAGGGTCAATTGCATAGCAAATACTGAATTCTAATCAAAATGTCATTTCTAATAATTAATGTGCAATAACTTAGTTTTTTTAAAAAAAACTTCATGCGAAATTTTTGTTGTGCATTTTAAGCGATTTACATCTTAATTCTACACGGTCGTTACTCATTTTTGCTTGCTTCAAAGGTTATCAAAATGCATTCTCTTCGTCGAGATTAATACATAGGTGAATTATAACATTATTCACCCTCTTTGGATAATCTTTGTGGGTAGCCATAAAGACTTCAGGAGGGATCTGCAACCTTTTCTACCCTTTAAATTCGCATTCAGGCAACTCTGAGAAAGAGCACTTTACCTTTACGTAGAACACAGAAACAAGGCTGTACATGTGACACCTACAGCACCTAGCTTATGATAAAAGGCTGTTTCTCCTTCCCTCCACAATGACGAATCTTGCATAAAATTGTAAGGACAGCGTGCGACTTCTCGTGGCCTTACAATTTATAACAAAAATAGGCAAAAGCGAAATTTCTGCAGCTGCAGAATAGAGTAGCATAGTTCACGAATCCCCTGAATTTGTTGGTCAAAGCATATTTGCAGGTAATTATTAATAGGCTGACCCATATCTATTGCGAATCATTTGTCCGAGTTGTAAGTACCAATCTAGGGATTAAAACGTCTATTCCTATTGTTTCTCCTGATGTCTAACTGGTAAACCCGAAGATGTGCGATATATATTGAATATGACAGAATCAATTGGCCCACTCGCTACTGGTTTCTACGGGAAGAAAGAAGAAGAGGAGGTGTGGACGGGACGAAATACTAGGTAGTGGTTTGGGTTTTTCATCGCACCGAAGGGACTGGAACTGACAGGCTACCATTATCAGCCACCCATTGCGTGTGATTTAGTTTAAAAAGACAAGGAACCTTTCTTTTTCCCTTCGACAAAAATGGTGCATTTCAGGGCTCTGTTTCTTTCCAATTCATTGCAATAATTTATTGCATAAAACAGGAAAACTGGTTTAAGTGGCACTTTATAGGGTTCAATGCCATTCTTGGGGGTAGGGATATATTTGGGAATTTTTAACTGCCCCCATCAGCAGTGAATCTATGTGGGTAAGGTCGAGAACCAGTCAAAGTTGGTTTTGGCCTCGGCTGTTCTCTTATCTCGAGGTATCCTATCTTTGGGGTAAAAATTTAGTTTGAGCGATTATCCACAATGAAAAGTAGGTAATTGTTAAAGACTTCCTAGAGTAGTATCCTTACCCATCGAGACTGCAGTTTGTTAAAAGGCCCATAAGGTATAAAGTTTATTTTGTAGAAACGAACTTCCTAACGCTGGACACCTACGCTTCGATCTCACTTGCATTTTCCAACTCTCTATTCCCTTTCGCAAGTAATCATGTAATTGTCTTGTTGATGACAATAGAAGGTGATAACCATCACTTGGAGATATAGCATCAGGGAAATATGCAAAATGAGGCAATATGGGGCGGTATCTGACTCCCTCCACTCCTCTTATTTCAAGTTTCAATTCTTCCTACTGAAAAGTTCCTTTTATCCACACGTACTTCTCCATGACTAAGAATGGATGATGCTTCTGGGAGTCATGCCTCCTTGAGTGATTTATTACCAGAATACGGGTTTTAAACCACTTCTGGATGGCACTTCCTGTCATCTAGTACCGCATCTGCTCCCATGTTGACGACAAAAAACCCCATCTTCGAAGTAAAGTGGAACTCGATTTGTGCAGAAGACCAGCTTCCAACACAAATAATCCACCATAATTAGCTGACGCTCGATCCGTGCAGGTTTGAAATGGCAGGAAAGTAGTACGGCGGTAGAGTAGTTGGGACTTGATTACGCCGTACAAATCATTTCACCTCACCGTGCAGAGAATGGCAAGAACTTTCTTGACTACTTTGTAAAGAATTTTGCACCCACCCTTTTAGGCCAATTCCTTCGGGTCATCTGGCCTTCAGACTTCCTTAGTTTGAACCTCCTCATATTAGGCAAGCAAAATTTGTGCCAATGAAAAACTTCTTTTGTCTGGAAGAATCTTTGCCCTTGAAATCGGTAATCGTGTCATATGATCACTTTCTTCTGGCAAGCCAGTTGCCTTTGCAGTTTAGAGCCAGAAAGTTATCACACTAGGCTAAAGTACATGCATTTTTAGTCAGATTTCTGGATCGAACTTAAGAAAGGAAATTGGGGAAATTGTGGAATTGAGGAGGGGAGAATGAGGCATAGTCTGAGCTGGTTGTAAGACCGAGGTCCACCTTCAAAGTCGGCTTCATCTGAAGACTATTGCCATAATGTTTGTTTAGGGATGATGGCGGCCGCAAATTGCATCAAAGAGGACCGAAGTTTGCTCTCAAAAAATTGCTAAGCAAAAGATGCAAGTACCAAGAGATCTAATTCATTTCCCCGGAACTGTGCACTCGGAGTTCTAAGACTGGTATTCCAGACGTGTAACTAGCTATGGCCACAGCCGCTAGGGCCAGAGTATGGACCCCGAAAACTGTTGAATTATGTCCGGTGTTGATGGATCTGCCGTGTTGTTGTCTAAGCTGTGTAACTACTCTCAAGAGCGAATCGCTCGACTCTGGATAGGGAAACATGGCTACTAAAGATGGACAATAGTATAAAATGGTTTTTTTTCTGGGAGATGAATTGCTTCAAAAGTTTGGAATCTTCTCAGCCCTTCTCCAATTTCCTCTACCTTTACATACTGGTGTTTTGTATGAACCCTTTCAGGGACTATATCCTTGCTAAGAGATAGCCTTCATCATTTGAATGAAAAGAGAGAAAAAAATTGAATCAATTTCCCAAACTTTAATCATTAAGTTCAAAACTTTTGCTGTAATCGTCCACTTTCGGGTCTGCTCACCCAGTCTAGGTGTACGGGCATGCCTCCTTTTGTCCATAAACCTCTGACCCGTTCACCTCGTACTGCGGTATATTAATCGTTGCAGTAGTGGTCAGTTGAAGGGTTGTTTGCCCGTTCCGTTGGTCAAAAAGATGGTGCCAACCAATGCAGTGCCCCACATGCAGTAGCCAATCACATCCTCCACCTTACACGCGTTTCCACTCTGATTGGTCAGTCCTATTCACCCCGGGACCAGTCACCTGATGTGGCCGTTCAATTGCCCAACCTCCACGCATGCACAGAAATAGAGATAGAGAGTGAATCCAAAACACAATTATGATTTCATGTTACTCTTCTCTCTTCTCTTCTTCCTCCTCCCGTTGGAATTAGCATGGAGGAGGCGGTCGCAATTCAGCGAGTTTCTTTTCGTCCGCCACTTGTTCAACATCTTCGAGAAACAGCTATCAATATCCACAAGACCCCTACGACAAAGCTGAGTCATCTCTAACTCGAAGTTGGGACTGCGCTTTCTCCAACCCCTCCTCAATGTCTAGCTCTCGCAATTACAGCTCTCTTCGTCATGGAAGTGGACCTCTAGCGGGCTACACCCGCTCTGCTACTGCCTCCAGGGCGGGTGGGCTAGCGGATCGATACCTCCAGAACGCCAGTCGTGGTGCTGACTCGTCTAAGTACGGCAACAACTACAATACTGCTCCAACTCGTACCAGTGCGTTAAAATCCCGTTTCGAGAATGGAACTCCTACTGGTAGCAGAAAGGCGGATGATATCAACATCGCCCCACCGGAAGAAAGACCCCGGCTCAGTATTGGAGGGAGATACCTCCAACGAGTGAATTCTCGAGAAGGCACTAATGAGACTTCTGTTACTCCAGCTCGAAGCAGCTGGAGAGAATCAGTCTATGGTGTTCAATACACCAATAAGGAGGCGACGACTTCTCCCACGTCGAAAACCCCGGCAAACTTGACCGAGACGGAGCGTCGACGTGCGGAGAGGGAGAAGCAGATTCAGTCGGATAAGATTAAGCAACAGATGCTGGAGGAGGAAAGAGAGGAAAGGCGACTTCGACAGGCCCTGCGAAAGGCCACTTTAGAGAAGGATGAGGCGAAAATCGCCGAGGTGGATGCAGAAATTCGACGACTTCAACTACGTCGACAGGACTCGAAGAAGCGGGAAAGAGAAGCTGCAGAAAGTAAGCCCCTTTCACGAAGGCCATCCTTCAAGGCATGTGAGAAGATGGCTGAGGTTACAGTAGGCGGACGAGAGAAGCAGGATGAGGTTGCCACTGCACCAGACATCGTTCAGACAGCAATGAGTTTCACAGATTTCGATGACTACTTTAGAAAGCACCTGATTGGTGGAAAAGATAAGGAGCAGTCCTGGTGCACCTACCAGCCAGACAGCGAGACAGAAGACTCCGCAACGGAGATGTCCATTGTCTATAAGACGAAAAGGGCGAAGGAATTGTTCACAGCAATGCCTACAGATTTGCAGCACTTGGTAGTGCGAGCGCATAAACGACCGATTCGATTTGCAGCCATCATGGAGATGTGCAAGACAGATAAGTACGGAAAAGAATTTTCTGCTGAGAGTGAGCGCAATTTTAGAGGGTACAATGACGTGGCAACCATGATGACGGACTTCGGATTTGATTTGAACGCGGTGAGTCGACGATTTTAAACCCCTTTTTGTTTGTTGCGTTATTTTAAGGTAGTTTTGAAAAAAAAATCCAAGAAAAGAATAAGGGGGGTGCCTAAAGTTCCACAGATTTCAGAATGAGGTATTTTTAGGGAGCCCATTTGAAACTGCAGGGAGAAGAAAATGAAAATTTTGCGCAGAATTCGTAGAACATCACTAGAACTTAGTGGGCTTTTTAAAAAATTATAAAAAACTTTTCTCTAAACATGTAATTCTATTGGCACAAAGCGCCTACGTTTCAAAGTGACATTAATAAAGATCCCTTTTTGGTAAGGAGCTTTTCCTTATCAAAAGACAAAATTATGTAGAATACATAGTTTACGTCAAAACATCGCCTTGGACAATGTTTAAAATGAAGTCGACTTTACAAATGCTTTTTGTTCTAATAGGCATTCTTCGTGTGGCTCTTTAAAGATAATAGTGTGCTGGTATGTGAATTATTTTTCCTCCAATTTTAGTGAAAAATTTTAATGGTTAGTGAAAATAAGCGTAATCTTTGAAAACTCCCTCCACCGTGTCTGGCTGCAGTCCTTTGGGCATTTTCCGGGTCCGATGAAGAGTTTTAGTCACCGTTTAAGCACCCCAGTCAGTTGAAATAGGCATTTTTCATTCAGTCCCCTCACTTCGAAGCTGCGGATGGCAGTACCATCTACCCGAATGTCAATTGTACCTGTCTGAGGACAGAACTTCAAACTTGTCCCTGCAGGATAGTGACTGAAGGATTTGTGTATGTCTCGTCCTCTCTATCAGAAGTCAGGAGAGTTAAAAGTATATGGGAAGAGGAATTTGTAACATTACCGGAAAAGGTACTTTACGTGCTGCAAATGACCGTTAATCCAGTTCACCTGCAAATTTGTAGCTGTGAGCTGGTGAATAAATGACCCATTTCCTCCCTATCTCTTATCTGCAGTTTTCTTCTGCTTGCATTATCTCGAACCTCATTTGTACTACGTGATTCCGGAGTATGGATCTTTTATTAGCGACTCGGTATTTATGCAGAAAAAATGTATCTCGTACGCACAAACACACGCATCCCACATCCCTGGCGGTGTCTTTCGCAGAGCAAAAAAATGAAGAGCATGGCAGGTAGTCAGACAATATGTCATTCCTAAGATATGCCAACTTGCAATTCTGGTCAAAATGTGCAGCCAATTTCCCAACTACCAGCTCGTTACACTATTGGCGGCAAGAAAAAAAGGAAATTGCAACCACTCGGCAAAATATAGGGGCCGTGACCTTTTGGAAGGTAGTAAAGTGCAAGTTCAGGCAGGGTGACCTCATCTCCCACTTGGAGGAGGCTTGGGACAACTAAATCCCACTGAATGGGTCTTAATGAGCGTTTTCACTCCTCTGATTAATTGACTGAGCTGGTAATCCGGTGGAGCTAATATAGGGGCTTTGTCCTATCATCAAACAACCTGCTTTCAGCAGGTGAAATGACCGCCATTAGTAGGCAAGGGGAGGTGCATTTTGGAAAGCTAACTAAGAAGTAACTCTGTGGCGTATGCTAATTACACGGAGTAAATTATCGCCTTTACTCGAGTGATTCGAACATACCCAGTGTTTATCACACGCGGTGTGGTATAAGGCCGTGATCACGTCGTCTATTGAGCAATCACTGATTTCTGGTTTTTCGCATGTCCATTACTGTAAAAACTGGCCAGTAATTCTTAAGACAGAAAGGAAGAGATTTATAGAATCGGCTGTAGTCTCATTAACGAAAATAGTTCCCGCTTTTTTAAATTGCAGTGCCATGGTTTTTTTAAAACATGCAAAATCCTTACAGCTATGCGTGCCTTGTTTCACAAAAGCACTGGCTTTCACAAAGTCTCACCGAAAAGTAGTGGCGTAGGAAAATTTCGGTTATTATGCCATGGTGCAGTGCTTTGAACTGTTTTCCCCACTATAAAGTCGTCAATGCTTTATTATAAGCGGAATTGAAATGATAGGCCTCAAGTTAGGGAAAATTCAAACCTCTCTTTAATTTAACGCAGCGTAATTTATTTTTTGGATGTAAAAACTACATTCATACATAATTTCAAGATTCTTAAGGCGAAACATACGAATATTTGAGACTGAAATTTTGCAACAGCACATATTTTCTTAACATCTATAAAAAGTGAGCCAAAAATTTTTACCTTAAGACCAGTTGAAATTGTACAACCCAAAGTAAGTAAACGCAATTTTTTAATAGGTACCATTTCATCCCATACTCAGCAATTGATATTTTTAAACGATACGCGAGAAACTAGAAATTCTTCTGGAGCACGGAGCCACAGCGGCTTACGAGAAAATTTTCTGATTTTTGTGCTTCGCCTACTTAATAATTTTCCCCCTAATTATTGTGTGCAACATTTTTTGTAATTTTCTTACAAGCAAATAAAGGGGAAACATTTCTTGTTTTACCTTCAAAATTTGTGTAAACCTTAGATGTTTTATTTTGTACATTTACTGATAACAAGGCATCGGCATTAATTTTATCTTAAGTTTCGCTACTAAATTAAAAACTTTTTAACGGCCCTCAACGCAGTAGCAACAAGCACCATATTAGTTTTGTTTTGATCACCCTTTACGTGTCCTTGGTACCCAGTGCACCACATGAAAATGTAAATTGTATCGTATGTGATAAGATGACGACGTACACTTGTCGCACCTATTACCTCGATGATAGAGACCCATTTGACTACACGAAATCCGGATTTTTGGAACCTCCGAAACCCCCTAGATTTGCTTTTCTTACCGATGTTTGTTTGCGAACTCAATTGCCAGGACTTCACAAAATTTTGGAGGCTCCACATCAAGTATCTTTCGTCTGATTGTTATACATTTTAGGTTGAAAATTGTATTTTGCAAGTCTATCGGTTTGGAGCTGAGCAGAACTACTTCGGTACATATCTAGACATGGATTCCACCCTTCAAGAGCAGTGGGAGGAAATAAAGGGTGTAAACGATGAGTATGTCAAGATTATCTTGTTACACTTGTTCTTCCCTAAGATCTTTTGGTACTTCTAATTTCATTATGTTTTGCATTATATTTGGTTAATATTGTAACTATTCTGCACTAATTCTTTGCATTTCATCTCAGTTCTAATTATGGTTTCGTTTTGGGTTGTAGACATTAAATTTTTTGAGTTCTGCTTACATATTTTAGCTTTAGCGTGGTACAAACTAGCCCATTTTTTGAGGTCTAATCCGTCTATATCGTTAACCTGAGTGCCTTTTGAGTGTGGGAGTATCGTTTACACAAAGTAATATATTGAAAAGTTTATGCGGTATTTACTGTAGCCCATGAGTATCATTGCGTCTTAGATTTTTGGATAATTACATTTAGTCAAGTTGAATTTTCTTTAAACCCAAATAGTTTACCATGACTTCTTCCCTCCTGTATTGATAAGAATTTCTGAAAGTTTAAATTACCTTTCATGTTCACATAGTCCCCCACTTAGAAGTGCTGGATATCCATATTCGAGAGTTATAAGCACCGAATTCTCCTTTTAACAATGCAGAATAAGACTCATATGCCGCCCGTGTTATTTTTCTTTACGTAGTACTTTGTTGTTTGCACTAGAACCATTCCACATTTTATTTATTTTCAGAGCCGACTCAATTGCAATCGTTTTGCGAACCAAATCCATTGTTCGTGTTCAAGCAATCATAAGTAAGCTAATAAAAATATACCTTGTGCTTGTGCATCCAGCTTACAAATGAGCTTATTATTTTTCCTTTATAAATGCAAGTCAAGTGCTTCTCTGTTGCGATGCAATGATTGGGTTTTGGACCCACTTTTCGGTGATTGACTGATCACATTACGTGTGCGTGTGTGTGTTTATATGTATGTGAATTTGCCGACTTAACTCAAAGTTTTCACCTGCACGCAGCCATAAATGCGTGTCATCCTCATCGACAACAGCATTAACCACTAGCATTAATTGCCAACCAAGTACACGCGTACAAATATTCCATAACTTCCCACGCTATTCTACAGCCTCTAAATAATTGTAAGGGGTCAACACTCCAAGCAGCTTTCTCGCCCCGTGACCTCTAGGCGGGGTCATGACCTCGTGACTTTTCATTCAATTCCGTACGCTGCGTTTTGCCTCGTAATTGCGCACTTGAGAAAAGCACGCAGTGACAAACGGAATGACCTATAAAATTACTCATTACACTTAGAAAAATAAGGTGTCTTTACTGCAGCGGTAAATATGCGTCTTGTCGCCCTACTTGCCTGAGGCATGCTACTCTGTGGATCGCAATGAAATTTTGAACTTCTCATGGCACTGCTGTACTGTGTCACATCCTCGGCAGCCAAACACAGGAGAACTCACTAATCACCAATAGTACCTCTTTTTTACTTAGAAATGATCCCCCCAAAATCCGACTTTTAGTAAGTAGCCAAATAATCCTCTCCTGGATCATACATCATCATTTTATCTTCTGTCAATTCTTCCTCTTGCTCCGTGATTTAAATGATTGAGGCATGAGATTGATTCTTTCTCTCTTTACCAATAGGTATTAAAATTTATTGCAGAAGCTGGTTAAGCACTACCTCTGCCGTTATTTTACCGGTAATTTATAAGGGACTAAAGCAACCTCTGAGCTCCGCAACCACATCTGACCTGCCAATCTCAGAGTTGTGTCTGGTTAATGAGGAAAACTGACGGTTTTTAAAATGCATTTTTCTAAATCCGATCAAGAAGCCAACAAATGCGAAAAAAAATGTCCGAAAAAAAAGGCCGAAAAAAACCTTAATGGAATGTGAACAAGACAGACGTCTGCTTAAGGACTTCTCGTAGCCACGCCTAGGTGGGCAGGTAGGTAGGAGGCGAGGCTTCCGGTGTTGGTTTTCAAAGGACTTACAGTACACGTGTGCCTGGATTGCACACAACACACGCAAGGTATGAATGCATTCATTCACCCGCGCTTTATTGCATTCTCAATCAATGCAGTCCCTGAGTAGGGCGTCTGTGGGCCATCCTCATCAGCGTCACCATCCAATCTCCCTACGGCAACCACGATATCCCCTCACTCCCTCCCTCCCTCCACCTTCTTATACATCTACACTTTAAAAATCATTTAAAGTGGCGTCTACTTTTGCTTATTACAGATCGTCTTTATTCGGCAAAGGGTCAGGAGCTGCGAAGAGCCCTGTTTTCCCTGAAACAAATATTCATGGTACGTTTTTCAAATGCTCTTTTTGCTTTTGCGAATTTTATTAGGTCAGTTGCACAATTCCTGTTGCCTTGTAAATGCACACCGTGAGAAATTGAGAAGTCTCTCCATCAAATTTTGAATAAAACTGGAGAAGTAAATCTATTAACCTTCTCTCTTAATAGGCACTCAGTCACATTACTTTTTATGAGTTAGACAGTTATCAGAGCTATGGATGTTATTGCATGCCATAAAGTCACGTGCGTGGTACACTTCCAATATCTTAAAAGTTTACCAGCGGATAAATTATTGTCACTGGGCAGCGTTCTCATTTCGCTCAATTAGGGATTGCATTTCGCTTTGACCAACCAATTTAAGTTTCCTTCAAGTTTTTGTTTAAAAGTGAAATTTTATCCGAAAATTTGAATAGGGGTTGGAGGGGTTCAACCAATGTGGCGAGACTGAGTTACAGCACCGAGTGACTGCACCCACGAAAGTATGCTACTTGTCTCAGTAAAAGAAGTTTAGTTGACCAAATACCACACACAAGTAGTGCGAGCCCTAAAAATCTGTGTTCTTTTCTCTTTCAAGCATTCGCCTAAAGTCAAATCATGGGCTCAGTAAATAATGTTACCTTCTGACTTTCAACCTATCAAATGAGGCGACAGTGTTTCAGGGCTGAAAGTGTTCCTAAAAATCACTATCGCGTTGAGTCCGCATCTCTTGGGCAGACCTCAGAGCACTTTCCCGGCCCTGCTTTAATTTGAAACAGAGGAGTAACTCCCGAAATTGGTCCACAAGCAATGGGTTCGCTAGTGCAGTATATTTGTTCGCCAAATTGAAAAAAAACTCTCACTCAATTAACCGCTTCATTTTAAAGCTTCCACAACACAAGGTAATGGAGTTTAAGGTTCGCATCTCATGGCATAAAGTAATGGTAGTACTAAACACAAAATATCACTGAGATGGGACCTCTGGACATTGGATGTCACCTGAGAAAATCGCGAGTTTTACACCTGATACCTTAGCAATGGCGCCTGAGCCGGCATGACCAGACCGCTATGCAACTAGCGTGGATGAGAGTCTAAAATGGTTCACTTACAAGCTACTAATGCAGTGAAATCTGATAACGTTCTGGCTCATACAATAAGTTATCAGTCTGTCTTCCCTTTTTACCTCTAAGAATGATAAAGACCTGGTCCACGAGTTCGTCACCCACTCCGGTCTGACGTGTCTTGTCACAGTGGGTTCCCAATCGGAACACACCCACCAGAATTACATCCTACGAGGTGAGTGATGCTGAGGGTACTCTGTGCGACCGAATTCCTTGGGTCGTCGCCGAATCATCCCCGCCACCCGACTGACTCATCGACCATTGTTTCTATATCCTCTTCTTTTTCGTCTCCACCACTGAATGAGTGACGCCAGATGAACTTATTTCTAAAGTCATGAGGTTTTTTTCTCTTGAGAAAACTTTAAATGAACCGAGTGGAAGTACACAGTGCACAATTCTTTACATTGTACTACATCTTCACTTTTCTCTTTAAAAAAAGGATATTTTTATTTCCATTAATCTTCTTAGTCACTCAGACCTGCAAATATTCCTTCCTCAGGCCAAATTAAAAGATTTTAGGGAAATGTATTTGTGTTAAATATCATAATCTGAGCGAATTTTTTGTAAAAGGAAATTCAGTTACTAATTTACAAAGTAAACGTTTTCTTCCATTTTTCACGAGCTCCACTCATTCATTTGGAGATAATTTCCGCAAGCCTATTTTGGAGTAAAACGTTCCATTCTAAGGGCAGGTTACTTTTTTCCGGAAAAAAGTGGCACTAAAAAGTAGGCTTTATCGCGTATTCAAGATATGAACATTTCAAAGCCACTTTAAAGACCATTTTTACAATCTACACTCCATCATCCACTCCCTTGACCACATCCTTTTTAGTCTAGCAGCTTTAAAAACTCAACTTTTTTGCATTCATTGCTTATAAAATAAGGGAAATTTTGTGAAACTAAAGTAGTTCCTTTGATTTATAAGAAAGAGCTTTCGGGGGGCACAGAGTCCCCTCCAGGGAACGGTAAAATCACAGCGATTGTCGACCGGAGGTAGAACGATATTCTTTTTCACTGCATTTCAGCTTTGGGTCAACTCATTCTCTACGTGGATGGGATGAATGGAGTGAGCGAGCACCCGGAGACGATACGGTGGCTGTATTCCCTCCTCTCCTGCAAGGTAACGGCGGTTTTCGCATGGTGTGTGTATATGTGTCTGTGTCACCTCCTCCGTCGCTTTTTCTGTTTTCCCTCTTCTTATTTTTGTTCGCCCCAAAAAGCCACTAATTTCACTCTCTACCTGCAGCGAGCTTTGTGCATCGGCTCTAACGCCTACGATGACTATATGGTAAACTGGAGTTTTTTGTTGCCCCTTTTTTTGCTGTTCTAGTGGGTAGGCGAAAATATTCCCTCATTGACGCTTTTTTGGAACGCTCGAATGCAGCAGTAAAGTGGATTGTATTCCTTAATTGCAGTTCTCCCTGGTGAAGAAGACCGCCCTCCATCTTCTCTCTGTGTTTGTCGGCTACGCGGACACCAACGCCAACATCTTTGTGGAGACTATTGACGACTTCCACAAGTCCTCAAGTAAGTTCATCCATACCTTTGGCTTTGAGACCATGAAAAATGAGGATTTATTTATTCACTTTAAGTTAGTAGCTTAAACAATTTGTGAATAAAACATGTGGTAAGCTGCCAGAAGTTAGAAACCCAATGTCTGCTGCTAAACTTATTGATAAGGAAAATGAGTTTTACTAAGTTATTTTTATTTCTCTTTGAGATGGTAGTTGCGATATGGGAAAATTCACTTTGCACTAACAATATCGGTGAAGCTGAAATTTCGAAAGTGGTACATAACTTCATCTTAAAAAATGGCAAAAAACCATTTAGGGTTAAAATAAGATCGTGCTAAATTTCTTCTCCATCTTTGACTTAAAATTAAATAACGCCTGGGGTGATGGCAGATGGCAGAAGATCCAATGAATTGAGCTGGAGTGGTCATTATTTCCATCCTCCTCTAGACGGAGAAGGAGTAAAATTCTTTTCTTCTAAGAGTTTAGCTTTGTACTTCAGATATCTCTTCCGCCTTTGCTAGTAGTCTGACTGTAATCTTGGTCTTCGGATCCCAGAGATCTCCACCTTAGTAACCTAGAGGTATTTAATCATCTGAGAATGAAACATGTTAAATTTCTCCTTTTTTGGCATTGGCAGGAACACTAAGTTCATGGCATTCCATCTGATGCCACCGGAAGGGTGAATAGTAATGTCTGGTTAAACGAAGACGAAGCCTGTTAAACCGTGGTCGCGGCATCATTGCACCACAGTGCACAGAAGACATAAAAAAGACAAAATTTTGCTGATCGCCTAAGAAAAAAATTGCAACCTCTATTGTTGCCATTAAAACAATTTGGTAGTTTGATGCGTGGGCATTTATCGTTCCACCAACATTTAATCCTTCACATTTTCGATATTGATGGCTAAATAAAAGACGCAATCTATTTATTTCTATTTAGAATTTGCGTACTTTTCTCACAAAAAGAGTTGTAATTTATGAGAAAAGTTTTCTTTTTTTCGGGGAAAGATGCATTAAAATCTTCTTTAAACGTGGTAAGTGCGATGGGAACAAAAGCAGGTTGGGGATCACGCCTTTTGATTATGCTCTCGGAGTGCCATACTTCTATCCGTCTAAAATCGCTGTCAAAGGAAAATTCTGTCGCATATTTATCCCTCTTTACAGCTGGAAAGGTCAGACATTCTTTTGTTTGATCAGTAAATCGGAAAGTAGGAAAATAGAATGCCCGTCATGCCCTGTTTTAACTCATCAAGATTTAACTTTTACCTGGCTACAAATGGATGATAATTTTAGTAATTCTTCGGTTTCCGCGAATCACTTCCGAAGTGTCGTCTTCAGTCCTACCCAGTCGTCCGAAATTCGCCCCTTAACGGAACTAGAATCTTGCTGGTGAGCCAGATAGCGAGTGTCTAGGTGTGACAGACGACTTTTTTTCCTCCTCGGAGCAATTTACGCATTTGATTAGCAGCCATCCTTGCCACAGATTGTCACGACTCGTCTACCACAGCGCAAAGGCAGCCAAACAAAGTGACCACTTACTCCTTTGCTCTCTTCTCCCACTAACATCGATTCCTACACCGGAAAGTATAAATGCCTGTAAATTGTTTTTTCTGCCTAGTATACATTAGTATCCCTGATAATCATGTGGAGTGAGACAATTGATTATAAGCCTGTGGCAGAAACTCTGGAGCACTATTTGGTGCACAGTAAGTCATTCCAAATGACGTTGAAGGCGAAAGTTGTCAGGTACAACCCAATCCTAAGTCAGAAGCACGAGATTTATCCTCTGTCACGCCAAAAAAGGAAAAGAATTAGGACTTATCTGATTCCCGCAAAATTGTCGATCGTGCAATTAGCATCAATGAAAAAAGTCATGTCATTAAGAAATGGCTTTGGATACTATGGAGGACATATATCTTAAACCAGGAGCTTTTTGTCCAGCTATTCCATCCTAAACCACTCAACGTCTACCAGGCGTAGGAGCTTGGAGGTTCTACGCACCAGCTGAAAACGTGGACTGGGAAGCACTGAGAGTGAGGAGGGGTGGTGACAGGCTTGCCGCCGTTGACACCATTCTGATTCCTTATGTCTGAATAACTAGGCGCCTCGTCGCTGTACCAAGCTACGCTTGAGGTCTCCTCGACGAGAGATTGTCTGTGCATTCGTGTCTTACGACCTCATTCACCATGCCTTGTTGAGAAGTATACGCTGACATTGCTGTATGGCGTCTGAACTGACGCATGAGAGCGAGCACCTTCGTGATAGCATCCCTCTTTTATACGGCTAAAGTTTTAAGCCTCCGCTCAACTTGAACATCCCTGGATTAAACAGTGACAAGACAATTTCCTAATTCTTCTTCTCCTTCTCCTTTTTTCTTTCATAACAGAAAGCAACGGTAAACCCTGGTCCTACCTCATTGACCTCCTGCAAAATGAATCGGGTGATCTGGAGTTTAGTCGACTGACAATGCTGTTGATCAATAAGGTTCTGGTTGCAGTTCCAGATCAGGAGACATTCTACGATATCACAGACTGTTTAGAAGATCAGGGCATGAAAGAGATCTCGGAGAAACTTCTTAAAGAGCCCAGCACCGACCCAATTCTCGTGGAACAGTTGCAAATCTATGAGGTATCTTCGTTAAATGTAATCTCCTGTAAAGTGGATCCTTATTTCTGCTGTCAAAGTGCTAAAGTTCAGCAATCATCCTTAAAATAATTAGTTGCACCTTAGTTGTGTTTGTTTTGGTTAAAAGTAGCTTTTTTAATGTCTTCAAGACTGAAGTCGCATGTATGTGACGACCCAACTCACTTATCCAACCTCAGCGTCACAAGTATATGCATACTAATTGGTTGTGGAGGAATTTTTCACAAGATTTAGATAAATAAGTAGACTGGAGATTTTTTGAAACCCTTAAGCCCTATTCCGATTCACTTCCTTGACTCGAGGCTTAAATCGTCTTTAGCGGCTGGATTTGAACTGTCGGAAAATCGAAATCTGTCCCTATCGGATCGCGAAAATAGTTTAGGATGTTTTTGAAACCGGGTTTTCTGGTTTAAACGCACCAGACCTGATGCCAGCGCGTAGGCGTGAAACAAACTCTGTCGAGCCACTGTGGCTGAGAGAGAGATGATCCCAGATATCAAGATGCACTTCAGTCAAAACTAATTTAGCCTTCACTTGTCTCTTTTAATTAATTACAGGCGAGCTTAATCTTCGAGGATGGCGGGTCCAAGAGTCAGGTGAATCTGGGCGAGAAATCGTTGGACACAATACGACAAACCCCACGACCTAGTCGAGCTGAATTGGCTGGCAAACCCACGGAGACGGCGACTTCGGAGGCACCAAGAAAACGACGGTCTCGACGTTTTCATCCCGATGAAAGTGGTACCTTTGTGTAAGTGAAAAAAGTTTCTGACATTTGTAATTCTGGCGTCTAGTTGAGCTTCCAGCCAATGCCGCAGTAGAATCACGACGCGAAATGTAGATTTAAGTTTCTATCCCTGTGCGGTAAATTCAATGAATTTGGTGCCATTCCGTGCCACCTCCACGCTGCTGACCCACTTTTCTGCCTACCTGCTCCAAACCCTTTGCGTCAATCAAAAATGCCTTCACGATAATCTGCGATGGAGAGCCCCTAAACACCCCATGTGATACCACCTGGTGGCGGTCGTGATTTTGGACACCGCAACTCATCTTGATCACCACCCCCTTATCAAGCATTCTATTAAAACTATCTAAATCTGACTACCAGTCCAACAATGACGGGTTGTTACAATTTGTCATTTACAATCAGTGAGCATACCCTTTATATTGCTCTCCACAACGCTGTAAACGCAGTAGCTCATAGAGGAATCGAAGATAATATGGCTAGGGATGTCTCCCACTACTGAGGAAGCCGTCTTTGTGAAGTATCAAAGGTCTATTCGATTTAAGGTTTAGCATTTGCCTTCGGCACCTAAGCATGGTGGAATGCAACACGTTTAAGTGTAGAGAAGGGCAAGCATGGTGGTAGCTCTAGATGGTCAATTTGCTGGAGATGGGAAGGAGATCTGTGCAGTAAAGTACACATTTAAGGTAAACATTAACTTGCTACATTGGGTTAAACTAACCCGGGAGCTATTATTTAGTCATCGTCTTTGGCGTTGGTGCAATCCAGGAGCCACCTAGTCCTTACTTCAAACATTTCTGACTGCGTTTGATCATGAACTATGCATTCTGTGCCTTGTGCTACTTAAAACTTCGCTTTTAATTATACGTAGCAAGGTCCGATCCCATCCCACAGTTCATCATCCCCATCACAAATACGTGACGCCCCGATTTTCTTTGCAGGCGTTTAATATGCTTTTTTTTATCAGTTTGTGGATAATTACACTATCTTTTGAAGAGCAGTATCAGTGTGATTAGCGGCTTTGTTAGTAATGTCAAAGCCTGTCATGACGGCAATAAATCCTGCTGCCATATAATGTCATAACTCCTCCTCTGTTATTAATTCGTGATAAAAAGTTCCTTTCATTTTTTTACTTAGAAACGGATCTGACGAACGAAAAACCCACGCTCGTCGAGCGACTGACAAAATAATCGCCGATTCCCGAAGGCACACCGCAGGTATTGTTAACATTTTGACTTCTCCCTTCAAATGGTTAGTTAGCCGACTAGGAGTAGAGGTAAGCATTTTTGGAAGCCGATTGTAAAGTTGGCGCATTTTAACCTATTCTTTGTCTGTGCTAATGAGGTCGTTTCTTATCTCTTCTTTCCCCTTTACTCCACTCCTCGCCTCGCCTCGCCTTTCCCTCATCCCTCCGCCTATTCTCACGCGCATTCACCTCGCGGCTTTTGTGTTAACGCCACCTAAATCCCAAAATAAAACAACAAAACGACACACACACGATCAAAACAATTTGATCATGCTCTCACGCTGCTGTTGTGTCCTGATTTGTGTATCTCCCTCGTTCTCTGTGTGCGTATTTTGTGTGTGTGTGTGTGTGTGTACTCACCACTGCTTACTCACCATCACCACTTCACCACTTAACCAACTAAATTAACCTCCCCCCCAATAAATAATCAGAACTTCAACGCCAAACTGTGAGAGATCTGTACGAAAACCTAATCGTCAACGAAAGCCCCGTGGAAGAGGAGCCAGGGGAAGAAACCCCTGCTCCCGCAGCGCCCCAAGATGAAGCACCACCAGCAGCAGGAGGAGGTAAAGAGGAAACCGAAGTAAACAGCGATATAGATGACAGTCCAGCTGAACACTACATTACCATTACCACAGGTAGTACTGGTGACACGGGTAAGAGTTTCGCCCTCTCTCTCTCTACTCTAGGGAGTACGAGTGGAGTTGAGTGAGTTCATCCTCCCTTCCTCTCCCAGACAAGGTAGAAGTTGAGCGGAACGAGGCGCCTAAATGCAATGATCTGGTTCCCTATTCTCAACAAAGCTCCTCACGGTTGAGTGATCTTGTCCACAAATTCGGTGCGTCCACAAGGATAAACGAAAGTGGGGGGTAACAACAAAAAAGAGTTAAAACCGAAAACCGACGCCAAAGTCCCCTTTTTATTTCCCCCCCCTCCCCCCTGTATAACTGCCTTAACTCTCCCCACTGCTTCAATCTCTGGCGTCAATGTCAGAACACCAGTGAGAGCGCCAATTGATGGTGATTCATGACTGTTGACATTGCTAACTGCCAAGAGCCACTGAGTTACTTGATTTAGCTTCTGGAAGGGAATTTTAACACTCGCTTTTGCCGCTTTTTTAGCACATTGGCGTTTTCACTTTAAAAGGTGTTACCAAAGTTAATTACCGCGTTTCTTCCTTTTTCCCTTTTTGTAGAAGATGAAAAATCGGCTAGCGTGGCAAAAGAGGTGGGTTAAAGTGCCACTTATTAATCCTTGTTATCCCCCTTTTAAGCCGTTTTGGCCCCCGGGGATGGTATTGCGTTTTACCAGATTTCAGCATTATGACGTGACTGACAAGCAAGATATGCTTCTGGAAGGCAAGTATCGTTTCAACGTTGAAACTACCCCCCCCCCCCTAGAAGAGAACTTCCCATTTGTTGATTGGTCACATCCTCACTTGAGGCTTAGGCGCTTTTGGCATGGATACTTGTGCATCTACTCCGCAGCGACAATTTTGGCTTGCTACGTGGGCATTTCAGTCGATCTGACACTTGATGTTTTAGAACTCTAAAGAGAGAGTGCCACTGTGACAGCGGTGGGTGACAAGTATTTCCTTTCAGTCAGTACTTGATGCAGATGCCAATGATCAAGGTGTTTAGCAACGGTGGTAGTACACGGGACTGTGGGTGTTAATAAAGGTGTAAAATCCACGAAAACTCGTGCATACTTAAGGTTTTCAGTACAGTACGGTGAAGAAAAGCTCAGTTGCAGTAAGGCGTTTGACTAGCCTAATCGTTATACAGACGGCGCTGCGTCTGGTGATGACAGCTGCATCCATGACTGCTGGTTTTCTGCCCTGAAGTGTGGAACGTTTAGCTCTGAACACCTGAGTTGAATTGCAGAAGAGGCTAATTTCTGCGCGACAACAGTGTATAGAGTTATCGAGGTACATTCCGGTCGTGCTGGGATGTTTAAGCTTTACTAAAAAATCTTTCTCCCACTTCCCTTGGTAACCTCATTAGTTCCGGTTTTTTCTTCTTTGACACCTTTAGCAGAAATTATTGTTTTACTGCACAAGAAGTCGTTTTTATGTGTCAGCTATGATTGTGTACTCTTCTGCTACTGTTTCAGAATGCAGCAAGGACCAATGACTCGTCCACGATGCCTGAAGTGAAACCGGGATTAATTTCTGCCACGAAGGAGAAGTTGGCGGCCACAATTGGTCGTTTACCCATGGGTCCTCCACCAGCGTCAACAACTAGTACTGCTGCTTCTGCAGAAAAGGTAGCATTTCCCTCCAGAAGTGAAGTAATTGGCTTGTCTTAGGTCCCACTTTAGCAAACATTACCACCCGTGTTGTCAAAAAAGGGGTTCATCTCTGACTCACGCCACCATTTGATGACTAGTAAGCTTTCGGGAGGGTGGGTCAAAACACAAGTCTTATATCCACCAATTATTTTTTGTCAAAAATCTCTAAAGAAATCAAAAGCTTGAGTAAATAGCAAAAGGCCGACCATTTGTAATGCTTGGTTTGTTTAAACCGTCGTTTTGGTTACGCGGGCACCTGAGGCTCGACCATTGTACCTCCACCGGACGACATGGCTTCCAGGCCATGCCGGTAGACCCCTCCTCCTCAGCCCTTCGGCACATCGGCTCTGGCATTGTCTTCTTCTGTCTTTAAGAAAAACTCATGGTGCCGGACGAATCAAACGCTTTCTTTCATTCTGTTTTGAAATTAATATTTTCTTAGCCTTAAAATTTTCCGTTTTTTTTGTGTCTTCGACGAATTTGTCACTAGTAACCCATTTCTATTCACACTTTCCTCCTTAAAAATGGCTATTTTAAGTAAAATCTAATCTCTTGCTAAAAAGGTTTTAGAGGGTGAGCACAAATGCGCATGATTTGCACACTCCTTTGGTCAGGACTTCCACTAAATCAAGTCGTGGAATTTTTTTCCAGGGTTTGAAGAAGATGGAATTTTGCCATTATCTGCTTGTAGGGAGGTAATTTTAGCCAGCTTTATTTGGTTTCGTCTTATTTTATCCACTTTCTTGTGACCCTTTTCTAACCTCAAACACAATCTACTCACACCCCGCCACCTCTTCCCCCTTCCCACCCACGCTCTGGGAAAATTCTGTGCTGTGAAAACTCTCTGAACGCGTACAAGCTTTTAAGTGCAACGTGATTCCAGAAGTTCATTTTTTATCACGACTTTGTTTTTCCTGGAGTTTATTGTTTCAGTTGTTTCACCACTTAATAACAAGAGGTACAAAAAAGACTTTTTGGTGTCTCTCAGTGGCATATCCGTCTCGGTAAACCAGAATTTGTTGATTCCATGGCGGTTCGATCTAGTCTGCGTCTTTGAAACCTCAAGTTTACAATAAGTAACTCGAACTGTTTAAATTGCCATTTTTTGTCCTTTTGATTACTAGAAAGCGGTAGAAAAACCAGAGCCACCAAAATTAAAGGGTGTGGACTCCTTTTGGATAGACCACGAGAAGAAAGTGAACTCACGACCACTGCGAGTGAAGGATAGGGAGTTTCAAGACCTCGAGAGTTCTGACGACGAATCGGCAGGGGCGTTTACGGATGGTGTAAAAGTCAACGGTGGAATTCCGCCACCACCACCGCCCCCACCTCCGCCACCTCCTGGGATTGGCGGCTTCCGTCCCCCTCCGCCTCCTCCACCACCCGCACCCGGTATGTTTGAACTAATTTGCAATAAGAGGGGGCGAGTGGTCAGCCAATCTAATTTGGAGTGCTATTTTTCTTTTCGCTTTAATCGGTTCGTTTTTTTATCTGATGGAGACTGAGTGAGGCAGAGGCAAAAGAATTTAGTATGGAGTTTTAAAATGCTTTTGCCGATTGAATAATGTATCACGTATTAGTTGCTGTCCTAATAAAATCATCCAGCCATTTGCATTTGCTTACTGGCGAAACAGTTAGAAACCTAAAAAAGGCTTTAAATTTTCATTTTTAGGAATTGTAGGACTTGTAATAGCCCATTGGTCTGATTTCCACCAATGCTATGTGGGGAAGGCAGTCATCCAATAAACACCCGATGAGAGGGATACCCGATTACAACCGACTGCTCATTTGATCTACCTAGCTTTTTAATTGATTAATTACTACAAATAATGAGCTGAAAGTAATAGTTAGCAGATCTTTCAATGAATAAATACACTTAAGTACATTAAGTGCATTTTTCGTTCCGGTGATTGCCACCCAACTTCCATTAGTTTTTTACCAATTCAATTTTAAAATATACTTTCTTTGATAAACTTAATTCTAACTTGGTATAATTCCACTGTGATTCATCTGGGGACTTAGAAAATTCTTGTGTCTGTGTCTAACACCCATTCAACAAAAAGGTCCTGCTAATTAGGTTTTAGGAATTAGTAACCTTTTAAGACGGTAGAATTAAAGTTCCCTACTTACTATTTGCATAAATTATTTGCTTTAAGTAAACAAAAGCGTCCAAATTGTACTTTTATTTGCCTTACACTAGTAATAAGTACGTACACTCTTGATATGTAGCCAATTGACGTTAAATTAGAACGTGAGAATAGGCGTCACAAGACTCGGTGGACTGCCACCTACTTGTTTTAGTTGTAAGCTTAATGGATGACGGTCTCTGAGGCTTTATTTGAAGCGGTGAAAGGCTATTTGTTTGTGGTGCCGTTTTATTTAATCAATGAGTCAACGATTCCTTTCCAACCACGAATGAGCAAAAGGGGCCAGTTAACCAATCGAAGAGGTAAAAAAAACCTTGCAGAGAATTTATAAATATGATGGTATTGACCAGAAGATTGCGGATACGGAAATTTACAACGGCATAGTGGTCAAAGGGAGGGGTTTTCAAATGAAATCTAGCCAGTGAGAGGACGGCTCAGGCGCAATTTTGATTAGCTGATACCAATTCCCTGAGTAGCCAATAGAAATGGTGCAATACTCAATCTACTTTATGCTCGAAAATTTATTTTATTTGCACAATTTATTTATTATCCTATCGCTATTTCAGTTTGGTTGCAAATAAATTGCATGAGCTCGTGATTGGCAAGAAGTCGCTATTACACCCTTGGCGGCTGTTTTGGTGTAAAATCGTGTCATCTGTGCCCATTGTTGACATAAGTGATCCCTTCACTTTATGTTGAAATAAACAAAAATCAAAGCAAGACTTCCAGTATCGAATTCACTTGGTGGTTATACGCACTCATGAGGGTTAACCAGTAAGCCAGCATAAAGCGTGAGAATATGCCAGACATCCTCCGACTCCATGCACTGGCATCAACTTCATCAAACTGCTTGAAAAATTTGTTGGTTGGCGACTCGTTACATTGGCGCATCTTTTAAATTAGTGAAGGAATAACCCTCAAAATAAAAACAAATAAAGGGAGGTGAGATTTATCTTAGCCGGAATCGTCTCTGGCAGTCAGGCCTTGATAGCTGTCTTTGATGTGTTAACACCAATCTGTCCAATGTCATCCTGTGGGGCAGCTGAGCAAGGTCTGCCTCCCCATTCATGAGAAACTTCATTAATCACCGCGCGCCATCATCTGCCGCCTTGATTAACGGTATCAGGACTGATTTCTGGCATGTTTGCTTATCACCTACTCCTGCATGTAGTGACGTCACCGTCCAATCGTTTCCTTCTGCACATCAATGCAATAAAAATGTTAGTTTGACTAAATGAGCCTCGTAAAATAGCTTTTAATTACTAAAGAGGAAAGTAGCAGAAAGCCTCATATTTGTTTTGGATTTCTACCTTTATAAAAAATAGGCGTCTTTTGAAGTGAAGGATACATTCACTGATGAAACTGACATTCCATAATGACTCTCATCGAAAGGTGGTGACATATCAGTGTGGATAAGGGAAGACAAACCAACAAGTGTGGCGGATTCTGCGATCTTCATAATCGCCCGCCTTTCACCTCCATTGCCTGTGCCTTTTCAACCACACTGGAGACAGCGGCTTAACAAAGCCACACCACCACCAACGTATCTCCTCACCGAGGTGATTTGTGCATGTTTGTGTGTGTGTGTGCGTGGGGTCTTCGCTCTACAATGATTTGATGGAGAAAAGTGCTCTAGCATTTGGCATCGTGCTCTAATGACTCTCATCACCACTGCTCCTGTCAGCTGAGGCCTCATTGCACAGTGCACCTTTCTCTCTCGTTTGGAATGCACACTCGGTAGATGGCCCTCTAGCTGGTTTCCTTCTACCAATTCCACTTTTCTTCAGACCTAAGATTGATGTCTATGCTACAGGGGGATTAAGTGCGGAGAACAGTTAAGGGGGTCTATTAAAATCCCGCTGCGGTGTGGAATCCGAGTCCTTTCTGAACGATTAGGACGGAGGAATGTCATCAGGGAAATACTGAGGACGAGGTAATAGCTCCCTTCCATCTTAGAGTATGATTTGAGGTCTCCTCAGAGGTTAATTTCTCAAGGAAATGAGATTTGAGATCATGTACGAAGAAGAATTTCTTTCCATTGTCCCACCAAGCCTGGCTATCTTGCCTGTTATTCAAAAAGGTGTTGCCTTGCGCACCTTTTAATTACCTCAGTAACTAAATACTTCATGGCGAAAAGTGTTGTGTTTGCCGCCTATCACACAAACACCAAGGAGGCCTGGTCTCCTGCGGATAAAGCGGTGGACGCCTAAGAGGCGGGTCTTTTGAGGGGAAGCAGTGAGTAATTGAAATTCTGAATTACTGTCTATTTTAGGCGGTATCCCACCACCTCCTCCACCTTTCGGCAAATCTAGCTCCACCAACAGCCTTCTCAGCAGTCTTCCACCTCCTCCGGGAGCGCGTATTCAAAAACAGAGTCGAACCATGCGACTCCACTGGAGTGAATGGGTCCCCAAGCCTAAGGATGTCGAGGCTCTCACCAAGGCTGCAAAATCCAGCGGTCAGGATAGGGTAGACTTCAAGCCCATAAAAAAACCGCCTCTCAGTCAGACGGAGAAGAATGAGGAGGCGAAAAAGGTTGTTGAGGAGTTGAAAACCTCCACAATCTGGAGCCATATGGTTCCAGTGACTCTAAACTATAAGCATCTTGAGGAGTTGTTTGAGAACAAAGTAACGGAGATCAAAGTCATGGTGAGAGTTGACAATTTTGCTGGCTATTATCAACGTCGGTATCATTTCTAAGTGCATTTTCCCTGTCTTTTCCTGAAGAAACACGACACGACGAGCAAGAAGATTGAGATTCTTGATATGAAACGCTCTAATGCCATCAACATTGGTATGAAGGTCTTGCCACCGCTGCGGACCATTAGCAGTGCGCTGATCAAGATGGACTCCTCTGTAATCAACCGTGAAGGCATTGAGGTAGTGGGAAGGCATTCAAAGTTTCCAATCCACTTCAGTTTTTCATCTCTGGAATATACTATTTTTTGCCCTGATTTAGCAACTTCTCAACACTATGCTGCCAACAGATGAGGAACGAGAGAAGATTATAGCCGCCAAACGCGAACACAGTGACATTCAGCTAGGCAAAGCTGAAGAGTTTCTTTTAACCCTTTCTGAAGTCTCCCACCTTAAAGCTCGGCTAGAACTGTGGCTCTTCAAACTTGACTACGAGACAATGGAGGCAGATATTCTCGATCCTCTGACCGACCTCAAGCAGGTAAGACCACGGTTGCGAAGGTAAAAATGATTTTACTGTCGATTTACCTCCCTTCTCTCTCTCTTAGGCGGTGTATGATATTCAAGAATCGCAGACCCTCCGCTGTATTCTCTCCGTCATACTCGCAATGGGCAATTTCCTCAATTCCAGCGAGTCTTGGGGCTTCAATCCAGAGTACCTGGACCGTCTTCCGGAGGTGAAGGACACCAAACACAAGCACAGTCTCCTTCACCACGTCTGTCAGACAGTCCTTGAACTCTTTCCCGACAGTACAGGTAATGGAATTTGCTTGTACAAGAACTGACTTCCCCTTGAAGGGATGATTTGTGAAGGCCGTCCTTTCCCTGCAGATCTGCACTCAGAGATGGGTGCTGTGTGTCGATGCCATCGAGTGGATTGGGAGGAGCTGGACAAGAGGTTGGAAAAGGTCGAGAATGATTGTCGACGGGCTTGGGAGCACTATCACACCATTTACTGCAACACGAATCGCAACTTTGTGGTCAATAACAAGTGGGTTTGCCCAGGAGATTCCTTTGGATTAAACGCGTGTTGCTTTAAATATTATATTTCCGTCAAGACCAACTATAAGAGAGAGAAGTCAAATAGTCTAGCAAACACAATAGGTCGACAGATCTGGTAGCAGCTAAATATCAATCAAGCGTCGATCAAGAATCACTCAGATCGCTCCTCCCGTGTACAAAAGCCTTTGGTAGCTGCCCAGATGTCTGGAGCTCGGTTACGGCAGGCGAACATGCCCATGCACGTCACCGTTCGGTTTGCGAGTGTGCTCCTCAAAGATCAACGTGGTAGTCTCCCAAGCACTACAGTTTGAGGCCCACTGTTTATTCGTGTTGATGTGTCGGCCTGACTCCGTCAATTTATCGCCCTTTCTTGTCTTGGCCTGTTGGAGGGGTGAGAGCAAGTTCATTTAAAAGACTCAAAGCTAGTTAGATTTGCATTACGCAAATCCTCGTCTACTCATTTTGTTCTGACTGGTAGATTCGGGTAAGACGTTTGAAATTGGACACTCGTCTAAAATAGGCTACCTTGAAACCTATTTAGCATTTCGAATAATCCCTAGTTGGACTTCTTGGAATTTTTGTCGCTTTTAAGTTGGAAAAAAACATGTCCCGACTTGAGAATTTGGCTATTTCGTAAAGGGCGTCCCCACTTCTGTCTATTTTTTTTATTTTAGACTATTAATTCGTACCTTGACTCGGATCCACTCCCATCAAGTACTGCAGTGCATTTGAACCAATCAGATTAAAGAGTCACCCCGGACTGATGAGATTTAAAACAAATCAATTTTGACTATAGGCACGATATCTTCCTTTCAAAATTAATAACATATCAAGAGTTTAGAACAAAGTAGTTTTTGATATCGAAAAAAAGCCGTTTTTTGCCGTTATAGTGTACAATTTTCTTAAGCCCATTTTGAAATAGTCAAAACTCCCTGGAATACGAAGTAACTAGTAGTTGGAATATGATGCTGTTCCCATGGAAGGTGCAACTGGCACCCTTGGTTTTTCAGTGCAGAATTATTTCACCACAACATACAACACGCTCGCTATGAGTGTTACATATGTGTGGTAAGTGCTTGCTGTCAGTTTGTGATAAATGGGACCACACTGGATAATTGAGGTCTAAACACTAAAACACACCCAACGTGTTACTTGTCCAAGGAGAGTTGCATCCTTCTTGTACTTCGGCACCAAGCATTTTAAATAGCTTCATTGGTTACCCGTCGTCTGAGACGCCGGTGACGATCGTGCCAAAATTTCTGATCATAATTGATTTGGAGCGAAAAGGACAACTTTACATTATCACCTTGGTGTCACAAAATTATTTACGAATGCCCTCCTTTTCTATTTTTGAGGATCATGCAACACATAAGTAACTAAGCGCTCGTATATATTTGTTTCATTTATTTTATCCATATTATTGTCTTCGAAATAATTACCGGTTTAAAATATGAGAAAATAGATGCTTTTATTAGAACCTGTTAATAAGTCTATCAAAGATGTCTTGATTAAAATTTTCCTTTTATTCATTTACCCCATCATGTTCGTTCGTTTTGATGTATGCCTATCTAAGCTACTTCACTAGTGAGTAGTTGGAAGTTGGCTTTCTCCCTTCCATTCCCTTTGCTACTTATACTCGAATGTCCACTATAACTCCTTACTTAGTCGATCACCTGCGGACATGGAAGCATTCAATATTCTTGCTGTATGGAGATTAACTCTAAGTCTGGAAACTTTTCTTACATAACACTTGTGTATTTATCATTTAGCAACAAAATGACTTGGGCTTTGAGAATTACGTTTAATTTAACTAAATTAGGGATTCAATAAATAGGATCCGCCTGGTTATTAAAGGACTGTTTATCTAACATCTCGGTATCCTACTTTTGACACTACATAATAAGAATTCTTCCTGATTTTTCTAGTTTTGAAGTTGCTTTTACCATTTCCTTCTGATCTTTATTTGATCTGTGTCGCCAAATTTAAACATGTGGAATTTTGCTAATTTAAACAAAATAACACTGTTTTGGATTTCCTAGGATGGCAGATTTCATAGCAGATGCAGCTGACAGAATAATTGCCATGAAGATTGTCAAGCGACGAACCGTAAAACGGTGAGCTCTTTAAATTGGCTTTGTTTATGCCGTAGTTGAGCATTCAATAATAATAGTATTATCAAATTTAAAGTAGCTTAAAAAACACAACCCAGGCCTGAGAGACTAGAAGCACAGGTAATATGCGTAGATCGCAATCACCTAGACAATAAAATACCACGGACCATTCACAATGCCTCCGCCCTGTCCCAATCTTTACCCCCGGTACTTCCCGCGCCTCTTCTTTTGCATCGACCAGTGTAGTGAATTCAGTCAACTGTGAGTGGAAGACTGAGATCTTACGATTATTTCCTCGACACATTGGGACAATTTTAAATTTGGCATCTCGTAGCGTCTGCTAGGTCTGTGTATTATCCCCCTGCTTCCATGCTGCTTTGGACTGGTCAGCATTGTCCAGCGAGCACGTTGTGTATGCCAATCGTTTCATATGTAGTAACTCTTTGGATTCGTGCCTTGTTTTTACTCCCTCTTTGCATTTACCTGTTGTTTTACTTCTACGAAGTCTAAAGCCAGCTGTATAATTTGCACCATCGTGGAGGATTACCAAGTACGTAATCTTTTTTCTCGCCTAGGTATCGCCAGCTCCTCAATTACTTGGGTTTCCCTCCAGCCCGAGCCGAGAACATAGCAATAGGCCACTTCTGCCGCATTCTGGCCGAGTTCTCTCTCGAGTACCGCACCACACGAGAGCGAATTCTCGAACAGAACGCCAAGAAAGCAAATGACCAGGAGCGCAGACAGACTCGCGGCAAGCTCATCGACGACGTAAGTCGACCAAATATAGTCCTCGTCCTTCTCTCCTCCTGCCTTCTTCGCTCCCCCCTGGTTAATAATATCATGCAAGTATACGTGTGAATACCCTCTCTAGGTCCTCACCATGGACGAGGGGTTTGTAATTGTCGCGCATAACGTGAGTTGTCACCGCGTTTTTCCTCCTCACGGCTTCGCTGTCTCATTGCTCGACTAAACTCCTAATACATATATCCTTACTTATACATTACATATTCGATATTTGTGGTATCTCTACAAACCCATCAATTGCTTGTCATAAAACTCACAAGAGTGATTGACTGATTGAGCACTTACCGTGGTCTCCCCTCTGTTGGCTGCGCGAATTCAACCTACTCGAAGGAGAGCATGAATAACCGACTGACCGACTGACGGAGTGGTGGAGAATACGTGGCTTTTCTCCCATCTGCCTCCTTTTAGGTGCCAAAAATCCGCACAGCTCCACCAGTATCAAAGCAGCAAGCGGCAGATGATATGGAATTACGGCAGGTGCTTTCAAGTAGACGCGAGTCTAGTGAGTCTTCTTATTCCTTCTTGCCTCGATTGGGACCGAACACTCGTCGCATGTGTAGTAGCTCGACTCTCCGTAAGTGGGGCAAATTATTATGTAAACAGATAACGCTCTGCTGATTTGCTACCGCTGCCTCTGCAATGCTATCACCAAGACGCTGTTGCTTAATCATCGCGCCGGCATAAATGCTTTCTTTCATCTTGTCAAATTGTCCGATGATTAAACTGGGTAAAAATCGAGTTGGTGCTTTTACGTGTTATCTTTAAAAGCCGCATGCAATCAAGAATGCTACAGTCAACACTGTTTTTCACTATTAATTAGCCTGTGACAAGCGTTGTATTGGTTTTGCCTACCAAAGAGTCATTTGAGGTAGCGATGCAACCACCGCTTTGAAGCGGTTCGAAGGGGAAACTAGATGATATTTGAGGAGGTCAGCCATCAGATGTAAATGTTTGCAATTGACTACAAAATATTTCAGCACAAAAAAATTAACACAGCTATGTTAACTCGCACATCGTGGAAGATCTGGTGAGCAGCTTTGCAAGCCATAGCTTACAGAGTACCAAGCAAAGATAAATTTTAAGAAATTCTTATCTGTTTACTCAGTATCCGCATTGATGATTGAGATGTGTGCAAGCATTCTGGATACAAACAGTAGTAGTCTTTTGGTAAAAGCTACTCCCAAACTCCTGAGCTGCCTGGGCGCCATAACACCGCTTAGCGTTAACGCATCGCTCACACGACTGCAGGAATTTCGCTAATAATTTAGGTAATTTAGCATGCCGGGTAATGGGAAATAGTGGAAGGTCATGAACTACACTCGACTCGACATTTTAGTCGCCAACTCTAAGCGTCATCGTGAGCGCGGTATGAGCCCCTGCCTGCCCAGCTCAGTGCTGGATGTGACAGGACGAAACGATCGCGAACACCGCGAAGGCAGTGTCCTACTCGACGCCTGCGATCGTGCCTCCTCCCTCGCTCCGTCTGGAGGCACACTTGGCCGACGTGGTCCTTCCAAAGAGCGTCGCCGTGTGCAAGAGCGTACTCGGCAAGCCAGTAAGTCATCTTTTGAAATGCGATTTTAATCAAGCTGCTATTTGGTAATCGGTAGCAGTAGTTTCATTGGTAAAACAACCAAGTAGATTGATGTGATTGGAAGAAAAGTGGATTTTCAGGGTGCAGAAAGTTAGTGCAATTGATACGATATTTTAATAAAATGAACTTGTTCTTGTGATGAAAAAGAGTTTAAGTGCACGCAAACCATCAAAATGATCAAATAGTTTCCAAGAATGCGTTTCTTCTGGATCAAATGCCAACACTGGATGGTAAATCGCTAAGAATTACACTTTTTTCCTTAAGATTTGTAGGACCTTACCAGATTTTAAGGCATTTTAAAGGGAAACTACATGCTTAATTGGAATACTGAGGGCAGTATATCATCCGGCCGCATTTCGTTTGCATAAATCTTGTCATTATCAGACCATTTTCCCTCTTTCTATACCGAATACATGCTAGAGGGGGGGAGGGGGTACGCTGATACCTCTGGTATAAATCCCGTGCTTATAGTAGGCGATATATGATCAAATGTCAGCCCAATGAAACTGGCAAGGTTTGGGAGATTTCTTAATGTCTCTTTGACTTCAATGACATTGAGAATTGTGACGAACATATATCCCTCGCGAAAAACCACCAAGCACGAATTATTTCCTTTGGGCCGAAGCTATAGGACTTATTTTCGTTTCGATTGAGGTTTGTAGTATCAAAATGGAGCTTTTAAACCACCAATTAATCACAAGTCTACGTAGATTACCAGAAAAGGGACAAGTTATTATTCTTTTCAAATTTGGCCCCCAATTGACTAATCGCATCAACTCAACGAAACTCTGCATTAACACTGGTTCAACAAGGATCCCGCGACAAGCCGTGATTAGTTCATTTACTTCACAGATCTTCAAGTCCTTTGGAGGTCCGCCTTAGCCAGCCGAGTTAAGAGATCCGATACCTAGATGATAGGAAAAAAACGAATCTCCCCCTGACACACTTCAGGGAGAAGGAACAGGTATTTAGCAAGTAAGCCGGTTTGAATAGGTTTGTTATACACGCGATCACAAACCCTCTAAGCGATTGCTTCGTCCACTTTGTCTCATTTCTTCTCTTAAGTACATTACACTCTCACTCCTTTTCCAGACGACGAAGACCTCATCTCTAGCATCATAGAGGCCTTAGAGAAGTAGTAAGCTAAATCGCAAAGATGTTTGGAAAAGATGAAACATAAACCCGCACAACTCATCCCAAGTTGCTTACTGTTTAACCCCCCTCGCAGAAATTGTGCGCCTTCGTGCGGTGGTAGCTTTACTTACACTTCTCTCTCCCTTTGTGTTTTACTTTGCAGCTCGACTATTTTACTAACATGCACCTCGCCATCAGCAACACCTCACGCCATGGTAATAGCAAAAATGTGGCGCATTTTTTCGTGCTCCTCTTTTCCCACTTTTCCCCCTTCCTTTTCCTCGTTGTATTTTTGCGCTGCTTTGCTGTGCCTTATTCTAGCATCATTGCTTTTCTTACCTCACCTCGTTTTTTCTTCCTTTTTCTGCTTGCATGCTTGCGATATTCCCTCGGCTTCGGCTCATTTTTCATCTTTAAAAAAAGATAGCTTAAATCAAGCGCGAATGGATACTACTTTTATAAATAAGGAAGCTGCTGAAGTGCTTTATGCTAAAAAGTTCATTAGAAAGGACTTAATGTAAAAACCTTAGCAATGATTAAAGAGTGAGCCCATTTTGTAAAAATATTTTTAAGGTCTCTTCCTCTCACAACTAAAGTGATAGCCTTTAGGACAAACCAAATCATTCTAGGGGCTAAATTTTTTTTTCCCGCTCGTAAAACCCATTAAAATGGGACGTTCTTGAATTTAAAAGAGGTTGAACTTTGTTGGCTAAATCCGATTGTAGCGCATTGCTCCGAGTCCTCTCCAGTGTCGCATGAGGCCTAACCAGTAGTGCAGAGGACTCATTTAAAACGTATAGACAATCCGCCAGAGAGATCATGCCGGCAGGACGAAAGTGCACACCAGGGTAACTAGACCATCCTGTGTTATGAAATATGTCCTAAAACAATCGTCAAGCCACCAAACAGTAAACTGTGCCTTGGAATTTTCACGAGCTCCGGTTATTTTTGCCATTTATGTTGCCTCACCAACAGCACCATCTCCATCTCACTTCCTGGAAGTAGGATTGGCCTACAGACGCAACTTAATCTTTTGCCAGTAGGTATCTCCACCACACCACCACATAGACGATAGGCTAGGCTGTTGGAGACCGCCAGCATAGCTCCGCACCACCGGCAAAGTAGTCGAATCGCGAACCACCGCTCTCGTTTAGCGACAGATTGACGTTTTTCGGGTACTTCAGGGACAAAAATCTTGCTGTTTATTTACTGCCTTCTGTGATTTGCAAGCCGCCATTAAAAACTTTCCTTCTTCGCTTCTGAAATCTTGTTCAACGGAAGCCTGATTGTTTTTCTTGCTGACAAGGGAAAAAGCAAAAGATTTTGTAATTTTTTGTACAAATTTCTCCCTTCTTTTTTGCTCCACCAAATCACTGCTCGTGTTGCCGTTGCTCTCTACTTTGGTTTCTGATTTGTTTTGAGTGTTCATTCTCCTCCTAGTTTGCCTAACCAAATGTTTTTTTTCACCCCACTCCTTCTCACTATACATATAGCCAGCCGGACACTGTCCAACAAAATCAGTGAAAATGACATGCGTCATCTGGAGAGTATTTTGCGCAAGCCGCGCAAAGTATGACCGAGAGAGGCAGAGACAAAGATGGCGACTTCACCACATTTTCGGGCTTTCAACAACAACAGTAACAGCACTGCTGCCCTTCCCTTGCCCCGTCTCCTCCATTTGCACGCCTTTCGCCTTCACCGCCCTCCCTCTCTCTGTCTGTTTGTATTTTTGACCTCATCACTCACTTAGCAAACGAATGGGGAAGATTGTCGTCTCTTCTACTATTTATTACATCTACACTTTCAAACCCACTATATCAACATCCAATCACACTTATAAATATATTTTTATACTTCGGGACTAGCCCATTACCTGTAAAAAACAAGTGCATATGTCCTACTGCCTTTCTATGGTGATATCACAGATCCATGACCATTCACGTGTGAAAAGAATGAGAAGAAAAGGAGGAGGTGCTCTAATTTCGCGGTTGGATTTCGTTCAGTTTGCCTTTTCCGAGTGCGTATGTGTGTATGTATAGCACAGCCTCCCCGCGTTTTTAATGGCATGGGGAGGAAAGTATCGGGAGAAGGGACATCGCCACACACCGCATTCTTTCACTGCCTCCCTGCCCCCCTACTTGTCACTTTAACACTGCTACCCCTTCTTTTCCCCGATGGTCACCCCAACTCACCCTCAATCCGCTCCTCCCTACACCCCCATCTTTGGGGCACCATGTGGCTGGCTTTTTATTCAGATTTGACTTCTTGAGGCACTCTTGGGTGGTACTTTTTGCTCTGGGCTGGCAAGCGATGTTAGTTAGCCAATATTCATGGTAGCGATAAGTTGATGCCTTTTGGGGATGATGTTCGTGTAGATGACATCAATGACGTGATTAGCAGTGCTTAAAAGGTGCTGACAATACCTCTTTCTAAAGTTCCTCATTGGAAGTTAGTTCCAGTCATTGCGGAACATCAAGTTCTCTAAGATCAGGGCCGTTCAAAATGAAATAGACACGTGAGGGTGTGCACCGTTCTGGAGCTCCAGATATTCATCCAGCCGACACACAGGCAGCCAGGTACTCACAAGACCGGCATCAAAAACCTCCGCGCTAAAGTCCGTCGCTTGATGTACTGACTGGGGCCCCGAGGGTGGTCATGCTCATCCACACACACATTGACGTCGGTAACAGTGGCTCGCTGGTAAATTCCAGCACTCGCGATTGACCAATGTTTAGTTTTGTTGGAAATACCAAGATTTGGTGCAGGGTTATTAAAAAAGCGCTCGAATGAGCATACATGCTCCGATAGGACATGCAGGAGGATTTGGCTGGTGCTGCCCGAGAATTAGCGAGAGCAAGAACCAGTTCGCTTGTGCTAGTTATATAGCCGGGTGAGGCCCCCTCTAAAAACTAAGAAAATACCTAAAAGTAAATGCAGGAGTAGGTTTACTTATTGGAGTATAAAGTTACCGTGCCTATTGAAAGCGTATTGGCGGTGGAGATGCCGCATTGACTGCTTGGTGATGAAAACAATTAAAATTTGGGAAGGAAAACTTAGATAAATGGTGAATTGGACTGGTCGTGGTGGGCCCTATTCAGCTTCCTTTGTTTTTTTTTAAAACTTGTTTGACAGTGGAAAATTTATAAAAGAAATTTAAATAGTGCGGCTTCTTACGTAACAAATTTTCTCATTTGCTATGGCTCATTGCCAATCGGGAGTTGGACGCAATTCCTGAATTTGATGAGCTGATGCATATTTTTTTCTATTTATTTTATAGTTATTAGCACGCCCTTTAAAATTGTTAAATCTAGGCAAAAAAAATTTACTCATGAGCCACCTGTCTTCTGCTTGGAATGCTGAAATTTGATTAGTTAGTACTATTTTCTACTGAAGTACTTTATAACTACTGACACATCTTTCTAAATTGTCAAGTATGGGCAACAAACCACGAGATAGTGCCATTTAATTATGCATGACATTCGACAACTAAAATTGCTGCCTTCAATGCCAAATGTTTCATGAAATCTGAGGACTTGCCACTTTTCAGGCGGTATGGCAGAGAAATTAGTCTTACGCAATTCTTTATCACAACAATGGGCTCTTTTACTCAGCATTGACTACAAGTCGCATTTTTAAAAGGTAATGGTCAATTCATATTCATGGTATTTCGGTGAATTTGTGTCCACTTGATTGTTAAAGGCTGATGGGCAAAGGCAATCTAATTTAAGAATATCAGTTTACATTGTGAGTGCTGCGGCTTACAAAGACATAATTTTTTTATCCTTGGACAAAATCTGTCCGGTACACAAAAACCATGTGAACAGAAATATGCGTCATTAATAATAGCTTTCTGAGTTCTGAAGTACTTTCCGTGTTTACCTCACATTTCGATCTCACCCTCTTTTGCCCAATCTTCATCACTGGGAGTGCGTATTTGTTTAACTACCTGAATACCTCAGTCTCTCTGCGGTTTGCACTTCCGTTCCACCCTATAGCCTCTCAGTTCCTCATCCGTAATGGTAAGCAGAAATCTGTAAACTATCCCTATTAACAACCTGCTAGATCTCTGAACAACATTATATCAGACAGATTATTAACTTAATCCAACTAAGACCGTCAACCATGCTTTTTTGTTCTTTTAAGTCAAAATCAATTGTCGGTTTCTTTTTTCAAGGCAGAGACTGTGTGCGGTGATGAATGGCGTGGTGGAGTACTGCGATGTGAAGAAGAAAAGACGAGTGTCATATTGGCTATTGCAAGCAAAACAAGGTTGTGAGTAAATTAAATCATTTAAATAATGTGTTAAGACACGGCAAATGTGATACTTACGCAGCTTCTGCCGCGTACCGCTTCGCCTGCTCTGCCTCTCCCAGGAGGTCTGGTTATGACAAGTGCAGTTCGTCGTCAATCGATATCGATTTTCGCGCGTGTCAACCAGCTGATTGCTAACGTGTTCTTGAGTAATGCAAAGCGTCCTTTTGGTGACCTCTTTGACATGTTAGAACTTTACTTGAAGCAGAAAAGTAACAAATGGAAAGCTGACTTAAACTAAGTAGTAAACATACGAACAAAATTTTTCAAATTATTTTCCCTTAAAGATAGTAATGTGACAGGTTCGATGCTTCTCTTTATACCCTGGTCATATGAGGGCATCTTTTATTTAATAGTCCAGTTGTATAATGGTTCGGGATTAACTTTCGTCTCATAGGTCAATAACGTCTGCTCTGCTCTGGGATTTTTAAAAACGGACTCTTCCCACCTAAAAGTTACATTTTACTGAATCAGAAACCATACCGAGGGAAGGAGAAGTGTACCAGCCATCTCCTATGGCCATCACTATTCCTCAGAACATTGGCCTAAAAGCAGAAAGATTTAATAAAAGATGGGGTATAAATGGTTTTGTGGAGGTAAGGCACCACGTCTGTTCCTTCTTGCCATCTTGTTCTCACTTCATTTCTACCCAGTCCTATCTATTTAGATTCTATCCGGCTAGTAGAGCGGATTCATTCTTAACCTCTTCACCTAATTGACATCTTCATACGGGTGCCGTGGACAGCTCTGTAACTAACTTTCCAGATGGTTTGCGGCCACGGCTAGTGTCACTTCAATTGTTGAAGGCATTCCTGTAGAACATGGGACTGAGGTAGCTGCCAAAGGTAGACAACATTCCCAACCCTTCTGTTAGCGACCCTGACAGATTCTCCCAACCGTAATGTATGTCCCTCTTCCGTCACATTGAGGTTTAACACTCAGTAACAGAAATCAAGGTATTTGTCCTTTAGGGCTGGGTTCGTATGGCGTTGCCACCAATGCAGTGCTCAGAGTTTTTCCTAAAAATGAAAGAAAGCAATTTTAGGGCAGAAAATGCATTGCTGACGTACAGAAGGGCTAGGTGGGAGGAGAGGGGGTCTTATTTCACGGTCCGGTAGAGCTTTAAGTGCTCGCATACTCAAACCAAAGGGCCAAACAACCAGTCTTCTTCAAAGACTTCGTCAAATGCGTCAAAATGCGCGAATTTTAACATCTCGAGCGCGGCGAGTAAGAAAAATCGATAGCCCCACGTGGTAACCAGCTGGGCTCAGGGGGAAGGCCGACTGACGCCATGTGCAGCGCAGGGGTGGTACGACCGGACTACTACTCGCTGCTTGAGGTGCCTCGTGGCGCCTCCGAGGAGGAAATCAGGAAGGCCTATCGGCGACTGGCCCTCCTCTACCATCCGGACAAAAATGCCACAGCTGAAGCGGAGGCGAGGTTCAAGGAGATCTCCAAAGCCTATGAGGCAAGTAGCGTAGTTGCGAGGTAAAATAGGCATCTCATGATCCGATTAAATGAAGTATAAGTCAGGGCAGGCGTTCATTTTTGATGACATGTTTGGTAGGTTTGGAAGAGAATTACATAAGTTAAGATGACAAAAATATTTTTTTATTTCGTTGCATTCTTTTTTCCCCAGAGATCTGATTAAACGGGCCCTATATCCTGGCAAGTATTGTTTAAAAGAGCGAAACACATGAACAACTTTTTTAGGTGCTTGGAGATGCGGAAAAGCGTCGTCTCTACGATCTATATGGGAACGGATGTTTGAAGGGGCCGCCACCAATGCGATCATTTGGAAGTTCTTTTGACGGCGATTGCGGTGCCTTTCACACCTTTCAGATGTTTTTTGGAGGAGATAAGGCCTTTAAACCATTCGTGGAAGTCACTACGAACGTAAGTTGTGCCGAACAGGCTTTTCACTTACTGGTTGAATGCTTACAGGACCGACTACTCTAGCGATGGTGATTATGATGAGCAGAGAACCGCCCCAATTGAGGTCAGCACTAATAGGCGGTCTTCAACGTCTACCATTGAAACGTCCATATCGTTATAACTGTGATTGAGATTTTGGCCACTATACTATGATTAGAACTTTCGGTGGATATATGTCCATAGGCTGCGCATCATCGTTCACTGGAGATCGCCTTGATCACCAACACTACTCATGCCCGCATTCACTTCTGCTATACGCCATCCAGATTGGTTCACAATATGCATGCTGGGTGATATTAGTGGTGAGAGGACACGTGGCGTTCACTACTGCAGAGGTCTCAGTTTGACACTCACGCACCTCATGACTAAGTTTTATAAATGTGCATATTTGCAAGTCGTTACCTTTCATGTCAGAGGACCCTAATTTTGATAGGGTATGCAATCTACCTGTGTTTTCAATGCACCAAGTGTTCAAAACACTGAACGCTATTCTCAGCCTGCTTCTAAGGACTCTTCATCAACTTTCCATCGAACTAAGAGAGACATCGAGCATCCAGTGAAGGTGCGGCTTGATGAACTCCTCGGCAATACTCAGCGCCGGATGCGGGTCCATCGACGCCGTTTCGATTGTTTGTCAAGGTGCTATGTTCAGGAGAATCGAGTTCTCACCTTCAATATTCCACCAGGAGCACAGAACGGCACGCGTATCCGATTCGAAAGAGAAGGAAACGAAGCAACACCTAATGAACCTCCCGGAGATGTTGTTTTTATACTCCAGGAGGAGGCACACGAATTGTTCCTCCGTGAAGACTGCAATCTCCGAACTGGATGTAAAATTGACCTAAAGTTGGCACTCTTTGGGGGAAGTCTCGTGGTGAGCATATTAATTACCACGTTTCACCTACTAATGGCTTGTAGAAAAATATTTATTGCGTATTTTAGAGCTAAAACGAACTGTGCTATTTATTCTACCCATAGATAAAAGGACTGAAAGATGAATCATTTTCAGTAAAAATGGAACCAATGCCATCGTCTCTTTCGCCCTTAATTATTCCCGGTGGCGGACTGCCTGACATTCGATCAAAAGACATGGATGGGAATGCAGCGGCCGACTCATTCGACTCACAGAAACTCAAGCGTGGTGATCTCATCGTACATTTTGAAATTGAATTACCCTCCCTTTTACCCAACAAACCAAAGACTGAGGCCATCAGATCAGCGCTTCCCGGCCAGGGCCAATTGAAGTTTCAGTACTTGCCGCGACAGGTGGTTACTGCAGCTTCATCAAGGCGAGAACAAGTAACTAGACAGTGATCGCGCGACCCTTTTATTGTGATATTATCGTTCCTTCAATCTCATCTTTGCCCTTCATTCTCTTCGTCTGTATTACTCGACTCTTGTCACTGCCTTCATTGTTTGCGCAATGAAATGTGCCGTCATGAGCTGGTGAGGCGTTTGGAAACTGCGATTATTTTTTGGTCCCAAAGAAGTGGATTTAATTGCTCTTGAGATGCAGGAGAATGACGGGACCTTACAATGCTGCCTGGAAAAAATAAATTCTTAAAATTCGATTAAGTTCTTCGGGTATATTAGCTAACATTCCAGGCAAACGAAGTATTAGAATAAGGGCATCGGAGTGCGAATCCTGCACAGGGGCCTCTAGAACCACATTTTTTCTGTTGCTCACTGGTGCCAAGAGTAAAAATTCTAAGTTTGTAACCCTTTTCAAAAACAGGTGTTGAAGTGTATCGATTAACAGCCGGATATTCAATGAGTGGAAATTCTAGCTTTTGGCACAGCAAATTTTTGCCAGAAAGTTCATTTATTTTGGGCATCTAGTCCAGTGGAAATTCATTTTTGGTAAAATAACGCATTCTCAAGCTAAAGTCACACCGTAGCATAATCGTTAAATCACGGCTGATGGTGTTGATGCTGCCGCCTATCCATTGGTTATTTGTGGAATTGAATATGGAGGAGAGCATATGCTCTCCCAGATAGTCGCTGGACGGTTGTTTATGGGTGAGCATTAATAATACTAATTCAAGTTTAATTTTGACTATATTATGTTCTGACTATTTACATTCACCTTAGTTGTTGGCTCTGTGCTTTGTAATTGCTTGATATCAATTCACACAATTTATGCTTCCCCACACTGGGTGTTATAAAAACAAGCATAATTTTGAATTTAACGCTATCGTTTACCAAGTTTTTTCGTTTTCTGAGGGAACGCATTGATGCGACAAGCGCAATATCGTCGGTGCCTTATTTCTTATTAATTTACTTTGCATTTCTGCCTTTGTGCTCTCTCGTGTATGCTGAACCAAATAAGTCGTGGACAGCTCCAAATGCAGTATGAATCGACCTTAAATAAGTACTTTTGCTGTTCTCAGTGTCAAAGTGTTGTATTTGATAGATTTTTAGTTGGCTATAACCATGCCTTCCTTACCTCGTCACGCTTTTTATTGAAAAGAAGTGTTTCAGGGTTTTGTCATATTAGTTTAAATTGGTTTTATTGAAAATACAAATACAAGCATCAGATGGTTGTTTCATTTGGTAATTATACCTACTTAGGTCATTTACTCGTATTTGTTGACTAAAATAGTATGCACCTTCTGCCTAAAAATCCAGAAGGGTTATTTATGCTATTTCCATCTTGTATCATTTTTTAGTAGTCGCCTTCCAGCACTCAGCTTATTGCTCGAGGCTCATAATTCTTATTTTGAAATGCTCTTCAGTGGTTGCATGAACGTCGTGAGTGTGTCACATCGATTTCTTTGGGCGTTTACTGAGAGGAGATGAACAATATCTTACAAGCTGTTCATAGCTTTTCCTTAAACTCATGCCTTTTAAATACAAGGGTTTGTGTCAGGTTCTTCCTACGTATTTGCTTCTGTTTCTATGACCTTGTGAATTGGACCATTTCGGCGCAGAAGTGCATTGACGTTTTTTTTGAATCGGTTCTGCGCTTTATTGCCACCCTTCTTGGCACACTTTCACAACCATACCCCCAGAGTTGTTTTTTAATCTAGTAAAGTACTATAAATTTTATTCTTAGTTGACTTTGAAGATCTCATCCTTGCTTTACAGACCCTGCATAATGACTCTGCGTTCTGCTACTAGCACTTCAATGCGTGCCTGGCGTCGATTCTTTCCCCTCGTTTCTGTTGAATCTTTGGTAGAACTATTTGAGGAGATGCTTCAGACTAGTCACCTTTCCGACTCGGCATCCACATGCAGCTCCGCTACTACTACACCCGCCGTCTGTCCTGAGCCAAATTTGGCATTCCTTTCTATCATTCTTGGGTATATTGAGAGTCACATCGCCACTGCCGGTGAGTCGACGACACCTGCGTCTGCGCCGACACGCAAACGCTCACTCAGTGGGACTCGATCGAATTGCGGGGCGAAACGATTGACGGTCCGCCCCTCTCCCGCTGCTACTGCTCCTGCTGTTGCTGCTTCGCCCTACGAAGCGAATTCGCCTGAAGTGCCTCCTTCCCTCTCGGAGGAAGAGATACCGGCGGCTTCGACCCCTTCCCTGGCCCCCAGTGATTCGACGCCGTCTCCAATGAGTGCAGCGGCTTCTTTGATGCGTGTGGCGGTGGAAACGGCCAGATCAGAGTTTCCTATTCTTCGTTATGAAGAGGCGGAGCAGTTGTATCAGAGATTTTATACCATGATTGTTCACAATCCCAAGGTTAGAAGCATCTTCAAATTGTTACAAGTCTAAACCGAATGAATACTTGGTACTTGGACCAGTTTTGGTTGTAATGTTGAAATCCCCAGTCAAGCTACAGGGAACGCATTCCATAGTTTTGCCCACCATAAAGCAAGTTCCATTTTAGCCGAATGATGGACACTCGCTATCAATGTCATGCGTGCGACACTCCGATTTTCTTATCTGAATCCGCACGTCACAAATGTGTGACCTTTTTTACCTTTTGAGCAGCGGTTGAATTGGTCAGTTCGATTATTCAAGTGATAGTGATAGAATAACAAAACACCGGCCTCTGGTGGTTTACTTTTTCTCTTATGTTCTGGTAGCGATGGGGTTGAGAAGTTTCCTTACCAATTTGATGACATCGAAATGTCTGTCTGGGTTGTTCTCACTTTGTGGAAGGTACAATGTCCCTGCACCTATGCCATTGACTACTGCTACCTTGAATCAGTCTGTAAAAACGTCATAATTATAAGGAAGGGGACAGGGAGGCTAGAAGTGCAACACCTCTTGCAATTATAGTTCCCAGGTGAGAAGTGTTGTCTTTACTGCGTCTGCCCTGCTTATCACGACAATGGTAATTAGATGAGTTCGCATAGCAAAGAAACGATTCTTGATTGCAGCATTAGCTTTGTTATGGTTTATCTGTGCGTTGATTTATTGCACATGCATTGTAACTGGTTACCTACCCACAAGCAAACCCCCTTGAACTCTTTAATGTGATGCTCTGTAGGTATCTGAATGAGTTACTCTTGGAAGATAGCAGAAGTGGCTAGAAGTGCGGACCACGAGTCTTCTTCATTTTAGTTGGCATCGATGGCCAGAGTTCTGCCCGACCAGGTGACCCCCAAGAAACTGGGACTGTCATCAAACCGACGACTGGTGAAGGCAGTTTGTGATGTCCTCTGTGCTCACATGGCCTCTCCGGCTAGGCAACGAGAGCACTTCGCTCATGCTCAGTCAATCTACTCTCTTCTCGAGTGTAAGCCAGACATTTAGTTGGCCTCTGTTGCTATTCTTCGAGCCATGGATTTCTAAGAAATTGAGAATCAGGGTGTGAACAGTTCTATGTATATTTATTCCCTTTACTTTTTTGATGAGAACGATATTTGAGTAACATGATTTCCTGAGGCTATTCAAATTGCATTTTCTTTTTAAACAATTTTTGAAATGCAGATTCCGCTAACTCAGGAATTAGACCGAGGTATCATTATCGGTACTTTTTATTCGATGCATGAAATAAAGAAACTCAATTTTATAAAAAACCCCACCAAATACCACGATGCAACTTCAGTTATGCTGAACTAACCCATACCAGACCGTTTACATAATTAATCCTATCAGTTCTCCATCAATCTAACTTTGGTTATTCCTTTTTTATGGCAATGTTGGATCCCCAATCTTTTTTCTGCCTTGCGCTAGTGGAAGCAATTCAAATTGACGCACTGTATAATTTTGTATAGAATGGTTCTGTCATTCACGAATAAGTATCTATGAGTTTGGATGGACTGTGCGAATTAATACATCAAAGCTATCACTTTCCGTTCGTTCACTCCGATTATTCTCAGTAGCATACATTCTTGTCAGTCTGGGAATTGGTGCGTCAGTGCTCCCACTACCTTATTCTCGATGTCTTTTGATCAAGGAGATGCACGGGAAAAGTCGCCTAGCTTTCTGCTGGTGTTTTATTAAGATCTGGGATCTAGCTGAACTGTTCTGTTGCTTCCACTATTGCACTCAGATGACTGGCCATTGGTATCTGTAGGCAGTGAATCTGTAAATTTCCGCGACAATAATGCTACTTTTAATTCCTGACACTTTCTGATTACTCCAGAAATGGGGAAAGTGGAATAGCTTTTTTAAACGAAACGATCATTCCCAAATAAGTTGTGCGATGATGATGAATTTGCTCTTTTTTCTGGAAATTAGAACAGTGGTATTCTGCTCCGTTTCCCGTATTTTCCGTTCACTGAAACAAGTAGGGAAATTGTCTAACTTGCTCACAGCCTTTAAGGAAGGAGGTTGAAGGAACTAAGCGATCAATGATTGAGTCTAGGTCTGGCGACGCATTTCGATCATCGCTGAGCAACACATTTAGACATGGATGCCGGATCAGGATTTATAACTGAATGTAACGACTTATCCCCTTGACGAAGGAACCCGTACCGGACATTTTACCTGCTCATTTCCTCTGTTTTTTGATTATCCTTGAAAGATGATTTTAGCCAATCCAGTAGGTAGCTTTCAAATTGCATGTTTTCTGTTTTGAACAATCTTCCTGATATCAGTTCTCACTACCTTGAGATTAGTAGAACTGAAGGCATTATTTCATTTCATTCCTCCCTATCCCTCAATTGTGATAATGAGGAGAACATTTCCGTGTTTTTCTTCTGGCTTTGATGGAGGAAGTGTGCCATATTGGACCCTCGTTAATCAAATCCGAAGATAGTGCTTGCGATTACCTCGTTTGGCTGTTTTCCTGGTGTTTTGGGATCATTGTGACAAAAGACGAATTTGATTAATATCCCTTGAAGGTCATGTAAATTTACGCCTCTTGTCAAGATTCCAACCAGAATAACCAGTCGATAACGACTTCATCACGGAGGTCTTTGGTGCTGATAAGGTGAGTTTATTAGGAGTACGACGTGTGCATACGTGCCTGCTGGGTGGGTTGCTGAAGTTCCAAGGTAGTCAGCATTCTCAACTTGAATGACCTTAACCTTGCAATGCTTAGTGTAGTACATGTAATGTGGGGTGAACTCAACGTGAGTGCAAATGGAGAAATGTTCTGGAACGTCCGGGAATTCAAAGTTCGAGTGCGAACTTCTAGGACGTTAAAAGTGGAATGTTTTTTCCGGGATTGTAGATATCTTCAGGAGTGCTCAAGTCCCAATCTGTTATTGTTCCTAGACCATCGTGAATACTTTTTGATTATTTGTGCAATGTTTTGCTTTTCACTCAGATGGCCAACTAGACAGTTTTGGTTTGGCCTACGCCACGGTAGCAGCATGCCAGCTCCTGGGCTACACAGACGTCCACTTAGCGTTATCCGAGGACCACGCCTGGGTTGAGTTCGGGTCACCAGAGCGGCGTGAAACGGCTGATGTCTCAGTGATACCTGCACTGGAACCCACTGAAGTTCTTTCCCCGGTCAAGATCACTACCACCACCTCAGTCTCCACCCTCTATCCACCTCCTGTCCGACTCGGACACCTACTTCACTCTTGGCTCTACCTCAACGGCTGTCCCGTAGTCTGCAACCCCCTTGTCCTCTCGGTTGCCGCTGCTGTAACCGCTATTCAGCCATGTGGACTGTCAAAATCCGTTCGCCCGATAGATCAGATCACCATGGCGTCAGTACCGCCCTCCTCTTCCAAACGTCCCCGCCAAAAACTCTCCTCCGGCACTCTTTCTACCTCCAGTGATGGCCATCCTGTCCGTAGTGTTGAGACTATTTCACCTGAGGTGGGTGAAACAAAACTTAATGAAGACTCACTCCTGACGAGCACCTTCTATACGACATCGTTTTCCACTTTTTCTAGCTAGTGCGTTTGAAGCAGACCCTTTTGTGGACGGTCTACCGAGCGGGTATGCTCAATCAGTACCCGCTTGGATTAACCAATTTAGCGGATATTGAAGAGGGCTATCCCTCGACAGGAATTCGACTCGAAGAGGTTGTTTGTGACCTCCAGATATCCTCCAGTGTGCCTGCTACTGACTACGTCTTGCCCGAGATTGTAGAGGTGTACGGCGATTTCAGAGATGTTGGATTTTCACCAACACCGTCGAGGCAGTTGGACGTTCCGTTGGAATTGCTCCGGCGAGCAGTGGAAATTAACAGGGTTTTCTTCCGCAACCAACACGTCTACCCCTACATCTATCTGGCAAATTACCTTCAACGCAGAGGCGATACACCTGGCGCTTTGCGCTGTTGGGCTGAAGCTGCTCGTGTTATTGGACAGTACGTTAGGCACTTTGTTTTATCTGGTCATCAAGGAGTGACAAGTGTGAAAGCAGATTCATTTTTTGAGAGACGTTTCTGACCCCCCACCAGTTGAAGCTTACCTTCTTTAATGTCAGGTACAACCACAGTTCAGAGGACGCAGAAATCTACCGAGAGTTCTTAGACATTGCGACACGCGTAATTCCAGAGATATTCCGATTGTGTGCCGTAGAACATCGATCCGGAATGTCCACGAAGCCAAACCTGCTAGGTGAGCTGCTTTTCCTCCAATATGAGATCAGATCCGCTTACCCTAACTGAATTTGTTTTTGTCTCTAGACAGTCCCCTGTGCCTGGCCTACCTTCTCGCCTTTTATGACCACCTCTGTCTGTGGGAGGAGGGTTCAGCAGTTCCTGTTCTTCACGTTGGGTGGGTGGATAAGTTGGTCGCATCGCTGACACGATTCTCAATTCAAGCACGAACTCAGCTTCATTTGGAAGCAATCCGGGCCACTGGGGATGAGGAGAACTTGAGAATGTCGACAGTGACGCCGAAGAAAAAGTATCCCTATCCTCGTGCTCGTCAGTCCAGCCTTGGAAGTGATTCTGTGGTCATACATCCCATCACGGTTCGGGAAAGCGAACCCTCTCCGTTGCCCGTCTCCAAGATGGAGACGGAAGTGGAAGTAGCGTCGGCGCCGTTGGAAGATCCAAAGACATCAACGATAGACACGGCGAATGAAATGACGAAGGCGGAGCCCTTGAGAGTAATCCTTCCACCACCAGCTGCATCTATGTCCTTCCAGAGTTGTTCGACCACTGGATCCTCTGTACTTTCCGTATTCATCAACACGCCTTTGACCTCAGGAGGGGAGAACTCTACCATCGTTTCGATTTCTGAAATGGCATCAAAACCGCCTAAACAGGAGATGGCCAAATCACTTCCAAAACAGGACCTCCTTTTGCCTGGAATAATCGATGGGCTGGAAGGAGGTGAGGAGGATCTTTTGGACGTCTACAGTCTGGTCGTTGATTGTTGTACAGGTCCGAAGGAGAAATTAATTTCTAGATTGGCGAAGGCCTCACAATTTCGTCTACTCAATCCGGCTTTTTTGATGGGTGATCTTACTGCGCCACCCTTTGCGGACCCAGAAGAATTGGCTGATTTTCTCATGGAACGGGAGCCTTCCAAAATTAAGGAAGTAGGTCACGATTTTGTACTTGATCTGGTTTAGCCAAGACCCCATTTTTTCACGCACTTGTAGTATTCTCTTGGACGAGATTTATCCCCGTTATCTGTCTGGAGTTAGTTCCATTGTTAGCATATGGGGGGCTGGAGATTAGTATCAGAGCTTTATCCCTTGCCGAAATTGACACATTGATGCTTTCCTGCTGCTGTTACTTCTGTCTCTTCGTGTTCAAGATTGTATTGTTGTCAATGTATATTCTAAACAAGTATTTCAATCTACTCTTTAGGAGGATCGAGAAGAGCCTGAATTCCTGCCTGAACCTCCATCTTCGACACCGGCAGCTGTGGTAGAAATTCCAGATGGTCGTCAGACCCAGGAAGAACAACCGCAATGTAAACAACAGGATGATCATGAATTGGGGGAGAAGGAGCAGAAGCTGGATCCATCACGTCCACACGATGCAGTCGCAGCGGCAGCGGAGGACGAAATGGAGGTAGAAGAGGACGAAGAAGTCGATGTGGGCGTCGCAATTCCATCTCAACACCGAGCCTCATCACCCGAATCCTCCGCCTGTCCCTCCCTCCCATCCATCCCCTCCACACCTCCCATTTTCCCTCTCCCTGTCACTCCTGAAGCTATGACTGCAGTTGCTACTGAAGGTGCTGTTACGACTGTGGTTGGGATGGCGACAGTAGATAATGATGTCACTGACGCTCCTAAGCCACAAACCCCCGCAGCTTCTGTGCTGGTAAATAAGGAAGAAGAGGAGAAGGCGAGAAGTAAGTTATCGACGAGATTTCAGGAAGTTTATTTAAGCTAGATATTAAGAAATTCTGGCAACTAAGGTAGCCGTTGTCGAAACAAAAGTGGTCTAATCTTGCCTTCTTCACCTTCTCACATGATTTGTTTAGCACTTGCACCACCAGGGCACCAGAGGGAAATTTCGCTAGCACAAAAATATGTGCTTCTCAAATCTAGGAAGATGTAATCATTCGGCATCTTTTTTATTGTTTCAAAGGCTGTTTTTGGCATTCGGTTTGGTGCAACAAGCCATGGTTACCATAAATTGTCAAGGCACAGGTCACATGTTTGTGACCGGGTCCACGTGCGTTGTATTGCAACACAATAGCTATTGCACGAGTAGCACACATTTCTAATCGCCTTCTTTGATTGTGATGAATGATGATCAGTTGCTAAGTCATAGTTTTACTTGCAAAATTAGTTGCATTCTTGTTTTCCATCGGCGTTTCATTGATTCCCACTTTTTTGTCTGCGATTTGATTGGTTTTCAAATCCGGGTTTTTCCAATGTTATCTAAAACTTTTGAAAATTGAAAAATGGTTGTTGTTATGTGGTTGACAAGATTCCAATTCATTTTTTAACCTCTATTCGACTTATTCTTGGATATTATCGGGTGCAAATAGATTAATTCTGACTGATTCGACTGTGATTGAAATTAGCCTCTTTATCGCCTCATTAAAGCGAACATAACTTCAGTGTAGAAATGATTCCCTAATTGTATTCTACTTCTGACAGTTTTCAGAATTTCAATAGTTCCGACTTCCGTTGAGGACTTTTGACGTTTACTCACGCCAGTAATACGACGCCTGTCAGATAATAACAACGCAGTTAGCTTTAAGTGATGTCTCGGGGGATAGTACTCATGTGATTTTCCACTTGAAGATGTGAATAATTCTTTTCTTGTATATTGCCTAGGTAATTAAATTAACCCCCAATAATTGTTTTCTTCTTATGTGGCCTTATCGCTAACACATCTTTTCACAATTTATACTCCTTCAGCACGTGAATTGCATGTTGTTGGTATTGTTATCATCATAGGAGCGCCCCCCTTTTGACGACATCTGTGTGAAGAAATCCATTTCGTCTCTCCCCACGATAGCATCGAGTTGCATCGGCAGACCTTGGGTTCCAACTTCAACCGCCATGATCGTGGGCAGAATGGCGACAGACGGTGAAACACACTTTGCCTTGATAAGGATTAAAAGTAAACCCTGTTCGGGGGTGTCGATTGAGCTGCTGTAAGGTAGCAGCCTTCTGCGAAAGTTTTTTTAGTTTCTGGGAGAAAAAAGAATGCTTATTATGATGCATTCGCTACCAGCAACACAGGCGCGATGTCTTGATTTTCCCACCTTACCTTGCACGTGACGACTGTGGAGTGTACTTTCCAGCAATTTATGATAACTGGTTTCGCCAACTGCTTTGCCGCGAAAGCATTGGTTGAGTCTGTAACAATAAAGTAATGGATGCAGACCATTCCCTAGTCCGAGGATAGCCGTATCTTTTAGCTGAGCCGCAGGTGAATTGGTGGTTGGTGCCTTTATAAGAACGACAAGACCTCCGGACTGGAGTATTCGGATTTCTACCATTATCTTGATAATAACTAGGTTAAATACTATCATAATTTTTATTGTGAATCTTGGAGGATATTTTTTTGGGACGTTCGCTTTTGCAATTAAAAGCGGCGATTGCCTGACGTTCCACTGTTGTGTTTTTGTGTTTATTTGGTTCTGATTGGCTCTGAGGATTTTACCGACTTCAAAGCAGCCAATAAAATTCTTCCAGTAATTGTAGTCTAATCAAATAGTTATTTCCCTGAATACTGATTGGTTGAGTTCGGGGAACTCCTGGAATTTTCCTTTTTTGAATGCTTGTCTTTTTTTTCTATTACCAAGTAGTGAAAATATCTTCTTAAAAACTCATGGAGGTTCAAAGTCTGAAATTCTGCTACTAGTTTAAAGTGAATAGACTCAAAACCTATCCAACTAGCGGGCATTTATAAAAGTTAGTTTAGTATTATTTACTTTCAAATGTGAATGCCAAATACCTCAAGCCATGTGCAAATTATAGACTTTTTATCTGTAAAATTTTGATAATTTTTGGAGGGTCTTGGGTTTTTTTATAATTCTGTTTAATTTGCTTAGCTGCGAAAATATTTGTTACGTGTATTCATTCAGTATATTTTCATGGTTAAATTGAAACCTCTAAGATATCCTAACTGGTGGGGGTCCCAGAATGCTGGATTGTAGCTGGCATCCGATCACAAATTTGTTGTATTTTAGCGGCTACAGTACCAGACACAGAAGTGGAAACAACAACTCAGGTCTCATCTATCACACCAATGGCACCAACCACCACTATCATTCAGTTTACAAAGGAAGAAGAGATGAATGACTTTATAGAGGAGTCCAAACCGCCCGGAGTGTATTTGCGTCTCTACTCCACCAAGATGTGTCGAATTGCACGTCTGCTAAACGCTCCTGGCTGTCTGAAGTCCTCTGCCATCAAGTTGACTCTCACCGCACAGAGTGAAGTCGGTTTTGGGCGCCGTCGAAGAGCCTCCACAAATGCGCCTCCTCCTTGGAAAGCCACCGCCGCAGCTGCCTTCTCCAACAGAGCTGAAAACTCGGCTCTGACCCTGGAGTAGTACCTTTCTGGCCCCAGTTATAATCAGTAGATAAAGCAAATGGTGATGACGATGATACTAACGTCTATTTTTTCATGATTGTCTCCTCCAACGAACTAAATCAGCCAACCAGATTCTTGGAGTGTTTGTTTTGTTTGTTTGATGGGAGAGCTTTAGGCAAGAGACTTATGGACAAAGGTGTCCATTATTGTTCGATTTTTTGTATCCCCTACCCGCACCTTCGTCTGTGTGTGCGTGTGTTTGAGCCAGAGACACAAACTTTCCCAAGCTTCCTCTTTTTTCTTATCGATGTGATTTTGTGAGTGTGAATGAACCATCCCAGGAACCGTGGTTTTTTTCTCGTGTTGCTTTATTTTATTACATTATTATTGTTACAAGTATTCATACAGACTCTCACAAATACATACACAGACATTGGAATATTAAAGTTGCTCACATTTAAGAATCACCGTCTATTTGCGTTAATGGTTGTATACATGTGTATATGCAAAGATGCTGTTTTACTAAAAGTCGACTGCTGCTTCTCTCACTCGCGGGACTGGGTTAGATCTTGCGGTCACAAGTTGGTGGAACGGTAGCGTCTCACTCTTAGCCACCATGAGAGCCTCTCAGCATGCAGTTTGGCGGTGAAAGTAGTTTATATACTTGGACACAATTATTCCAATGTTGAACGGGATCAATACGCCAGGGAGTGGTGCTTCGTAGAATTGAAATGCATTCCCAGAAGTTCAAAGTCGCAGTAGCACCAAGTCGATCGACATTAACAAATCGCGGCAAGAGCGGTCAGTTGATCGGTCGAAGATGTCACGCCACCAGTTTTCACAGCATAATTGTTACGGTTCGCTTGAAGGAATCAAATAACATATTTCTCCTCTCCCAGTCCACCCAATCCATCCGTCCGGACGATTTTTGATAGGCTTGACACTTGCAGACGGGAGTGAAAAGTATTTTTAGATAAATGGGAAAGGGCATTTTGAACGCTTAAGGTGTAGCATGATTCATCAGGGTTAACCTACCATCCTATTTAGCTGAATTAGTAAGAAAAGAGAAATAGTCGCAATCACAGAAGTGGCTTTTTGGCTAAAAAATTCGAGAAATATTTCTTAAATTCGCATCAATTCCGCGGGGTTGCTGGGATGGTAAATTGTGCCACACAGGCAAGAAAATCGATTTCGCCCTTGAAGAAAATCGATATACTCGTCCATTTAAGCGTCGTGAATCTCGCAACCTTGAGGAGGCCATTTTGACTTGAGCTCTACGTGCAAATTTGCATGTTGTAACCTTGCATTTTTCTAGAAGAAAATGTCCATTTCGGCGCGCCACAATCTTATGAATGGGTTCTGTGAACGAAAGAAGACGTATGCCACATTGCTTCAGTCTTTTAAGCCATCATCAAACAGTAAGCAGAGGGTGAGATTAATTTCTATTTAAAACAGGCTTTCTTGTTCCCTTGAAGTTAACGAGTCGGTGGGGGACACCAGGGCTTTTGAAAGCCTCTTTAAGGCTCAAATGAAATGTTGAAGGGGAGTGGAAACAGTTTCGTGGAGTGTGCATAGGTCACAGAGGCGCGATGAGGGTTTGGCTGTCTTTACCATATTTTTCAGAGATATTGACGTCTGTCACGTGCTGACGCAAAATCGATAAAATGTATGTGACGTTCGGAATATTTACTCGATAAATCTTGCAAAAGCTTGATGCTACTGGGTTGGAGCTTTGCCCTTTCTCCTGTGCCATTTACTCTGATCCTTAGTCACATGTATCTTGGATTTTCAAAAACACCGATGTACTTCATAATCCCCACCAGGCCGGTAACTTGGTTGCGAGTTGAAGTGCATTTTGCTCTCCATTGCTGAAGTCTTCTTTTTAAACGTTTCTCATGGTTTATCCCTAGTTTTAAAAGGTCCTCTTTGGTATCAGTTTTTTTTGGACTCGACTTTCCCTTTGTATTCGAGTCATTCATATCGCAATTGACTGATGCTTGATTGATATTGGGTTCCCTTTTTCAACAGAGCCATTTCTTGAACTGTTTTTGCCCTTCGTTGGCTATTTCACGATGGATTTGGCGACAGCGCTCTTGATAGCAGCCTTCTACTCCACTCTGCCGATAATTTCGCACGTGGTTCCATTTTGACATCGATATTCTCTTCACCGGTTGCACTTCTTGTCATTTAAACCGATTCTTTTCGGTACGGTTCGGCGACTTCCTCCTTTACTGATCATCTCCCACTGAGTAAAATTCCAACTCTGGTATCCATTTTTACCCACCAAAGCAACGTGTACTGTCTTACGCATTCGGCTATCGATTAATCGATATCATGCTTATCTTACGTTCTGACGTTTCTTTTTTATTTGCCTTTTCTGATTCTACTTTGCTTAACTATACATTATGTGTTTACACTGGTTAGCCAAGACTTTGTACAATTTTTTTTCGTGGACAAGTTGCGACCCCTCCCGCAAGTCATCTTTTATTGAATTTCTGTTATTTTGAAGGCGGTTTTCCCCACATTTACCTAATGGGTTAGTACTTGACTTTCTATTGTAATGCATTTGCCTGTTGCCTCTTTTTATCCACTTCTCAGCTATCTTAAGTCGTATGTGGGGCTACTGCGCCCCTTTGTATTCTTTCCTTAACAATCCCTATGATTTATTCCATTGTCTTAGTCGAGCCTTAAGGGTCTTTTGATCACTTGCATTACTGCTATCTTCAAGTGAAGCAGTCAGTATTTTATAGTTCTTACCATGCTCTTTTTTTAAAAATTAACTGTGTTTAATTCCTTCTATGCTTCCTTCCCCTTTCGGGACATTTCCAGTTTGCTGTTGCTTTTTCTGTCTCGAAGTTTACCTAATATTTGCATGATCTTGTTGGTATTTAAGTAGAACTCTTCACTTCGTTTCATGCATCACTTAGCGCATTCACACTAAAGAATGCCCTTCACCCGCTTTCTTTTCTTCTCTTAGTGTTAATAGTCTCGCTATTTACACTTGTCAGGTGAGATGGTTAATGTGTGCAATTCCACTAAATCGCATTCCTTTCCGTGGTATTCGACATTTCTAAACCTCTCATGCTTTCTGCCTCACTAAAGTCGAGTTATTCAGTGTTTGACGTTTTTCAAGTTATCATTTTCCTTAATATATGCATTTTAACACATTTCTATGTTCATGTTGAGCTTGAAGTGTAATTCCCCATAATTCGTTTTGTTTGTCCCGTCTAAGAAATTGAAGGCTCCACCTACTGCTTGCAATTTCATGTTCACCGACTCCACTTATTACCACTTGGATTTGGCGGCTCATAAGCTCCTTTCACTCCACCTCTCATTGTTATAGCACAAAGTCTGATATCACATTTTTGTCTTGGAATTTCCTCAAACTTCAAACGACTCATCTCATTCAGCTGTTGTTTATCGGCCCTAGTGATTGTGTCAGTGTAGTTGGGTGTCAATTTTTTTTAACTGTTTAATGGCCACCGTGAATTCCATCTCAGTTTAGTGTGCCCTGTTGTTTGGTTCTCGTGGTTAAAGTTGATTATGGTTAAAAGGTCGTTTGACTTCCGGAAATGACCTAACTTGTCTCCCGTCTTTAAACACTTGCACAACTCATCTTTTATTGGCTTCTGGTTCTAATTACGTTTAACACTTTTTTTCCATATTCGACTCCTGATTCCACGATGTCAGTGTAGTGCCCTGAGACTTCCCTGAAGTAGATAGACATCACTATACTTGGACGGAAAGCGTATTGCTGACATAGGGAATGGTTTGGGGACTACTATTATGGCCCAGTGGCCATGGCGCCTGGTGGAGATACAATGTTCAAGCCTTAAATGTCCGCGTAGCCAAAATGAAGAGCCAAACAGACAGCCGAAGGATTGCATAGTACCTCTTTCAAGCGTCGTCTCCGGCGCTCACCTTAGTCAACCTCCCGTGTCAAGCATTACAAAGGAGTCGGTGCTGTAGGAACATTACCCACCAATCAACCGCGCCAGTCATCGAATTTCCATGCAACTGGGAGGATACTTGACCACAACGTCACCGACCCCTCTAGGCAGTTCCACTGGATATGGAATTTTGGCCTGTCGGGGAACCGCATTAAGAGAAGGGAAAGCGTGCAGGCCATCTCGTATATCAATGGCTGCAGATAGGCTTGGGGACTACTAACATGACCCGGAGACCATGCCGCCGGGCAGAGGCGCAATGGCGTATCCCCTAAGTGGAGCGTTACCAAAACTGAGGGTTAACCAGTAAAACCAACATATTGCATTGGAACAAGTCCCGTGTAGATGTTTCCGGACTCTTCATCCATCATTTATTCCATTTTTATCTAGCCTTCCCCATAATTTACATCGTTTTACCTGAACGTGGTATTCTTGGTTCAGCACAGACTATATTTTACTGGTTTTACTCCCACCTAGAGGTGCCGCACCTTGTCAACTCGTCTACTCTGTCCAACTGCAAACGCCCCCTAGCTTCAAGATCTTGTGTATGCTTAAGTAATAAAAGGAGCGTTGCTTTTCTCCGTTTCCTATTAGTGAGTTTTCGGTGGACCTGACCAATGGCAGTTGGAGGGGCAAAATTACTGTCGTTTCCTAATTGGCTGATAACTGCATCACAGTTCGTATGTTGCGTACCCCCTCGCAGTGAAACGGTGTGTGTGAGGTCATGAGGTCATGTAATTGTTCAACTCACTTGAGAGGGGATTTATGAGTTTTCTGTGCACTTTGTGAAAAATCACGCCATGTAGGAGGAATGTGGCTAGCCTCTGCACAATCGTGGCATAACACGCAACCAAGTAATTGCCTGTCCTCTGTGTGGTGAGTCAGCCTCTGACGTGAGTCTGAGTTGGCCTCGCAAATTCGACCAACCTCGAGGCGCGGCCCCACCAACCCAATTTCCTGCCACTCTGTCTACCGAACCAGACACATGCACACACTCGAATTCACATCGGTGGGTCTACCACCAACTTCGCGGACATGTGGGCTGGGGGCAAAAAACTGGTATTCATTTTTT